TTTGTGGCTCGTAAACAATCCCTCTAAAATGCTGCTACAATCGCCAGATTGACTTACACCGTTAAGGGTACAATCAGTTTTGCCCCATGGCCAAACATTTTTAACACCCTAAATAGGGTTCTGGCGATTGTAGCAGCCTCTAGATACAAGTGTATATAAGCAGCACGCAAACTGACTTGCTCCGGGAGACTTGTGTGTTGTGTTGCGTGGGACTTGAGGTCGCTCTATGAATTGAGGTCACGACGTGTTGTACTGTGGAGGAAGTAACAAAGACGTGTGCGAATTCGGAAGATGTGTTTGTGAGAGATGGTATATAAACGTTTGTGTCAATAAAGTTTAGTAGCTGCGTTTGAGACGTTTTGTGTTTGTACCTTTCTTCGTCCGTCGTCTCCGATTTTTTTCAAATATACGTTATTTGCTCCCTTAACGGTGTAAATCTGTTTGTCCCAGGGCTAACACACTGATTTGCACCCAGGCACATAGCCAGGGGGGGGGGGGGGGGGGGGGGGGGCGGTCCCCCTTTTCTTTCCCGAAATCTTCCATTTTGCTGGGGCCTCCCCGTCCCCAATTCAAAATACTGGCTACGTGCCTCTTTGCACCGGTGTAAATCGGCATGACTTACAGCACCTTGATTTATACATTTTTAAGAGCGTAAGTCAGCTTGTTTCAGAACTAACAACGTTTATATCCTTAAGGGTGTAAACGGTTTTAGTGTGTAGGTAATAAAACGGGCCAGGGGGTTTGAATAAGAGCAGCAAAACGACTTCCTTGCATGTTCTCGAGTGTGAAAAATCAGGCTGGTGAACTCGCTGTCCTCTCAAACATCCGCAGACATGCCGGCCTACCAACTGATGCTTGGAAACACCGTCAAGCCGACAGCGCCAGAGAAGGCAGCCCTCTCAGAACATCCATCGCAAAGTAGCACCGACATCGAGAACGAGTTGGCTGCCGCTGTCACAACGAATCAGTCAAAAGAAAAGTATGTATACGCACAAAACTAAGTGTTTTTCTTCGTAGGTAATGATCTGTGGTGAAATCAAAGTTGATATTTCTACAGCTGCGGGGTTTTCGAATTTTAATCTCCTGAAATCTACTTTGAGTCAATATCTGAGCAGTCAAGAAAGTGGAGAGAAAGAGAGAGAGTAAACATTTTATTGAATCACCAAGTCCGGTGATTATATAAAACTTAACTACCGGGCCTTGGTGATTGAGTCACCAAGTCCGGCAGTCAAGGAAGCCATCCTCAGCACTGGATATATATATATATTTTTTTTACTAAAATAGTTAAGAGGTGAGCGCTTGGGCCACAGTCACGTAGGAATGACATACCTCCCTCAGTTTAACGATGAAATTCCGTTTAAACTGGACAAAGCTTCGGTTGAGAGGTGTTCACCCGTTACACGTGCGGATTGCTTCGCGTGGAAGGGATAGCTTTAAGACTGAGGGGCATACATGACTATACCCGTTTTCACTTCAAGAAAAAAGGAAGTTTTGCTCCATGTTCCTACGCCGCGCGAAGTAGTTCTCACAAAATATGATCGTCGGAGGAAGAAGCGATGCTTTTGGCGTTTGAAACGTGTACGTCTTGATAAGAGAACATATATCTAATCTAAAATACACCTACATATGTCTCAATTCTCAGCGTAACGAGAGAAATTAGTAATGCTTCGCGAGGAGCCGAACTTTTTTTACTATGGTTCTTGAGGTGAAAACGGGTATAGTGACTTTCTTCTCTGTGATAGACTTTGCGAATTTGTGATATAAAAATTTACCAGTAACGTCAAATCAGGAGAAGGGGGAAAAAAAGGGGGGGGGGGGGGGAGGGAGTCATTTGAGCCAAGTTGCAGAGAGCACGTAGAGAGCGTGTCACGTGACCTTCTGGTTGAGCAGAGCGACGAGCGTAACGCAAAGGCACGTACAATGCTCGCTGCGCTGGATTGGTTGGAACGACTCGAAGCATCGGCGGAGGTCCAACTTATGGTGGGACTAAGTGTAGATCAATCTCGTGGCGGTAATTAGTAAAACGAATAGTGTTCGATGAAACAGGAAAGACACACACCCGTACTGCATGTTGATCCATCGATCCAAACGTCATATGCAGAACTGCGTTTCGTGAAGAACGCAGCCGATGCTCACTACCAGTCTCGGGGTTCCTGAAACGCGCCAACGCTTCTTTTGGAGGCGTCGCCTCGTCACCCTCTCCCAGTTGTTGTTTCCGAAAGCAGTTTTCTTGCGACGACGCAAAGAAGGCTGTGCGATCCCTTACAAAAATGATCAATGAGTTTCAATAGACTTTCTATTGTGTTCCTATAGAGTCAATTGAAACTCGATATAAACTCAATGTCTATTGAATTAACTCAATAGGAATGCAATTGAGACTGATCATAAGAAACTCAATATCGATTCTATTGACTTTACTCACTAGGAATGCAATTGAGTTCGATCATTAGAAACTCAATATCAATTCTATTGAATTTTCTCAATAGGAATGCGATTGAGTTTGGTCATAAGAAACTCAATTTCGATTCTATTGAATTAACTCAATAGGAATGCAATTGAGACTGATCATAAGAAACTCAATATCGATTCTATTGACTTTACTCACTAGGAATGCAATTGAGTTTGATCATTAGAAACTCAATATCAATTCCATTGAATTTACTCAATAGGAATGCGATTGAGTTTGGTCATAAGAAACTCAATTTAGATTCTATTGAATTTACTCATTAGGAATGCAATTGAGACTGCTCATAAAAAACTCAATATCGATTCTATTGACTTTACTCACTAGGAATGCAATTGAGTTTGATCATTAGAAACTCCATATAAATTCTATTGAATTTACTCATTAGGAATGCAATTGAGTTTGGTCATAAGAAAGTCAATATCGATTCTATTGAATTTACTCATTAGGAATGCAATTGAGTTTGGTCGTTTGTGGATTACTGCACCCGTGTGCACCGAACGATTATTGCTTGTACCAATGTTTTTCTATTAAGGGATAGAGTCCAATGACGTCGAAACACTGTTTATCATCTATGAGACTTTCAAGGAGGAAATAGGAAACTGGGAACCTTAGTAGATGCTGAGGTGGTCACCGGCCAAATGAATACCTTTCTTATGTAGGGTATATACGGCGGTAGGGTAGTCAAGGGAGTACGATTAGTGGGTTGTGAGTGCTTAGTTACGATGTTTGTGCTCGTTTCCTCTATGTGCTTTGTTTCCTTCATGTTGCATGCTTTAAAGAATTGTAAAAAAAAAAATTCTCAACCAGGGCAATTTTTTTTAAATGCAGTTGCAATAAATTCTATTGAAGCACGTTGAAATAATTCAATTGAAAGTCAATTGCAATATTTTTATTAAAACTCAATAGCAAAAGTTCTATTGAAATACTATTGCCAAAATTCAATTGAAATGCAATTGCTAAAAATTCAATTATAAGACTCAGTGGCCAATAGTCTGGGACGGATCAATAGCGACTCAATAGAAAAAGTCAATTAAGTTTCAATTGAGACTGAATGAGGTCTATTGAGTGAGTCCTTTACACTTTCAATTGAAAGTCAGTTCATTTTTTTGTAAGGGATAAATTTGAGTGAGGACGTAAAAAACGTGTACAACAGCACGGCTTTTCTCCTCGCCTTCTTGCTGTCGTCTCTTCCCCTTTCTTGTTTTCAAGAGATTAGGGGCAGTACAACAATAGCGGAGGCCTTGACGACAGCCAACAGAGCGTGCGAGTGGTTGTCCGGAATCACGTGATGACCAGGCTCACAGCCCCTGTTCAAGGACGTTAGTGGAGGGGGAAAAATACAACAGATAAGCGTGCCACTTTCGGTACAGCAAATGCTGCGACTGCAGAAAACGCGTCCTGTGCGGACAAAAGTCGGACACGAGGGCTGCGTCATTGTTCGGAGAGAACCACTGATCTCAATGACAATTCGGATCCAATCAAGTGCTTCGAGTCCAAGCAATGGCGACTGCCAATGTTGCTTGATGGTCTTTCGAAAAGGGGCTATTCTGCATTAAAAAAAAATGGTTCTTATTTCCCAAACATAGAATGTTCAGCTAGGCTGCGGTGGAATGTTTGATTTTAGTCCTTCCCCCGCTCCCCCCCTTTTGTGAGCCACGCCATGCTAAACTGTAAGCAGTAAACATACCCAATTTATAGGTATCTCGTTGTACAGAACGAAAGTTCTCACAACACCATATTTAAAAAAGAAAAAAAAAAAAAAAACGAACGCATTTTGTAGGTGCCGATAGCATGGTTTAGTTAATGTATTCTTGACCAAATCATGTCATCACAATCTAAAACAGGCAGTTAGTTCTATCGGTTTTCCTGAATCGCGATCTCCTGCGTGATACCAGAGAGCGGTGAACTTAACGTTGACCGTCACAACGCAACTGGATTCTTCTTAATTTGAAAATTATAGCATAATATAACTGGAAAGAAACTTGTTTAACACAATCTTTCATGATGCCCTTCTATTCCCCTATACCAGTGGCTCTCAAATAAGGGTCCGCGAAGCCCTGCCTCCCGGCAATATTTTTTTTCTTCTTTTTTTTTTAGATTGAGATGAAACGTTTCAATTTTCGTATGAGTTTTCTAATGTGTATGTTAATGAAAGAAGTCTACTTCACACGGCCCTTACTTATATTAATTTACTAAATCATTATCATAATTAAACTATACCTCCCCTTTCCTCTCACCGCAAACGGGGTCCTTCATAATCTCCGCCGATCTAGAAAGCGTCCGCGAAACATCAGTGGTTCAGAACCACTGCCCTATACAGTGATTTTTTTTTTTTTTTTTTTTCTGTTTTACTGGCGTGCATCGCTTCAGGCACTATGGCGGTGTAGCGACCAGCATTGTTGCATAGGGCGGCGCACCGACCGCGAGGTTGCTCATGCATCACGGAGCGAGGCAGGAGGCACGATGATCGAGCGGCGCGCCACACGCGCACAGAACGAACACGACGAGCAGCATCAGCCGCTATGGCTCGGCGCTCCATGGACTAGCCCTCATCCTAAGTAATACTGTACATGTGTAAATAAATAGTTAATTTGGTGAAGAACTAAAGGCGTCGACGACTACAGCGGCGAATATTGGATAAAGTCAAACGACTTCGGAGTTGACAAAGCATCATTTTGTGATACAAATGTAATCAGTTCAGATTTGGGGAATGTAATTTGAAGTCGGAAGTTGTGCTTTCCTCGGAAAGTACCAGGAAAAAAAAAGTACTCCAAGTAAAGTAAAAGCGCGTAGTCAGCAAATGTACTTCACGTAAAGTACGAGGATTTCTGAACCTCCTTCTAAACCCCCAACACCGGAAAGGGGCATCGTCACGGCGTCCGTCGTCTTCGTGTTTTTCCTTTGCGGTGACCGGCGCATGATCATGCGCTTTTTCTGGTCGCACTAAAAGAATACTAGTTAGAGGCAGTGTTGGGTAAAGTACACCCAAAAAGTACTTGGGGTAAAGTACGAGGTAAATGAGAGGTTATGTACTTCAAGTAAAGTAGTAAGTGCACAAGGCACAATGTACTTGAAGTAAAGTATTATAAAGGCAATGTACTTCCAAAGTAAAGTACTTTTTAACAAAATCTTTTATGATGTCCTTCCAAACCACTTTACAGTGTTTTTTTTTTCTTTTTTTTTTTTTTTTTTTTTTCTTTTTAACTGGTATGTATAGAGCGTATAGAGCCCTGCGCGGATAACAGTTTGATCATCCGCATCCAATCCGTATCCGCATCCGCAAAGTTTTAAATAATTGTACCCGCGAATCCGATCCACATCTGAATTTCATCCATTCGACCCTCCAATCTGCACATTCATACTATATCATAAAATCAAACATAAATAAAAAAATAAAAAAAAAACCCATCTGGATGGTATTTTATAAGCCGTCTGCTTACCTTAGTACGAAGAACTCTTTCTGTCAGAATTACAGTGAAAGTCATTTTATCGTGTTCTATTTTATCGTATTTATAAAATAAGCGACAAGCATTCAGTCACAAGACCGAGAGAAATAATAGAGGAGTTTTTTAATCATGAAGGCTGGAGACAAGTGCATCAGCATGCCTTCGGTGTGTCTCATTGACAAAGATGTATTTATTCTTGATTGTTTTATCTGATTCGATTGGCGCGTAATAAATAAGTATTTTAATGTATAATTTTTGTATTTGTATTTGCTTTTTTTTTTTTGCAGGCGATGGGACATAGAATATGTTAATTGCTTGTTTTGATGTTGCAATAAACTCATTTGGAAGTCAGCGCCAGTCCTGTCGAGTGTGTGCCTCTTCCTCTTCGTTCAGTTTGCGCTATTTGATTAATGTCAGGCATGAATCAACTAGTCCAATCAAAAGTCGTGTTACATCATTGTACGGGTTAATACAATAACTAAACAAAATATATATATATATATATATATATATATATATATATATATTTCAATGGAATATCCTTCACCTCGCTAATGTTTCAGAAGGCGAATTGTTATTCATATAGGCTGCAGTGAACATGAGGTGTGGCATGGCGTAAGTATACCGCGTCTAATATGCGAAATGCGGAATAGCCACGATCATGACACAAGTCTTTGTGTTTCCGCGACACGGTTCAGGACGAGAGCAGCAGACAAGGAGGAGAATGGTCCCGCAAGCAATGACAGCTCTCCGCCAGAGTATGACGTTGCATCAGTTAACCTGCAGTACGTTCGCTTCGGTACTCCTCTGCTTTCGCATACATTGTGCGACCTGCTCGTGGTGCTTGCCCAAATCTCGTTGTTGTCTGCTACAATCTAAAAAGAGCTTTCTCACCGCCGTTGCTGCTTTCAATGTCTGTGTCGCTTGCAAGATAAAACACGCAACGTAAAAATTCAATCATAATGATTCTTTTTTTTTTTTTTTTTTGTTTTGTTTCAGAAATTTAATTAGCGAAAAAGTCAGACACAATGTTCCGTCGCTAATATCCAGGAAAGGTGAGCCGATCTGTCATCTACATTCATTTGGATCAAGCATGCTGCCGAGTTATTACAGTCCATAAAGGATGGGCGTTGATGCTCAACTTGCCCGAGAAATACCGCGAATCACCACTGCTAGATAATTTTTTTGCTTTTTAGCCTTGGAATAAATAAATTCAGATAGTTTCGTAAACTAACCGTTCCTTGTTTTTCATTGCAGTTTTGGGTCTCGATATGTACGCCGAGTCCAAGATCTTGAAGAACAAAACGGAGGAAAACGATGACGACGACAGCTTCTTCGATTAATGAGATTGCGCCGCGGAGATAACTTCAATAAGCTCAACCGTTTCATCCACCACTTTAACATCACTGTCACTTTAGTAAATAGTTGTGCTTATTAGACACTTACCCAATGTTATGAATTCATTCACTTATCTACTTATTCGTGCTGTGACAGTGACGAACTACAGCTGCTGGAAAGTAAAGCTAAGGACCTTGCCAACATCACTGCTTCACTGTACTGCTCACTTCACGGTTAAAATCTTCCAAGAAATGTTAGCCCGCTAGGTTACTATTCGGCTTTGAAATACCCGTACCAATAGGCAGTAAACTGCATCATTAAAATTGCATCATTAAATAAAGTGATAACCTGTGAATCTGTTAGTAGCCAACCATGCCAGTCAAATAGCTTGTCATTACACGACCAAAGCGTTTCTGTCCGATCACTGGTGATTCGCGGCTTTCAGCATCTGTCCGAAAAGCTGGCAGGAGCCGTTTTACAGCATTCTCCACAAGCAGTGTTTATTAACAACAGCACGCATTCTACATCATCAGAACATCACCGAAAAATACAACCTACGTATACCGTCTGCTGCATATCTGTATTTCGCCACCAGGGGGCCAGCGTCTGTCCGGAAAACTTCCCGCGCACGCCGCGCCATTACTTTCTTCTTGCTCATGCAACCGCCATGAGGTTTCAATGGTTTCAACATGTAACCTAACCGCTTAATAAACAATATGTGACAAGAACGTTTTTCCCCACCGACGCAACACTGGCGACGAGAACGAACTCGCCCGTGGCGGCCGACTGAGCAAGTTACTACTACCCGGAAAACGGTGAGCGTCCAGCCAGTTCAGCTCCAAGCACACCATGTCGCAACCAACGCCGGGGCCGACATTTGGAACACTTGCTGCTTTCGACGCAAGCGTCGAATCCTGGACCAATTACGCCGAAAGGCTCGAAGCATTCTTCGAAGCAAACGCCATCGTGGACAGTAACAGGAAACGTTCAATCTTGATCACGTCGGTGGGACCCGAAACTTACGCGCGTCTGCGAAGCCTTTTGGCGCCTAAAAAGCCCATGGACGAGGCCTACGATGAAATTCTCAAGGTCTTGGCACAGCACCTTAACCCGGAGCCCTCGGAGATCTACCAGACCTACCGTTTTCAAACACGGGTTCAAGGGCCGAACGAAAAGGTGGCAGACTATGTCGCCGAGCTCCGGAAGATCGCAGACGACTGCAACTTCGGCGCTGCGCTCGAGCGGAACCTCCGCGATCGCTTCGTCATCGGACTGCGCGACAAAACTGTCAAGAAAGTGCTACTGGCTAAGCCGAAGACCTTGGACCTGAATGAGGCGCTCGGAATCGCAAGAGCTGCGGAGGTGGCAACGGAAAACGTCACCCAGCTGCCTAACCCGGCCCAACCTTTGCCGCAAACGACTGAAGTCAGCGTTATGCAGGCCACGGAAAGGAGAGGACGCTTTCGAAAGAAGACCCAGCAGAAGTCTCAGAAGAGCTCAGCGCAACCTTGCATTCGTTGCGGTGACAGCGCACACACTCCACCCAACTGCCCTCACAGATCGGCAACATGTTTTAAGTGCAAAAAACAAGGACACCTGGCAAGTGCTTGTCTGGCCTACCAGCGGAAGCCAGGACGACCCCAACAGTTTCACGCACACACCTTGTCGACGGGTGAAGACTATACGGAACCAAGCGATCCGTTGCAGCATCTGTACTCTGTGAATACAGCACCGTCAGCGGTTCAACCGATTGTCAAGCCTCTCCAGTGGGGGCAAGTGACGTTAAACATGATCGTGGACACCGGCTCACCCGTGTGTGTCATCTCCAAAGACACATATAGCAAACATGCTGCTTCATGGCCTGCTCTCAGTCCAACGGACACAAATCTATATTGCTACCTTGGAAAACTGCCAGTGGTGGGAGCCCTGCACCTACCAGTAAAAAACGGCGACAAGCAAGCAAGCGGTGTCTTGTATGTGGTGGACTATCCGGGCCCAATTCTGTGTGGTCGCGACATCATCCAGGAGCTACAGCTTCTGTCTGCTGAACACGTCGGCAGCCTGCTGCCCTCTGACAACAGTGTGGCAACGACCGTCAAAGAACTAAAAGAAGAGTTCAAAGACCTGTTCGAAGAGGGAACAGGCCTGATGAAGGGTCCCCCTGCACACCTCAACTTGCGGAAGGATGTCAACCCCAAGTTCCTGAAGGCACGCTCACTGCCATATGCACTGCGCGACAAGGTGGCGGCAGAGCTGGACAGGCTATGCAGCAGTGGAATCTTATCACCAGTGCCTCATGCGGACTGGGCTACCCCCGTGGTACCTGTCACGAAGAAGGACGGCGGAATCCGCATCTGCGGCGACTTCAAAGTGACTCTCAACACTGCTTGTGATTTGGAGCAGTACCCGCTTCCACGAATTGAGGATATGTTTGCATCTTTGAAGGGTGGCTACTGGTTTTCCAAACTCGACTTGCGAGAGGCATACTGTCATGTCGCTTTGGACGAGGAATCCAGAAACGCGTGCGTCATCAACACGCACAAAGGACTGTACTGCTATAACCGCCTTCCGTACGGCATTGCCTCTGCACCTGCATTATTCCAGAGGAAGATGGAGAACATCCTTCAGGGGATCCCAGGGACTCAAGTCTTTTTGGACGATGTCCTAGTCGCTGAGGGACCACACGATTTTGGAAAGACCCTCCGGAGAGTGCTCAGTACACTCAGGGAGAATGGCATCCGCCTAAGAGAAGACAAGTGTGAACTTGGTTGCGAACAAGTCGTGTACCTGGGTCACCGGATCGATAGAGAGGGACTTCATCCATCAGAACAAAAGCTCGAAGCCATCATGAAGGCTCCAGCACCACGGAACCTACACGAGCTTCGTTCCTTCCTGGGATTTATCAGCTACTACAGAAGCTTTCTACCTCAAATGTCCCAGCTACTGGCACCACTCTACAACCTGCTCCGGCAAAATGTGAAGTGGAGGTGGGAAACCAAGGAAGATGCAGCCTTCAACAACGCAAAGCAGACACTTCTGCGGTCAAGTCTCCTAGTGCACTACGACCCCACTCAGGAACTGATCTTAGAATGCGACGCATCTCCGGAAGGCGTTGGAGCAGTGTTGTCGCACAACGTCAATGGGGTCAACAAACCCATCGGTTTCAGATCCAGGACACTCACCAGTGCCGAGAAAAACTACTCACAACTGGAAAAAGAGGCCCTGGCACTAATTTTTGGAGTAACCAAGTTTCGTGACTACTTGCTTGGTAGAACTTTCACGCTTAAAACTGATCATGAACCCTTGGTAGGGCTTTTCAAAGAAACCAAAGCAACACCAACCACCGCAGCTGCCAGAATCCAGCGCTGGGCACTCACGCTTGGGGCGTACAGTTACAGGATTCAATACAAGCCTGGGCAAGCAAACCAAAATGCAGATGCCTTAAGTCGTTTACCACTCCCACATGACCAGCCAAGAACTGAAGACAACAGATTACAGGGAGTGCATGTCCTCGACATCTTGGACACCGGTCCAGTTTCTCGGAAGCAGCTGGAAGATCTTACGACGAAGGACCCTGTGCTTGTGGCACTTCGAGAGATCATTAAGGAAGGTTGGCCAAGGAAACTTCAAGATCCAGTTCTTCAGCCATTCTGGCCGCAGAGACACACCTTCTCCTTGGACGGTCTTCTCATCCGCAGGGGGGAGAGAGTGGTTATCCCCGAGAAAGCACGAGACGCTTTCCTACAGGAGCTCCATGACACACACATGGGTATTAATGCGACAAAAGCACTCGCACGGTCAATACTCTGGTGGCCAGGTATTGATCGTGCAATCGAAGATGCTCTGCGAGCTTGCACAGTGTGTCAACAGGCTGCACCGATGCCATCAGCAGTAGAACCACTAGCCTGGCCAGCAACCACTACACCTTGGACAAGAATTCATGTCGATTACGCAGGACCTATCGATGGTACCATGCTGCTCATCGTGGTTGACAGCTACTCAGGCTGGATTGAAGCACTACCAACACCAGCCGCAACTTCAGCAGCAACAGTTGATCACCTGAGAAGTCTGTTTGCCCGTTTCGGACTGCCTGTTTGCCTGGTGTCCGACAATGGAACACCATTCACTGGATCACAATTTAATGAGTTCATATCCCTGAACGGTATCCGCCATTTAAGGACTGCACCGTATCATCCACAATCGAATGGGCTTGCAGAGAGAGCTGTAAGGACGGTCAAGGATGGCTTGAAGAAACTCTCAGGAGGTTCCCTCGCCACACGTTTGGCAAGATGGCTGCTTGTGCATCGTCGCACTCCGTCGGCCACCCGAGGCCAATCTCCAGCAGAACTGATGCTCGGCTTTCGCCCGAAAGTTCGCATGGACCTCGCCACCATGACCACCAGCGAGCCAAAGGACGACACAGAAGGACTCTGCAACCTCAAAGAAGGGAATCCTGTGTTCGCAAAGAACTACGGAGTTGGAGAGCGTTGGGTGCCGGGAGTCATCTCGAAGGTTTTGGGAAACCGTATGGCTATAGTGGAGACCCACCACGGCTCAATGAGGCGCCACATCGACCAGTTGCGCCCCCGACACCATGGCTCTACTGTTCCGGAGACTTCTGTGGATTGGCCACCGGACCCGAGCCTTTTCGACAGTATACCGGACAGCCGAACTGAAATTCGATCTACCCCACTACGACGCTCTGCGCGAACACGCAAGGCACCAGACCGGATGGACTTATAGCTAGTGTGGGGGAGTGCTGCATATCTGTATTTCGCCACCAGGGGGCCAGCGTCTGTCCGGAAAACTTCCCGCGCACGCCGCGCCATTACTTTCTTCTTGCTCATGCAACCGCCATGAGGTTTCAATGGTTTCAACATGTAACCTAACCGCTTAATAAACAATATGTGACAAGAACGTTTTTCCCCACCGACGCAACACCGTCCATGTAATTGCTCACATGAAACATGAAAACAAACATGCACTGGTTATGTCTCCCACATCCGACCATACCACGCGTGGCCTCGAGGAGTATACTGTATAATTATACATACAGTCGTGGACAAAATAAAGTAGAATGCATGAATGCGCTTAGTTGCCAACTTTAGTGCAACTGGGGAAGTGGAACGTATACGTAAAATGGAATAGAATTTGTTGTACGAATGTTTAACACCGGAAGTTAGTATGTGCCTCAAAGTAGGTCTTGTGTCTTCGAGTTCGCTGCGTAGATGCAAAATTTGGCAAGCGCAGCACTTCCAATAGTGAATAAACAAACGCACACAGGTACGCGGTGCTCATCAAGATCAAAACGGGCAGGAGAGATTGAGAAATGCACAGATGTGAGCGTTCAACAGGCACTTCGGAAATTCCTACAGTTCCTCATCACTATACTAGGTGGTATAACTATAAGTGAAGCTCAAATAAACACTGGTTGGGTGGCGTGAGGCGCCTTGGAATTCAGAAGGTTCAGCCATATTCATTCATTCCTTTGTTCATTCACTCTAATACGTAAGCGCATTCTAGTTTCCTGTGCCCATGACTGTACACGAGAACTTAAAGGAAGGACGGTTTTGCCTGCTTTATCGGCTGCAATAAAGACACGCATACATGATGCTCTAATCTGGGTCTTCGTTGTTTGAGTCGGACGTCGACGTATCCTGCTCTTCCGATTCGTCGAGCAAGGGCTGAGATTCTTCCTTGATGTTGGAAGTTTCCTTACGAGAGGTGTTGGCTGCAGCTTCGACCGGGCATGACTGTGGTCTCCGCATGAAGAGATAGCCTATTGAGTAGGTGATCTGGTAAGTGTAAGCGGAAAAAGAACCATCAAGATTATTTTTAGCCTTGCCAAGCTTCATGAAGTGCAATCACACGTGCAGTTATCGAATTAGATTCAGGGGGGTAATCGCAGCCAAGTGTTCGCTGCAGGATACACGTAGACTTATGTGTAAAGCTATGTCATAATAAGTCAATAGTTGATGAAACGGGCACTTTCAATATATCTTTGTCCCACCATACAAAACTGTGGGTTGTTTGCTGTGACTGTTGATCATACTAAGCAGGGCAGACCCTCGAATGCATTCGATGTTCAACTTCAACAAGAACTTCAGTTTATCCCAGAGTTTTGCATGGTATACAATTGTAAAACGAGATGCGCGTTTAAAGTAATAACGTTACGTGTAAGGCTTTTGACCTAGTGAGAACAAATTGCCCCAGACAAAAGTGCTGACACATCCGTAAAAACAGCACCATCATAAGTGAAAGGCTGCAGCCAAGATAAACATTTTAAAAGAGACTGGAGGAGCTCCCTTGGATCTAACATTATAAGGAGCAGTATAGCATGCACCTATTTCGCAAAGTTGGTGCAAAGATGGCGTGCATCCTTAGGCATTGAACCACAAGTTAACAGTGACATGCATCGGTTTTAGAAAATGTCAATTTTCTGAAACCGATGCATGTCACTTTCATAGGCGTGCCAACCGGGGGGGAGGCAAGGGGGGCGCTTGCCCCCCCCCCCCCCTCCCAGTTCTCAGACTGGGGGGTCCAAGGCATGTGTTTTGCCCCCCCCCCCCCCCCCTGAAACAGCCGCCACTGGGCAGGGCAAACATTGGCCGGTGGCGCCCAAGGGATACCAAGGGCACCGCCCGACGGCCCTGGGGGGAGGGGGGGTAGGGGGGAGGGGTCTGGTTTGCCCCTTCCACTCAAAAACAAGTTGGTACGCCACTGACTATTTTGCTTCCAGCCATTCGTATCTGACTGTCCTGATAGACAATAAATATACGATTCTTTGTGCCGAAGTAAGAAAATGTGCACAAATTAAAGTGCTTCATTAGATTGCCATGGTAATCAAACATAAAATGTCTGAGACTAGTATTAGTGGAAAAGGATTAGCTTTGCTCCCATGTTTAAACTACGTCATTGTCTGTTTTCCGTAATAATCCTCTTGGCTAAAATGTTTGATTTAACAGCACATAAACCTAACTATACCATATAATTGTGTGCAATCCATGGTTTTTATCTTATGTGATAAGTTTCCTTCATTCCAAGCATGTTTAGGCTCTAAGCCAAAACTTTACAACTGGCAAATAATGTAAGAATAAACGACGGGATAAATAAGCAGGGCGTATTGAATTTGAGCTAATTACCCCAAAATTTTGTGACGTTGCGTTGCATTGAGCTGACCCACTGCCAAATAATGCAAGTTGTGTGCAGGTGTGAAGTAGATCGTATTGGCTTACCACAAATGCGAACACTAAAATGAGCAACAAGCTAGCGTTGCTATTTCCGATCGTCTTCAAAAACATGCTGCCGAACGAAGATCCGAACAAGGCGCTGTGGGAACACGGACCATCATGAAAGTTGCCTCGTGTAGGTAATATGTCACATCATAGGATTAGTAAAAAACAAACAAACACAACACAGAAAAAAAAAAGAGATTCGCTCTCACGTTGAGGGCAGCACCATGGTATATGGCTTCATGGAGTACTTTTACGCCCGTAGATCGTATCTGACCATCAGTGCCTTGGATGGCCCAACCTAACAATGAAACATCTACGATTAGAAACATGAAAGTTTCGTAAGTCACCAAGCAAATTCGTAAAATTATTTTTCTGGAGCTTCATTCTTCGCCATCACACTCCCGAGCATTGTTCACGAGCGAACCTAAACTATGATGCAGCACGCGGTCCCTATTTGAACTTGTTATCTTCTTAATGTCGGCTCGAACGTAGAGTAGAACTTATATACCCTACATACGCGATACAAATGAAACACCGCCTACCACATACACGTTTTTGTCAATGGAATTTTGCAGAGACTACTTGCATGAAAAGGCGCACGAGGTCAAGCGCGCTCCGCCTGCAACGGCCGTGCGTTGGTCCGGTTTTAAACGTCGGGTCGGCCTCACGAGCGACACACTTTCGAGCTCATCGATTTCCACCAACGAACGGCCTCGGAAACCTCATCGACCTTAGGTGTCGTTGCCATAGGCCGAAATACCCGGCTAAAAATGTGCAAAATCAATGGCGTGGTCACGCAAGGCCTAACGCAAACACAAGCTAGCGCCAACACTAGCGCATTTGACCGATTTTACGCACACTGCAGTTCTCCGAGCCAGCGTGACAGAACAAACATCGTGATAGTTTGTCTAATTTTTGGCAAACATCACTTTATTCCAAATTCTGGACGTTATTTCGGCTCATGTGTCGCCGTGACAAGGCCACATGGCGCCTCACTCGTCCAGTTTACATTTTGGCCAAATTTGGCGGAGAAACACCGAGAGGGTTGTCGACCCTGGCCGCTTTCCATCAGCTGGCAAGATGGCCGACTGGAAGGAAAAAATCTTGCATTACGCGAAGCGACTAGAGAGAAATCAAAGTGACGAAAAGGCGAGTCCCTCACAGATCTCGGTTTTGATCCGCGTGCTTCGGAGGGTCCGATCCGACCGATCGGTCGAACGCGGCGGCACCGCTCCCGTTGGTGTCGGCCGGGGACTATCTTCGTCGCCGTCGCGTCCGATAGTAGCTGGCTAGCCCGGGGAGGTCGCCAACAATACGAATGCAGATTACGCAATACACACACACACAACAACATATATGTCGTTAGGAGATGCCGGCAGGCCGAAATCGTGGGTTGCTTTGAGCGTGGTCAACGTAATAAAACCAAACGCCGATACGCAGCCTATGGTGCTACGTAAAACTAGCAGCTCTAAGCTGCTTCGGAGGGAGAAGAAACATAAATAAACGTAAATTGATACGGGCGGTTGAGTTTGCTGCGTCCCTCGTTAAATGCCTTTTAGAAAGATTGGGCCGTTGCGCAGAACTATAAGCTATCATTTTGGACCGGCTTCGAAAGCACCTGGGCCAAAGTAAATACTGAAGCATTGTGGGAGGCACAAATATTGGAACGTTTGATTTTGAATGGCGTTTTTGCTCCCAGTGTAGTTCGGACAACTACATTGAGTGATTCTTTTTTTTTTTTTTTTCTTTTTTAGGTGTTGGAGACGCTTCGCAAGCTAAAGCATGTACCAATGACCATATCACTTCTGCAAGTAAGTGTGCTATTTCTCTGTCCCAAGCAAGGTACCTCCTCAAATCCCACTGAATATGACAAATAACGCTACTGCAGTGAATAAGGTAATAATTGGTTTGAGAACGGCTTTAAGATAAAGCTTGTGTCATAACTAATCAGCAGTTGTCAAACTATAACAATTCTTAAACTCGGTTCTAGACATTCACATTGATTTGAAAAGTGTGAACCAGAAACGAGGACAAAGAAGACACGAAGATAACAGGACGGGTGCTAACTCTCAACTGATTTTATTATAGGTCATCATCACGTATATACACACGCTCCTCTGCCCGACTTGCACCACAGCATTGATGTTGTGATGCATTGAGGTGATTGACGACTTACTAGTATATAAAATTGGAGGGTTAGTTCCTGTCCTGTTGTCCTCATGTTGTCTTTGTCCTCATTTCGTTCACACCTTTTAAACCTTTTAATTAGTATGAATCAACTTGCTAAACAAGTTTTAATGCATTGATTTGGGGTGGAAAGGTTTTGTCACCTGGACACGCTTTACAGGGATGGTTTAAAGGGATACTGAACCGAAATTTAGAACTCGCAAAACAAGGCTGGACCAGTAGGCGGGACGCTGCCAAACCCAAAAGCATCACTCGTACAGCAATATCTTTAACGGATGGTCTTATTCTTGGACAAGAACTGCGCGAGTGAACACGGCAGACGAGGCCAACGCAAGTGACGTCACGATTCTCATTCTCTCTCCTCTTCGCTCTGTCCCCTCGAGCTGGTGAACCAAAGCGAGAAGGAGAGAAGCGATGCCGGCTTCTCCTAATTTTCAACTGTTCCAGGAGGATCGTGATGTCACCGCCCTCGCTCGATCGCGCCCTTCTTTTCCTAAAATACGGCCATCTGTTTGAGGTATCTATGTATGAGTGATGTTTTGGAGTTCATAGATTCTTCATTGCTTCTGCGGTCTTACTTCGCGAAATCCAAATTTCGGTTTGCATCCCTTTAAAGGGAAACTGAAGCAGTTCTGTATTTGAGGAAAAAAACACATTAATTGTCTTTTTTCGGCCTAAAAAATTACGAATATTGAGATTATTTTTTTAATTTGGTGCACGGAGGCTGCAGAAAACCCTTTTCAAAATGCCGCTAAAGCCACTCCTTTTCTGAGCGTGACGTTATATCCAGAGTTTTCGGAATCTCTGCTCTCGCGCATCTTCAGAGCGCCTATCAAAGCTATGCACGCGCACTCTTGCTATTTTCAAAAAGGTGAAAAAAAGAGGTCACGACTGGTGTCAGTGCGGGGGAATATATCCGGTAAGCTTACAATTCTACACACGAGTGACACCGCTTGGCGGCCAAAAGATCTGGGTATGACGTAACGACTGGTCGGAGGTTTTTCGTGCTTTCTCATGTTTAATTACATATTCGGGAAGAACAAACGTGATAGTCATATTCGTGCAATAAAAATACTCTAGAATTCATTTCTGACACATTTTATTTCAAGAACCTCTTCAGTTTTCCTTTAATTTGTAGCAATGGTGCCATGATATGTTTTAACCCTCCTTCAAAGCCTAACAGCAGTGGTTGACTCTACGCTGTTGACATTCTGTTGTCGTGCCGCCTTGCTCCTGCCATCACTGCACTGCCAGATTGTATCTAAACATTAACTGCCATAGAAATATGTTACCAATAATCTCCAGTTAAAAAAAAAAGATTCAAGCAATCTTTTTTGTTAAGATACCCAGTTATTTCCATCTTGTACTCCTATAAATAAGAATTCCCCATGAAACGAATGGATTATTACCCTTACTGTGCAAATTTACCATCTTATTTTATGCAAACAACTGAGCACTATGGAGGGCATCTTCTTTACAAGTTCGGCATGCTTAGGGTAAAAGTCTGGGCTTGGTACAAATCTATGCAAAAACCAACAACGTGCAATGAAACAAAAACTGCTTCGTTGGCGATTTTTCTAAAACAGGAAACTGGCATCGGCAGGTCCGTGAACCGCTTCAAGAAGAATGATGGCGCTATCGGGGAAACAGCGCGCCACATCATCAGCAGCTGGAAACAGGTCAGCAAAATACTCTTCTTGAAACCGCCTACTTTTACCAAAGCAGCGATGTAACGTAAACAATTCCCGAAAATTCAGCCCTTCTAGGCGTAACCCGTACACAAAGACATTGTACAGTTGGAGTGTTTCAACATGTGGTTTTCTCCAAATCAAAAACAGGCAAGGTACTTTATTTAAATTTTTTTCTTAAAAATGGCAGGCAGCTAGGGATGCTCCAGCACTTGAATATTTGTTGACAGGTAAAGAGGGGTGTCGTATGTGAGGTCCTTTCATCATTTGGGAGATGGACGGTCCTTTGCCTGCAAAGTAAAGGTTGACGTGGTACGCTCTTGCTTTTGTGCCCACATCTGTTGGTCCCCAGTCCCTCAATGCCGAGACTCTGAATGCCCCCCCCCTTTCCCTCCCAAATTTTTCACAAACAGAAATACTAAAAGGCTTTCAGAACATGAATTCACGAAACGCTTGTCAGACTAAGGAAGTTGACACCTGTGTGAGCGCATCCTCGCTCGTAACATCTACTAAGTAGTTTCTGTCTCTTGCTGTATATTTGAGAATAAATCTGTTCGTGCATGTCTTTTAGGGGCGAAGCTCCTAAGGGTCTAGCCTCGTCCGGCATCCGTGCTCACATCGATCTTGCTGGTGCTCGTGAGCTCACGTGCTCGTGTGGGGCAAAACTAAAAGAAATGATGACAAAAAAAAAAAAAGGAAAGAAAAGAAAAAAATCTTTGTGCAGTCGACAGGATTCGAACCTGTGCGGGGAGACCCCAATGGATTTCTAGTCCATCGCCTTAACCACTCGGCCACGACTGCGGGACGAGTAGGGGGCTCTGAGATGTGGTAGTAACTCAAGAGCTGGGGATGTCATGGATGAAACGTTGCATGTAGCCGCTCAACGTCTATACAGGAGAGGGCGCTGTGGTCAAATGCGTATATAATCGCTTTAAACTTTGCATGCATTGGCTCAACGTTTATAGACGAGAGGGCGCTGCGGTCAAATGCTCAAATGCTTATATAACCATGTTCCATACCACACATTCTCTTTCTGACATGGATGAAAACGAACGAAAGGCTCGGCATGCTGCGGCTCAGTGTCTACGCAGACAAGCACCACCAGAGCTTCGCTCCAATCAACATCATTCACCACGTGGAGATGCGGTCATTTTTTGTTTTGTTTTTGTTCTTCTCTAAGTAAATCTTTGCGAGCAAGGGCTTGCATTACTGGCATACTCTTAAAGATGCTACTTTTTCTTTTATTGACTGTACCTATTTGCTGCAGTCATTTTTGTAACATTAGCCTGGATGCTCACCAAAAATCAATACCTTCGGAGTCATTTGTTCGGAAAATAAGTGCAGTTATCTGCATCCAGTACTGTAGTTCCTCAGCAGGTTATAAAATATGTGGCAATTAATTAATGCACAAGTACAAACTACAAAACATTTATACATTCTTGCAGAACTCCACTTGTACTGCTGAGGACGTAGCAAAATTTTTCCAAACACAGACGACAGATCTACATCAAGGCCTGTGCACGTGAGACAGTTGTCTTGGGTCCCCTTTGTTGCGTGTTCTTTGTTTTTACCTTATCCCTTCTCAGTTTCCATCTTTCCATGATGAAATGCCATAGTACTTTTTAATTATTTTATTGTATATCCCAAGAGATTATCCATCCCTGTTTTTCATCCAGTTTTCAATTGGAAAAATACTGAAAAATGGCTTTCTCCTTGAAATACTGTTAGCTGGGGTCAGACAATTTGTGCAATGTGGTAGGCAGCATGAGTTTTGACAGTAATGGCAACTGTTCCAAGAGCAGTTTTGAAGGGAGTAGAATAAAAAAGTTTTTCCTTTGTCTTTCAAGTACCTAGAATGACACTTGTGGCATAGTCCAGGGAAACTGATTTAGTTATCAGTAAAATATCGAAAAAGTGCCCACCCCACTTTCACTGAAAACTGGGTTAACCTAGACATGGGCGTCTGTCCGGTCATATCGGTAAAAACCAAGATGGTGGCCAACAAAGATCTTTGAAGGCAGGGTGAACGGAATCGGAGAAAGCACACTTATTTTCACACAATATCCCCGTCATCGCCGCTGGCAGTCTCGTGGCTGCCGCAGCAGGGTGAATATCTTTGGCCGACGCCGGCGCTTAGAACAAGGTGGGCGCTTAACATATAATTTTCACAATTCCCAAGTTTGGGAAATGTTAAGAGTGGGCGCTTGTGCGAAGTGGGCACTTCCGTTGTATTTTACGGAAGTAGACGAGAAACCAAATCAAACACTTTTCTCGTTTTGTTTTTTGGGTCAGATACCAAAAGTTAGCCAATCCTCATTCGCTAACCATTTTGGCCTCCGTGGGAGGGGATGGCAACCCACTTTTGGGGACGTTTATTCTCGTTTTTGCGAAGGGAAAAAACAATCGTTTGTTCACCAGTACACCTCTGCATTGTCTTCTTGAGAGACTGGTCTCATGACTAGACAAGCAGACGGACCGTAAAAAATAATTGGCCGTCTCTTGGGCATTTTCCAAGTCGATCGCACGCGGAACGTGCAATTAGCGGCCGCATGCTCCGCGCTGCATGCTCCATCGAAGCTACGAAAGCGAGCCAGCTCTATAAATGCTACGCATTTAATAAACATTGCAGGTGGTCTCGGACGGCACGGCTGACTTTTCGGAGCAGACTCTTCCTCCAGCGAAGCGCAGCAAGAGAGAGGCAGTCGACGACGATGGACCGTCCCCCAAGGCGAGCAAGCCCTCCAGGCCCTACTCCATCGAAGTGGAGACGTCGAGCCGAGGGGGCTCTTCACCCAGTCCCACGCGCCGGGAACACAACGGAGACAAGCACGGCAGGCATCGGCCGCACCACGAACATCACGAGCATCGTCACCGAAATCATACTAGAGAGGAAGAGCCACAGAGCTCTAAGGTCAGTGGCAAAGTCAGTTGGGAGCTGCGTTCGGGAGTGTCGTGGTCTATACACGTTTGCAAGTCCGGCTTCAGGGCGCTGCCATCTTGCCTGACTGGGGTGCGCTTGGACCAGTCATAATCCGATTACGAAGCCTTGCTAAGGCGTCGCAATCGGATTATGGCCGCTCCCGAGAGCGCATCCCACTGAGGAAGATGGCGGCGCCCTGAGACCCGACTTGCAAACGTGTATAGAAGAGCCCTGGGCTAGGGAAATTTTCCCTAGCCCAGAGAAAATTTTTTTTGAAATGCGCTCGGTTGGAAGATTTGAGGTTCGCCATCCCAATGTTTATGAAGGGGTTGCAAATAGCAAGTGGCCTTAAGTTGGTGGTATTTCTGGACGATCCGCTTACGAGCCTAGCTCGTCGATGCAGACCAACAGGAGTAGGCCGCGGCATCATTTTCGTGATTCATGGACCAGGTACTTCTTTCCTCAGAGTCGGTTGTGGCATCCTACTCGTCGGACAGCGAGCTAGAGGTTTTTTTATCGACCGGTCGGAGTTTCCTATCTGTTTTCGCCAAATTCGGTGTCTTTTCTGCGCTACAGCTCAAGTGAGTCTCAGCAAACGAATCTCCTCAGGCTCCTCATAAGAGCAACTGACGCTTCCTGGCTATTCTGTCCTTCCCGCACGTTAGTTTTCCTAGTTTCCCCTAAGCCGACGGTGCTGTGGAGGCTACATGCTCGCGGAACTGACCCACCGCCTCTCTCTTATCACCCGACCCCGCTCTCTGTGCATGGGTAAGGGTGGGAGCGTCACGATGACATGGCAAAAGATGGGTCCGTCATATTGCGGGCACCTTGGCCGGGATTCGAACTCGCCACCTGGGGATCCGTAGGCCGGCGCATTGCCTCGGAGCCACCAAGGCAGCCCCAGAGTGGGGAAGATCCAAATGCTGAAAGCATGCTTGTGTTTCTTTTTTTACGGTTCGCAGTACGCATGCACCGACTGCTCTTCCAGGGCACCAGCAGCGCATTGTTCGTTCTCGTTGCCGGCAGCACTGCCGTCGTGCAGTCGCTTCCCCCCATTAAGCATGCACACACGGTGCCTACACAACACACGCCCTCACAGGCATAAGCCTTCTGTATAAACGAGCACGTGCACACGCAATATGGGAGAAGCGAATCCGCTTTCCCCAAAACAGTCATCTCGGGAAGGCGGCGGCATTCTTTTGTCCATTTTTTTTGGTGTGCACGGTGGAAGTACCTAGGCAATCTAGAACTTTTTTTGCTTTTTGTTTGAACCTTCTGCGACGCTTTCCTTCCTTCTCAACTTCCGCAAAGGGTTTTACAGCGAAGCTGTTTATGGCTAGGGTTCCGTGGATTTTTCGTGTGTGTCAACAAAAACTCGGGTCCCGAATTTGATGCAAAAACGCTTCATTCTATGCAAAAGCTTCTACGTCTTATAACTTGGATATCCATTTTTAGTAGATTAGTTATCAATAGGCACCATTTTTAAGATCAGTAGACTCTCAGGTAAATTATAAAGGTTTCTCAAAGATTTGCCGCTGTGCGACCTGTGTCGGCCATGTCCACGCTCATAACGCCCTCCTTTTGTCGTCGGTCCAAGCGCTTGCGTGCCTAGTTTCCTTCGTTTTCCCAGGGTGGCTGTCCCGTCGCGCGTGTCTAGTTTCCTTCGGCTCCTCGGGGCGGGTCTGTGTCGTCTGCTAAACAGCTTCACTGGTCAACCACCTCCACAGAGTGGAATGGCTCACGACTTTTGTTCACTGTTGCTTGCCATTTTTATTTTTCCGTCCTTTTCAATATGCGTGTCTGGTCGAAAGAAAAGACGACGGGGTTGGCCTTTCTCTTCTAATGCGCTGCCTAAACATGCAAAATGGATAAACAAAATGGACAAAATGGTTTGAGTTAAATTTAGGCATTGAAATTAAGCCGATTTTGGCTGAAATTCAGAGTATGTCTGGGGATTCATTGTTTCCAAAAGTATTAATCTGGAATCAGTCACATTATGCGAGAAGAACAAATGTAAAGGTGGCCGCAGTACAGGGCTCAAAGCTAGTCCGATAAGCATACATTCCTTATCTCAGTTTCGTTTCACATGGATTTGGCTCATTTTGATATGAAACTCCTCAAATAATTCTTAGTGCATTGACTATTGCATATTTAGTCAACTTGTGTAGCATTGGCAAATGAGCTTGGCACTCAGGGCAACTTGCGAGCTCAGCTCGACACCGGGCGAAAATGGGGTGGTCCTCGGCGGGCCCGCGAAAATTAGTCTCATACCGGGCCGGGCCAGGCCGGCCATCAGAAATAGATGGCGGGCCACCGGTGGGACAAGGCCCATTAGATGGCGGGCCGAGCTGGTCTGGACTCTTAAATATCGACCCGTGCAGACCCCTAATTATCGATCCAATGAGCACGTAGCTTGCACCACACTGTCGGCTTAAGGGTGAACTGAGCATAAAAATACCTTCTGCTTTTGTGCTTTGTTTGGACCGGCCACTCTTTGTGCCTTGTCCAGGTGGAATCCTCACCCCAGAAGAGCCCCGAAAAAAAGGTGGTCGACAAGAAGCAGATGAAGAAGCTGCTCAAGAAGGCCGGACACAGCGAGGGTGGACTGGACGGCTCCATCGCCTCCTTCGAGGCCTGCTTGGGCCTCAACGACACCGTGCCCCAACCGAAGGCCAAGAAGAAGCCCGCAGCCGTCGCGAGCCCCATCAAGAAGTCGGTAGCTAAGCCGGTCAAAGAGCCAGCCAAGGAACCGGCCAGAGAGTCGTCCAGGGAACCTACACACCACGAGTCCAAAGAACGCCACAGGACGTCACACCAGGGGGTGTCCAAACCAACCCACTCGCGGAACGGGGATGCAAGCTTGACGAAGCACTCCAGCAGCAAGAAGATTCAGAAGATGCCGGAAGCACTGCGAAAGGTGAGGGCTCATGGAGCGACTGGCCAGTGTGCTGCGGGTTTAAAGGACACTGACACCCCCCGAAATATTTTTTTAATTTTTTGCCAGGAGATTTAATATGGGTCAGAACACTCACTACTCAATCAGTATTTTGCTACAGCGTCACATATATTTTTATAAAGTAAAAAAATGCAACTGCTCGAGACTGAAACTGGACAGGGGACCAAAAAGAGATCTAAAGAAGGAGAGAGTTTCCAGAAGTCACATGGCTCCACCCGACCATGCTTTCTTTATTTTTTTTTTCCTTCGTTTTTTCCGGCTGTGCGAATCAGATGAACGCTTTGCATGTCGCTTGTCGCACAAAAATGTAAAAGTCAAGCACTTCATACTTGTTGCGCGTTTTTCAAGCTCTTACCAATTCGGGTTCGTATGACGAACAATGTCTTCAGCCAGAAGAAGGGGCGATGACTCGGCAACATCTTTGTGCGAATCGCCACGGTGGTCGGGCGTGTCTCACAGAATAAATCATAATTGTTTTGATCGTTAAACGATTTCTTTTTTGAAGCTGGACCGATCCGCCCATACCGCGATCAGCAGTTATAAAGTAAAGGTCCCAACACCCATCTTCTGCCGCCATTGCATAGTATGCTTCATTCAGCCGTCCAGCCTGTGATTCCCACGACAAAACGCTGGTTGACGCCATGTTGAGAATTATGCAGAGAATGCACAGAATGCTTCCGGTTATCTGCTTAACTTTTCTTTTTCACTCAATGTATTTGCATCTTTTTTAAAGCCACAAAAAATGGGTATCATATGTTTTTCTATCTTTAATATTGAGTCTGTTCCTTCGATGACCTAAGACTTTGACTACATTTGATGTTTGTCTAAACCATAGAAAATGGCACATGACCAAGAAGAAGAGAGTGAGCGTGACTCAAACGGGTCATTTCTCGGTCGGCGGTTTTCGGGCGGAAGGGAAACAAATTTTGAGCCGCAAATAGTGTTCTGGGTAGTTGGGCTCTCGTATGTCATGTACAAATGAAAACCTTGGCAAACATAAATACCCTGTCAGTGTCCCTTTAAGACTCGTTCATACTCTGACAACACTTTGGCCAAAATCAAACCCTCTACAGTCTGGCGTCCTGACGTAACCGACGCAACTGGCGGTGTTCGGCGCAGTCCGACTGCTCAGGCACAGAGATAGGACGTGTTCTATCTCTGAGCTGGCCACGTCGGGCCATCTGACCAGGATGCATCATGCACCTGCATTCCGTACCGGCATGAAGCCCACCAAATTGTGCGAGCACTTCTTCTAGAAGTGGACGACAGATGGCACACTTGTCGTAAAATATTCCGCGCGTGCTCCTCGGACAGCGCGCGGCACCGAACGAAGTTTGACCCCCAGAGGAGTTTGATTTCCAACCATCGTGGTATTGCCAACGTGGCGTATTTGACGGCAACCACCGTGCACCGACGCAGCAGAAATGTTGGGACTATAAATGAGCCTTTACATGTGCGGCAGGCGCTTCAAAATTGCAGCAATCATATCGGCGAGCTACAGGGCAAAAGGGAACGGGAAGAACGGTCGAGTAGAGTGAGAGGGGGCAAGAAACCCCGCGACGGATGTGATTGTGAGGGGCAACACTTTCGTCGTAGTATTTGCGTTGCTTGATTCTTGTTTTAGTTGCGTTTCTACTTGTACGCGACACCACGGGGCCAGCGAAGCAGTAGTAACAGGCACTTGTCACCACATCATGCCTTTGTGTGACTGCGGTATGGCTACTCATCCGAAAGTATACTACTGTCAAGACTATTTATAACGAAGTCAACGGGAATCAGAAATCACTTTGCTGTATCTGCTTCTTTGCTATATCTGAACTCATAAAAGTAACACACACAAAAGAAAAGATAACACAAGCCATCACAGGCACATGTTTATTATGCCGGCAGAAAACTGTTGAGTCTTCCCTGCAAGCGTCTCTGCTAGATCGAAGCCGCTTCTCGCCAACTGCGAGAAGTTTCGATCGAGAAAAGATAGTGCAAGCTACGTACAAACCGTGTTGACAGCTCTGAAGGCCGCCGCGAAAGATGCGGTGGCGGTGGAAGGCATTGTTTACGTTTATACGCACTTCGGTGAGGATGGCACGCTTTTGTTTCAAGGAGACTGCTTTCGTCTTCCCCGACGAGGTGCTAGCGGTGCCGGTACTCTCCATCGTTCAGTGCAATGATTTGCCGAATCGGTGCTTGAGCAAAAGTAGACTTTTGCGCAAGAGCAACCACACTGACCAACGACGCCGACACGGAACACGAAGCAAACAAAGAAGCGTGCACGGCATAGAGTTCACACTCGAGCTCGTTTTTTGTAAGGGGGGGGGGGGGGGGGGGGGGGCACTGCTTGATCGGGGTCACGTGGTTTGTGAGTTGCGTTAGCAAAACGAGAGCTGCAGAATGCAAGGAGTCAAAACTCAAATGCATTCACCTCCTGCAAACGTCTGCCTCTCCGCTCGGTTTCCTCGCCACACTGCCCACGCGACAACCAAATACAGGCATACTTGCACCAATCTGCCCAGAAGGCGCCTGCCATTAAATTGCAAATGCTCTCAATGGTTAGAGTTTCTCCGTCTCTTAAATCTAGGCTCTCTCCGTCATTTTCGCCGGTACGTCTTTGCTAACGCTCGGAACGCCCCTATCGGAATGCCACGATGGCTTCTTCGCGTGCGACGCGGGAAAGCCGCTTCCCAGGTAAGGAGAGGGAAGCAGATGACGATGCAGAGGCTGCCGTCGCCGGCATTTGCAGCATCGTCTGCGGCCCGTTCTGGGTGGCTGCTCAACCGCGGCAGCCAAGTGGGGCGGTCTGAGACTTAGTTAACTTTCCGAATTTTAATGTAGTTTTTAAACTTGTTTTTGCTATATTCACGGGAGTTGGTGAATTTCATTCGCTAAAAACGGATGCAAATGCATTGAAAAAAGTGCAAAGGAGAATGGGAAATCGTGATCACTTCGCCGTAGCCGCTATCTCGTTATAACTCACTTTGTTATAACTGGTCTCGACAGTAATTCATGATCATCATTCGTGGCTTGTGCCTTGGTTTATGAGCGGAGTGGGCCATAAAAAATGCTGCCTGGACAAAAAACGTGCCAAGTCCCGTCACGTCGTTAGTGCCTGTATTCGACCCTGGCGTCTAGTGGCTGCTCGACTCGCTTTCTAAATGATGGGCCCTACCTTTCGCAGCCTGACCTGGCGCCGCTGGATCGAGATGAAGTGCTGTCGACGCTGCCCGAGATTCAGCCGGTGTACAAGCCCCTGCCGCACCGGCCCTTTGACGAAGGGCCCATGAAGCCGACCAAGAAGAGTTAAGTCCGTCACCCTTGGGTCGCTCGCGAGTTTCTTCATTTGGGCGTTGCCCGAAAGCGTCCATGGCTGCATTCGCTTTCTAGTAGAATCGAGTATGGCTTGCCGTTTTCATCCCAAATGTTACCCGTGCTTCCTTGTTTGCCGGTGTCCTTCTGCGAACTGTTACGATTGGCTGCGAGCTAAGTGCGGGGAAATCAGTATGTTTTTTTTTTTGCAGGTCATTACTGGATGCTTCAGTTTGACTCCATTACCTAGTGCTGCATGCTTTCGTGCACATTGTGGGCGGGGTCAATGTTCTCCACGTTCTATCTGGGCTGGTTTCGCCATCATACAATTGCAGACGATACGAAAAAGCCCAGGCAGGCATCTGGCATTGCAGACCCTCGGTACTAATATTTAATGGAACGAAAGCTGAGGTATTGTCGAGGCCATTGTGTGCACCATCGGCATTTTGGTGACTGCGCAATTTCTGTTGTTACTTCCCACTTCATTGGCAAGCAATTGCCGAGTCGAGACAAATTTCGGCGCTGTCTTTGGATCACGCAGGCGTGCTCAGTAAAATTAAATAAAAACTGCTTATCATCCCTTATTCCGCAGACTTATTATCGGACGCCCGAAAACTGGTCGCTCAGCTTGCGACCCGGTGGTTTTAACCATGCACCGTTTCGCCTTTTGTCGCGAAATGCCTCCAGAACAGGCGCTGATATCAGCATTAACTCGGCAACAGCCGATCGAGCAGAGAGTGACGACAGAAACTGAACAGCCACTGAAGCCTTGATAACAGTCGAGAGTTCTTCTGACAGATAGTGTTCCAGGCCTTCTGAGCCACACAGTCGCCTGGACCTTTTCGTAACGTCCACGACTATACACCATGTTGCACCCAGTGTGCAGCGTTAGCAAAGGCACTGGCTGGAGAGTGTTACACTAAAACATGGATTCCCAAGCTGGATTCCCAGGAATTCATTCCGGATCCCCAAATTCCCTTCATTGTCCCCGCTCCTTAGTAAAGCTCTTCTTCAGTTTAAGCACTTTTTTTAGCAAACCCGAGTTACCCATTGATGCAGAACTACAGGCCAAACACTCTAGAGTTAAAAATTTGAACACCAACCAAGCCCTTCTGTAAGGACTTAACGTTTCAAGGCCAATTCGGCCTCTTCTTCAGAGGCGACTACGGCTATGGCCGTTGAGGAGCAGTGTCTTTTTCTTTTTCTTCTACGGCGTGTGTCTGGTCTTCTTCTTCTACGGCTGTGCCTTTTTCAATAAAGGGACGAAGCCTGTTCACATAGGCGGATGGTAAAGCTCCGAGAGATCTATTGATGTTCTGTGGCGTTGTTTGAATATGCCATGATTTGAGGAACAGTCTTTTTCGAGGATTTGTCTTAACGTCAACGATGCATGCGTTGTCGAAGTCAATGCGATGGTCCTTGACGTCGCAGTGCTCAGCGACTGCGCTACGCTCGTGATCGAACTTGCGCACATCGTTTTTATGTTATTTATTAGAATTTTTTAATATTATTTTTTGTGTTAATTACTCCCAACCAGACAGATCTCTGTCAAATGTTTACTTTTAAAACTCTATAGAGTGTGTGCATCAGTGTTTGCATTGCCTGCAGGCTTCTGCACTACACGTGGGGCTTCTTTGAGAGCAAAAAGTTTGAGAACTTCCGCTCCAAAGAATGTTTTCTTTACACGAGTGCTCGCACGGGAGAGGCAGTTTTCAAAGCCTCGAGCTTGCACTGTACTGAATTCTCTAAAGCAAAATGCAACCTAAATATTTAAAAAAAAAAAAAAGAAAAATTTAAATTCAGTGGCATACTGAGTTTTTAGCTAGCATAGGAAGGTTGCATCTATACACCAACACGCAGCCCTGATGTCGCGCCGCTGCCGTGGCACTGCTGTAGGCACGGCACGTGCGCAGACGAGTTGGGTTTGTTTCTGCGCACGTGCAGTGCCCTCACCTGGTGTGGGAAAATGCCGACTTGTTTGTAAACGGTGTGTTCGTCTATATGTAAATATTGGAATTTCCTCGGTGTCGATCGGATGCGAGGGAAAGAAGGTGCCATCTAGTACTTCTATACTGGTACTTCTATACACTTGGGAATAGAAGCTATTTCGCACGTGCATCTTGGCGCCGAGATAATGTAAAGCCGGCACTGCACGACTTGGCACTACTAAGTTTGCACTGCTGCGTAGGGTGAACAGACCTCATCCTAGGTAGCATGCCAGAGAAACGCCCAACTTGGCACAAGCTTGGCAATCCTACGGGGCCAACTGGGACCTAATACGGTTTTGCTCTGGGGCATTAGTTAGTGCCAGAGGAGTCTTCTTTGGCGTTTCTCCGGTTTTTCTCTGGCCTGCCAATGCAATTACTAAAGTGCCAGACTCTTATCGAAGATGCCACATACTAATCGAAGAACCGGTGGTGAAGCCTAAATCTGGCGCTTGTTTGGCAATTTAGGCCCAAAGATGCCAGACTACAGCTTAACTACCAGCAGCAAAGCCAGACTTTGGCACTTGTTTGGCGAATTAGGGCCAAGATACCCCGACTCTGCCTAAAGAAGGTCAAGTTTGGCTCTACTTTGGCTTCTTCGGGCATTTTAAGGCCCCATCTTTCCGGGCGAAAATGAAATTTTGGTTAAAAAAACTGCGCTACGTGGGTAACTCTTAATGCGTCCGCTCGCATTTCTCACGTGTCTCGCATGTCTGTCATGCCTCAGGCATACCCGGGGTTCCCGCGGTTAAAATTTCTCACTGTGATCTTTTTTTTTCTCGCAAAGACATGACCAACGAGGAGGCCATCAGCTTCTTGTCTTCTCGCAAGGACCGGACGGCGGTGTATTCCGGCAGGAAAAACTGTTTTCTTCCCGGTGAGTCCGCATTATTTTTCATCGCGATGTAACTCTTTGCTTCCCCCAAGCCTTTGCGACATACCCCTACTGCGGGAAGATGGCGTGACGGGTGCGAGCAAAACTTTGCGCAGTCTTTCGGTGCGACAGTTTGGACGAGAATCATCTCTCTTCCAGATGTTGTGTTCCTTGCCCCTTAAAGTGGCAAATCGGTACTTTACAATTTTTAAAAGTAGCTTAAAACGTCCCCAGTCCCCATAAAAATTTGCATTCTCTGACCGCTGCTTTGGCCCGTCTCACCGCAAACAAAGCACACATAGCGAATTTCGTCTTCGGCCGCCTTTATTTTTTGATTGAGGGTGGACTGGTCTATGGACCTCGTGTGTCTGTTATAATTATCTCAGGCGATATATTTGCGCAATGATCGAGTTCTCATCATTTCTTTTCAACCAACAAAATTTTAAGAAATTAAAGTTGCCGTGAAACATACAAGTCGTCGTGGCATTCGTTCACATTCAATCTTTTCCAGGCTCGAGACCAGCATCTATGTATACCCATTTCCTTTCCAACCACCCACTTCTACCTAAACCTCACCCACGCTTTGCGACACATAAATTTCGTCGTAGCTCCCACCCACCACCGCCTCGCACGCCGGCACGACGACCGTCTTTTTTTTCGTTTCCACAGAGGTTCCCAGTCTGCACGAGGCTTGCGTCAAGGTCCTCATCGAAAACATTGACAGTGAGTACGGTTTTTGGCGTCGGTCCCTAAATCGATAAGCGAGTCGGGCTCAATGCCCGCTTCGGAGGCTGACACGGTCGTCGTCCGTACGACGCAGGCATGGCCTACACGGGGGGCGTTCCCTACGACATCCTCAAGCCGATCCTCGAAAAGTGCACTGCCCGGCAGCTCTATTCGCTCGAGGACTACAACCCCGTGAGTAGCGCTCGGTACGCTCGTAAGTGCTCAGGACGAGATGCCACGGTTACGCCGTCTGTCCGGTGGCCCCGTTAACAACACTTTGGGTCTGCGTATATTTCCTCATTTTTTTTAACGTCATTCCTTCGCCATTCTCTAAAAATAATTCCGACAATGTTTCAGGCGATAGTCTTTGTGTGGACGGTGCGTAGATTCAATCTTGGAAGTAGTGCAAATCTCTTTAGTTGATACACGGGTCGGAAGCGTTTTCGAGGCTGCCGACAGACAGCGCTGCTGACACATTTTCACGTCGTGAGCCGTCGGAATGCAATCTGCAAGTGGGGCTAGTTGGTCCTCGTTTATGCCGAAGCTTCGCGCCGAGAAATGCGGAAACAAAAAGCAAAAGGTGATGCGGGACGAGGCGTTGGGTCTCGTACCGCGTCGCCTCACTTTTTGTTTTCGTGTTTTATGCCGTAAAACCTCGATGCGACTCAAATGTTAGTATGTGAAGTGAGGTGTCGATGCTCTCAAGGTACACAATTACGAGCTTTTACATTTAAACCTGTGCCACATTAACTGCATAACCTATACCTCGTCGTTGCTTGGGAGTCGACGACACCAAAAAGAAAGCGCAGACTTTCTGCGACTTTCTCGCAAGCCGGGTTTGGCGGATCGCGACATCCAACTCCGAAAAAGCATGATAGAACTTTGCAGAGGCCAAGTTTTCTGCAAGGTGGCTTTGGTATGCCGGTTTACACCACACGAAATGTGCAAATTAGCGAAAGATTGGGGAGTGGTCTTCGCGTTTCAAGGACGCGAACTTTGCTTTTATGGAGAGGACGAAACGATGGGACCTGGTTTTCTTTCGAACAGTACCTCCTGGAAGAGTCTGATGAACTGTGGCAGGCCCACTGCATCAAAGACTTCAAGGGCTCGGTTCCCGAAGAAGGGGAGACCTGGCGGGAGGTGTACCTGGTGAGTATCGGAGGGCCCACCGAAACCTGAGGCTCTGCTCCATTAGAGGCCCATAAACGTGAGCGTAAACAACAAAGGGCATTGACTAGGCCGGAGAAGATGTCGGACCTGTGCCCGGCGTCTACTATTTTGTGCTACATCGTCAAGGCTACAATAGCTTCCATAGTGCTCCAATGCCGTCAAATCTACTCATGCAAGAAAAAGTCATGTGCGTGTGCTCTTGCAGCAGTGAGGGGCTGCAGCAGTGTGGAAGCTACGCTAACCTTGGCAATGTAGCTCGAAATAGTCTACACAGAGTATAGTCTCTGAGGAGTTAGGCTGCCCTTGGCCGATCGGGCGTAGGTGTTGGTGTAAGCATTTGAAACTCTATCGCAGACTTTTCGCGAGTTAGTGCTGCGAGTCTCCTTCAAGCATCTTGCAATAGAAAGCTAAATTTTTTATTTTTTTTTTTGTACTTTTGAGTGAATTGTGAGCAGACCGTTTGCTTAAATTTCGAGTGTGTTGTCTTTTCCGCATCGCGGCCGTGCAAGGTGGTGAAGCCAACGTGGCAGATGCTAGTTTTAGGGTTCTATGTTGTGGGGGTTCGTTTCCAGGGAAGTTCGGTTTTCAGAAAGATGAAAATCTGAAATGAGAAACTGCAATTAGTTTCTAAACGGCGTTTGCGAGGCGCCCTCGAGCGTTTCTACGGGGGCCTAAATGGATTCCACACGCCTGGAGTAAAGAGCCAGTGGTTTCAGATCAGGTGTTCTCTGCTTGGAACCTGGACCAGTTTGCATCTGAGTCGTTGTTAGAAAATGTGACTGACATCACCGTCTCCCCCACAGAAAAAGTATGACGAGCGGGAAGAGAAGTTCAAGTCTTTGACGGCCACCATTTCCGCCTCCATGGCCAAAGCAACCCCTGGTAAGCCATTAGATGGTTGTCCGCCTCGTCCTTCAAAATACTTGGTTCCTAGAAAACGCCGACCATATATTCTTTTTTTTTTTAAGACCCGCGTTGCCCCTTAAATAAACACGCACAAAGTTACACGAGCCCGATTCAAGTGACATCTGATTTTGCTAACATCATTTTGTGGTAGTGGGCATCGAAACGAAATCAGTCTCCAAAGCTGGCTGCATTTAGTGGGCCCTCTCCTGTTGCTTCAGCTCCGGTTGTAAAATCCTCCCAACAGATGGGGTCAAGTTACTTGAGTTATTGTGTCGCCGGAAGAATTCCGGACGTTTTCTCTTTGACCGAAACGCAAACCGAAGGTCGAAGAACGACCGTGGTGCAACGAGACGCTCACGCAACCACCTGGAATGCGCGCAGTGCGGCAGACGAAGCTGGCGTACGTGGACACGGTGGCGAAGCCTCCACGCAGCGTGGCTCGGCAGCAAGCCAAGCACGGCACCGGGTTACCCGTGGCTTTCCCCATCAAGCCTGGAGAGCGGGCAGCGGTCAGGCCGGTACCGACCATGAGTGGCGCCAGTGCCACCAGCTCCAGCTCTAGCAGCAGCAGCGTTAGACCCTCGTCTACAGCGGCGTCGCTCAAAAGTGAGTGGAGAAAAGAGGAAATTCTCCGGCGACTGCTACAGCAGGATCTCTTCTGTGTAAAGTCCCTTTTAAAGCGATAGCTGTTATAGGAACTTCCCAGCTGCATTTGCGGCGGAGGCCATGTGGTGCGCTGCCCCGTGGCGATAGGCAGTGTGCACACTTGGCTCTGGTCAGGTGGCTTTGTTTCTTACGGTTCGCGGGAGGCGCCGCCTCACATTTCTCGCCGTAGAACTCAACTTAGACGCACTATCGGGTGTAAAGCGACCCACCGCTCGTAACGATGCCCGTCTCGATTTAGTTTTAGGCAGGGAAGTTGACTCGTGCATGCAGTGTATTCCATTTCCTACACCCCTGGCCCGACGGGGCATACCGTAGAATACCGCGCATCCGCCCATACCACACTAAGCGCCCATACCCAAATTTGTAAAATCTGAAAAAATACGCACAGTACATTGATATGTGAAATTGATGATCGGACAAGTGCCCATCTTCCATTTTTTTGCGATTATCCCTAAATTTTGAGTGGGCGCTTACCCAATATTTTACGGTAGGTCTTGATAGTAATGAAGACTCGTTCACCACGACCCTTTCCTACACACCTCAGTGGCCACAAGGCAACTGAGTAAATAAAGAGCAGATAGGCGTAAAAGTGGGCTCTACTACATACAAGAGCAGCTGTCGCCTCTTCGTACACTGTGGTGAAAGGCTGCAAATTGTTTATTGGGGAAAGTGTTCACTGGTCAATAAGATCTCTATGCCGGTACCTGAAATGCCCGTAGCGGTGTACTATGCGGGCATAATTTGACTTTGCCTCACTACGTTCATATCTTCGCGAGGTCCGTCTTTGCTAGAGCCACTAAACAAGCTACGCTCTTAAGTAACGACACTTCAGCCATCAGATTGACGGCTGCTAATGGCCGTACCCCTTGTAACGGGCGGTAGCTTGCGCCACCTAGTCCATCGCAGTGCTTGTAATTGCCAGTTATCTAAAGTCCTATCTGAAATCTCAGGAATTGGTTTTCTGTCCTCCAGAAACGTTAAAACGGAACAACGCAATGTCGCCCGAGCTTTCCGACACTGCTTTTTTATTGTAACGATCGCCATTCGCAAACTTTCTTTTTTTCGGTGACAAGCGTGGGAAACGTTTCTCATACGATTGAACTGTTTTTTTTTCATGGGTATGTTTATTGAAAAATAATTTCTGTCCTACTTCAAGAAACTAATTGTGCTCAGTTCACCATTCAAAGGTGATTTTTATCATAGAGTATAATTTTGCAGTTTTAAGTTTTTGGTTCACACCCGTTCTCACTTAAAAAGACGCAAATTTTGCGCACGTACGCCGCGCAACGTAGTTCTTACAAGATTTCGTTGTCGGAGGAAGAAGCAATGCTTTTGGCATGTGAAGGGTGTAAATCTTGATGAGGTATATATCATATATATATCATATATATAACATATATCTAATCTGAAATGCACCTACATGTATCTTAATTCTCCACACATTGTAGAATGCCGTCCATCTGAAAAAATATGCACAGTGCATATACATATAGACCGACACGCGGGCTTGACGTCACGGAGCTGCGGCGGCGCTGTGATCACGCCGGAGCCGGGCGGTGTGGGCAAAAGGGCGCATGTTTTGCTTGGGCATCATAGCATTTCAGAATGCCTCAAAGCTGTGTAGCCGTTAATTGCTCCGAAAGGTACAGCTAAAGTAGCGGGGCGAGTTTCTACAAGTTCCCGGCTGACTCCGAAAGGCGCAGAAGGTGGATAATATCCGTGGATAGAAAATAATGGTCGCCTCGCACAAACGACCGTTTGTGCGGCAAGCACTTTCTTGAAGGCAAGTGTGGCTTCCATTCTGATCCCCATCCTGAGGCTTGCTTATGTGCAGGAAAACCGTCGTCTGATCGAGACCATTGGGATTTTGTTCCCACGGTGTTCGAGCACAAAGCACCGGCCAAGCGCTCGTCGGTGGCTCGCTACGCCCGCGCTATCAGGCGGAAGAATATCGGCGACAGAACGTCGGTGTTGTAGGCATTACCGGAAAAAAGTAACGAGATACGTTACTCGTTACTTGCAAATAAAAGGAACGTGTTACAGACCTATGTTACCTCAAAATAAAAGCAAAGCGTTACCGTTACTGATAAACGCACGTTACTTTTGCGTTACTTTTTTTTTATTATGGTTTAACTCGTTTTACTGTTTTGACGGTACAGGTATGCATAAAATCATATATCAAGAAACATTTTGTTCATGCAGAAACTGAACATATTTACTTTATCTCTTTTTACGGTATCACCTAAATACTCACGTGAAAAAATGCAAAGAAAATGCAGAAATTCACGTGGCTTGATGCCTAAAAACAGGGAAAAAATTGAAGTGTAATTCCTTTAAGACTTGAGAAAAAAAAAAAAAAAAGAAACAAGTAACGTAACTATGTTACCCGTTACTGTTTTGAAAAAGTAACGAGTATGTTACTACGTTACTGAAAAAAGTAACGCGTTATCGGTAACGCCGTTACTTGTAACGTGTTACCGCCAATATACTGCAGAACGGACAAACCGTTACCGCTTGTCATGCCTTGAGGTCATGAGGGTAGGAAAAATAGCATACCTGGACTCTAAGACGCCGTGTGTATTTAATTAATTAATAAATACACTTCAGCAGACCCCAAGTCTGCTGATCCCGCGGGCAGTGCGGTAACCGGCTCGAAGTAATCGTAGGCCTCGAGAGACTTGTACGCCTGCACCGTGTCGGCCGTCAACTGGCTTGGCGAAAAAACTAAATAAACAACGACGTAAGCCGTCGACATCGGTGGCAGCAACTTCGCATCGGAACTGCACCAGGTCTTGTTTACGACGTACAGATCGTCGAAGGCAGCGCCGTCCATGCACAGTTTGTCTCGATACCACTGCCGTTCAGGCTCGGGTAGTGAGCTCAAATAGTTGGGCATAACGTACGACATAGTTGGCAGAAAACATGACGCACAAATAAAGCTTGAAGCGTCTCTACAACGTCAACAATGAGTGCACCCCATAGAACGCAATGGCAAAAACATGGAGAGCCTGGCCGCTTTTGCCCACATAGCTGCTGCGCATGCGCGGCCTTCTGGCCGTGCTGGTAAACAGAGCCGTGCCGCGTGTCGGTTTATATGTAAAATTGATGACCTCACATGCGCCCATCCCCTTTTTTTTCACGATTATCTTCAAATTTTGATTGGGCGCTTGCTCGGTATTTTACGGTAAAGGAAAAAGATAGTATTTGTGGGGAGCGGGACTCCTTTTACTACGGTTCCCGAGGTGAAAACGAGTATAGATCTGTGTCGTCGTTACGGTCATGGCAGTAGAGTTTGTTGCTAGGTGACAATTTATTTTCTTGCGAATCACCGCGAGCCTCTGAATTTGTGTCCGGCTCTCTGCACTGCTGTATTTTCTTCTCGGCGTTTGTTTTTATCCAGCCGCTGTTTGGGAAGGTAGTAAAGACGGGGGACTAAAGACTTGGCCAGACTCGACTTTCCCCCACGTATACAAGCTTTTGTTCTTCACTCTTGCAGAGCCAAAGCATGCCCCACTCATGCAGAAGACGCTCAAGTTCATGAAACAACGCTTCAAGAGGTAGTCGTCGTCGCTTCCCTGTCAACCAGTCCCTTTCCGGAAGTCACCCGTTCCTTTGCAGCCCCTTCTCCCCCACTGCCCCGCCCTCCCCTGTACAGAAACCATGTTTTGAGTGGTCTTGCAGTCAGCTAAGAAAGACGGCAAATGTCGGGACAGATTTTATTGTCTGTCAAGCTACCATTCTTTCAATGTTCCCCGTTAAACAGAAGGTGAACACCATGTAGAGAGAAAAAAAAAAAAGTATTTAAAGAGGTGTATTTTGCGACATACTTCTGTTCTCGACCTACATCCAAGACCTCGATTTTCTGTTGTGACCTGTAGTGCTTGTTTACCAGCACTGGATACTTGTTTGACGTTGCACTAGGTTTTTTGTTTTTTTTTTGGCCAAAGTTTTGTATTCTTTTTTAATAAATGATTTCTTTGCCTAGCCTATTCTCTAAGATGCTACCTGCAAGTACTACTGCTTTAAGAAAAATGTCCTCAATGCATTGTTATCAAACATTTTTTTTTGTTATAAAATGTACTATTACGCAAAACGTTGAGATGCAATCTTTTGGATCGAGTCGGTATGTACAAAGTGCACTGTTTCAATACAAAGAGTACAACATGAAATTGTGAAAAGAAGCCTTCGTTATGTTAAACCTAGCTTTTGTTTCATGTATGTTGAAATTCTTTTGTTTTTAATTTCTAATGTATTCCACATTAAAGAAAAAGATAAATGCAGTTATCCAATACGTTCTACGGACCGTGAACTTTTCTTGAAAGGTATGCAAATGACCCGACTCTCCTTTCATAGAAAAATGACTACACATATATGACAAAAGAGAATCTTATTGGCTCCAAGGTTGGCATATCCTATCCATCTTGAGCATCATTCGTTTACACACTACCAAATAAACCTACCTGCAACATTGGCACGTTTTGCCGCAACGAAATGAAATCCATTATCTACATAATTTAGGCAGCGTGTTGTCCACAAACTGGAGCTTGCACCACTTCTTTCTTTTGGAACTCTTTCTTAACAGGCCTTCAAAATGTGGTAAAAATGACAAGGTGTATTGCATCTTATTTGCTTTAATCTCTTTTGTGTGTCTGTGTGCATGTGTACGAAAGTGTGAATGTTTAAGTGTTCTGTTGAAATTGCGTGGCACCGAGAAATTTCTTGTTTCATACTCCTAATTTGCCGTCTTTTTTTTTTTTTTCTCGTCTAAGAGCTATGGATGTTCTTGCAAAATAAATGAATCGGGAGAAACAGTCTTTGTCGTTTCTCAGAAGCGCCTCTTTGCCGCCGAAGGGGACCATGAAACAAAAGCTGGTTTTAGGAAGCCGGATAGTCCTCTCCTATTGGCTGCAGTGCTTTTTTTTTTTTTTATATTTTGTGCTATATTTACAAGCCTGCATAGCCTCGTTCCAACAGGCATTCCACTCACCTACAGCGAGCCGGACAACAGATTGCCCGTTGCTACGAGGCGAGGTAATCTCGATTTTGCTGGCCTCAGAGCTGTTTCCAAAAATCAAGCATGTAAGTGTTGCCCATTCCTTGCCTTATGCACGTCAGGAGAGTGTTCAATGGACCTTTCTGGAAAATAGCGCGTGCCCTCGGGCAGTGCGTGAGGCATTATGGGAACTGTGAGGGTCGCTGCTCCGTCGTCTGCTGCTACCACCGTATTGCCTGCGATAACCACGTTGCCTACGTTCGCACTGGGTCCTTGTGTACGGCAGACGGCAATCTTTGCAGCGCCGTGTTGCGCTCCGTTGTCCACATGAGGTGAGAAACCCTCAACCACAGCACGTCTGTCCACTGCCCTTCTTTGGATGGGCTATCGTTCTGGATGGACCACCGATCTTTTTAAAGCCTTTACGGGCGACACATTGCAGAGGTTTCGACCATATCTCGTCTTCGCTGCTACGGAAAAACCCTTCTTTCCGCTCTTGGCGCGAGGCCAGGAAAGTCGGGTTTTCTTGTTGGCCACCCCGGCATTTTGCCAGTAATGACGCGACAAAAGGAGTCTTCCGTTTCGTCTGCTTGAAAGACTTGCTTTCAAACATTACTCGCATGCGAAATCCCACTTTGGAAGTATCCAGTTGCTACGCATAATAGTGGATGGTTTTAGAAACTTTCACCACACTTGCCCTTTTTTATGGATTACCGAGACCTGGTGGCAGTCGTCCGTGGTATCCACGACGGCTTGGAGAATTAGCGTCGCACCTCTGTCCTCAGGTATGCGAGGGCACTATTCCATCCGCATTTGCGCAACCGTACTACACCGATCGCTTTCGTTTCCTTACACCATTGCAAGCAAATAAAATTTTTTTTTTTTAAAGGCGCATTGGCTTTGCGCCAAAAAATCAATGTATTGCTTGCACATGCAGTGTTTTCTAAATTTTGCTATGGGAATCAGTTGAGCTAGTTTATTATTTTCCTTTGCGAAAAAAAAAAAAATGCAGAATCTAGTTTGTTTCAACAGCGTTCCAATACACGTTTGCAACAAAGGCTCCTGTGCGCTGGCATTTTGAGTGATGCTGGTGCTGCGTAACGGGCATAACGTTTTCTCCATGCTGGGGTGCACCAGGGGCACATCACTGGGGTGCATGATGACTAGATGGTGACGTCTGCTGCATCGTCGAAGGGCACATTAGCGACTAGGGATGTCGCGAACCGGTCGAGGTTCGACTTCTTCAAACTTTTTGTGAAAAGTTCGACAAAGGTTCTACCCAGGTTCGACTGCTCTGCGCATGCACGACGGGCTGGCCAGTTGGCTTCGGATTGGATGGTGATGGCTAAGGGATGAATTAAGGGCAGCACTGATTGTTTATTTCAGTTAATACAGTACAAAAAATTAAGTTAATAACTTCTTCAGTGATTAGTTTCTTTTAATTGGAACTGTCCATAAAATAACCCTTCGCATAAAAAATTTTTTTTCCAAACCTAGACATGTTTGTATCAAGGTCTGGCAACACTGTCCACAAAGTCGAACCGGTCAAATCTGGTGAAAAGTTTGAAGGTTGGTCGAACCCACTGATTTACCGGTTTGAACCAGTCGAACCCCGAAAGTTCGACCTAAAAATTCGGTTCGACAAAAGTTTGCGACACCCCTATTAACGACACAGTAGCTGCATTCGATTTATTTATACCTCCTGCACCAGTGCAGAAAAGTGTAGGACAGTCTACTTCCAGTATGTGTATTTAGATACGACTGGAAGTACACAGCCCTACACTTTTCTGCATTGGTGCAGGAAGCGTAAGTAAATCAAATGCGGCTACTGTTTTGGAACGCAGGAGGAGGTATCCACACAGAATTGTAGCATCAAATATTGTAGGACAGGGTGATAGCGTCTGCCACTAGCATGCAAAACCTCAACTAGTAGGCTAGACTCGGCTTGGCTAAAGGGTGCAACACCCTCACAGTTTTCATAATGCTCCGGAGCGCTCACTCGTGGCACTGGCATTTCCAGAAAGGTCCATTCTCGTCTCCGATGGGAGTCCTTCAGAACCCCAGACAGCACGAATGTCGGAAAAGTGATAAAACAGCTTCCTCCACTTCCGGAATGAGTCCACACAAACAGCGCCTCTAGCAGAGAAATGTGTGCTACAATGATGTCTCGTTAATATGAACTCTGTTCTCTCTCTCTCTACCTCCCTCCCTCCCTCCCTCCCTCCCTCCCTCCCTCGCTCAAGGAATTTCCATAGAGTTGTCTATAATAGTGAGAAAAAAAATTACAGGAGTACACTTAAAAAAACCACTGAAAAGAAAGAAAAAAAATTTTTTTTAAATGTCTGGTTGGAAATGTAAAAAAATTAATTTTACGTGAAAGCTTTTTTTTTTTTTTTTTTAGAGCAATATTGACGGCGAGAGACGCAATTCAGTTGGTAGTCACCTCCTGTCCACTCGTTTTCTCTAGGCATTTTGGGTGCATGGAGGAAAAAGAAGTTGCGGCTGTCAGGTTGTGGTCGAGAGTGTGTATGACCATCTCGTCAAGGTGGAAAGAGTGTAAAACCATTCCGTGACGTCATAGACTTTGTGTGCATAATTCAGATGCAACTAAGATATATCTCGCGCCGTCAACATTGCTTCAAAAAGTTTCTTTGCGTGAAATTCATTTTCTGACAAGCGAGTCTTAACTTTTTTTCTTTTCAGTGGCCTTTCAAGAACGCCTACGTGTACGAAGGCGAAAGCATAATAGTCACATGGAAGAAAGGTTTTTGAGTAATGTTTCGACAGAAATTAAAGCTAAGGACGACGTCGGGGACGGTGTCTAGGATGACGCTGACCTCTCAGACAATGTCTAGGACGACCTTAAAGGGACACTGACAGGGTATTTATGCTTGCCAAGGTTTTTATTTGTACATGACATATGAGAGCCCAACTAACCAGAACGCAATTTGCGGCTCGAAATTCCTTCTTTTTCCTTCTGAAAACCGCCAATCGAGAAATGGCCGGTTTGAGTCGCGCTCACTCTTTTCTTTGTGGTCACGTGCTGCTTTCTATGGTTTAGTTATAACCACCAAAAATAATCAAAGTCGTGGGTCATCGAAGGCACACAATCAATATTAAAAATAGAAAATATATACGATACCCATTTTTTGTGGCTTCTAAAAAGCCGCAAATACGTCGATTGAAGAAAGTTGCACAGCCCATGTGACTTTAGCTAACTCTCTCTTCCTCTATATTTCTTCTTCCTCCCCAGTCCAGTTTCGGTTTCAAGCAGTTGCGCTTTTTTACTTTAATACAAATATATGCGACGCCGAAGCAAAATATTGATTGGATGGTTTTCCGACACCGAAATAAATTGCCTGGCAAAAAATAAAACAAATTTTAAAAGTTGGAAGTGTCCCTTTAAAGGGATGGTGAACCGAAATTTGGATTTCAGAAAAAACAATGCAGGAGATGTAGGCCAGGACGCTACAATCCCTACAACACTACTCGTAAGGTGATATCTCGAATAAACGGCCGTATTTTGGGAAAAAGAGGTCGAGAATGAACCATACCGACGAGGCGCGTTACGTGAAGATACCTAGTTTCCTCCTCTCTTCGCTTCGCTCCCTCAAGGCCGCTAGGCAGAGAAGACGCGAGGCCGTTCCCTCTCCTTCTCGAAGAAACTTGACGTGAACATTTCTGTCGAATGCGCCTCCTCTTCTTGAAAAATACGGTCATCCATTCAAGATATCGCTGTACGAGTGATGTTTTGGTGTTTGTAGCATCCCGTTGCACGCTTTTGCCGCGTGCTTTGGGCAATCCAGATTTCAGATCAGCATCCCTTTAAAGGAGTACTCCGGCGTTTTCTTTGTAGCCCCAGATTTGCATGAAAATTTGCTAAGCACATCAACAAACATCGCTGAAAAAGTAACCCAAATATTTTGCCAAAAATATGTTTTTTCGCAAACTTGTTGAATTTACAACTTTGGTCCTCACCATGTTTTTCGAAGTGAAAAGCTCTACTGGCAACAATGAAAAAGTGACGTCAGGGAAAGGCAGGGGCTCAATCTTTGGGCTGTAGAATTTGTTCCCAATTGATTACCAACAGTTTCATGGTGTCAAATGAATGCTTTGGAAGGTCGCTCCAGCTCCTGCGCAGCAGCACTAAACAAATGCTTGGCATAGTTCATTTTTAGACTGCCCGCTTGGACCGCAAGCCTGCCTTCCCATGACGTCACGGCATTGAAAAGCGCGGGTATATTTAAATCTTGGTTTTGGCGTCATTTTCAGTGGCCGATTTTACAATTAACTATTTTGAATTTTGCAATACTAATTAGCTTACCGGAAAGAGTAAAGGACGGTGATTTCGGAAATATAGTTAGTTGGGGTAGCTCTTAAAATCACCGGAGTACCCCTTTAAGGACAACGTCGAGAACGATGCCTAGAGGACAACCTCTAGGACGACGTCAAGAGCGACTTCTAGGACGACATTGAGAAGCACAGCTTTTGCACACAATGCTCCAGCGGCGACATCACGCTGATGACGTATTTGTATGGCCATCTTTCTGGCACAACATCGCCGCCGCTTGTTTTTCATGTAATGTGACAAGCAAGGTCTTCCTAGAAGTCTAGGACGATTTCTAGGACGACCGCAAGGACAACGCCAAATTACTGGGACAAGTAGGGTCGCCCATTGATGTGCCGCTCAATCATATTTTTATCGGCTTATGCGACGCTTTTTCGCTCAATGAGACAAGTAAGGCTTTCGCCTTAATAAATGTATTTTCCAGTTCGTCTCCACAAATGCTGTCTGTGCAGCAGGGTAACTGTATTAATAGGGTTCACATTAATCAGTCCCGAGTGTATAAGAATCTTGTAATAACCTCGTGCAAAGAATGTAACCTGGAACGTCGTTACGATTTATGTATAGAAGTAGTGAAAAATGCTCCTCGTGATAGCCGCCACAATGTTTTCAGTCTTGCAGTGCCCACAGAATCGGTAGATGGCGCCTTTAGGTCTGCTGTGCGTTCTGCCGTCAGGTCTCTGCAGTCTCCCTCGAAAGAATGACAATGTCTTGTTCTATTTGTTTGATAGACATCTTGCGAAATTACCCAGGCATCAACGAGAATGCTGGGAATGTAGGTCCATGCCTCACACGCTCACCTTCCCCGTATAGAAGACTCGAGTAAATATCTAAAGGCGTTGACGAACGCGCGTGCAAGATGCCACTTGTTTTAGGCTTCTGTTTTAGAACGCTTGCTGCTGCAGACGCCAGCACGTGCGGTGCACAGACCTACATTCGCAGCATTCTCGTCAATGCCTGGGTAATTTAGCAATAGGTCTATCGATTCTGTATTACATTTAGAATAAGTGGCTGCTTTTTTGCTTCAAACGGATGGGCAACGTAAAATGTCTCCAAACACAAAAATGACAAAAGAGCCAATTTTGACTAACTTGGAACTATTTTAAAAAATTGGGTTCAATTAAAAAGGCTGTGCTCCAGCACCTTGACTATATTTGCAAATCTGTAGAGAAAAGAAATAAGAAGTATCACTAGGTAACAGGTTTCTTAAAATGCTGAAGCATGCACTCTCAGCAAGGCTCAAAGGTGTGTGTGTGTGTGTATATATATATATATATATTAAAAAAAAACCTTTAATATTTTTTTAAAAAGCTTTTTTTTTTCTTTAATTAAAGTTAAAAATACGTGGTAAATGATGCTTCGGCAAGAAAAACAATGGGGTGGAACCATCTGCACAAAAATCAGCTTTATGAGCACTTTGACCGACAAATGCAACGGCGATAATGAAACGAAGGGGCTCGCTCGAATGACTTTGCTGAAACTGAGAGGATCCTCAGGAAGAGGAGGAGGACGATGACCGGGGGGCAGAGCTTGCAGCTGGCGCAGAGCCAACCAGGGTGAGCAGGTTGTGCGACGCGTACCGCACCATGTGGAGAGCGCTCGTCGCTGTCGGGAAACTTGCCAGGTGCTCTGGAGACGTGTGACTGTCAGTGTCGCTGCAATAAAAAAAGCAAATTAAGCCCACAGCCAGTTCAAACCGCTTGCAGACAAGTGGTTTAAAATAAGATTGGCACGGGCCATACGCAAAAATCCTGCCAGCTATCATCACTGTGCCATTTGGAGCTGCCATGATGAAGGGCTTTTGCCGCCTTCCGCGGCGGACCTCAGTTTTAGAGCGCTGCTCTTAGGCGGCTGTTTCCGGCTTCAGCGGCGATGCCGTCGCCATCGGCGTAACCGCGCATTGCATTATGGGACGCTTCCCATAATGACGTCACACATGACGTCACGAGTGGCGTCGCGAGAGAGGAGGGAGAGGGGGAAGAGAAATGGAGGAGGAGGGGAAGGGGAGGAGGAGAGGGTAAGGAGGAGGAACATACCCTCCTCTCCATACCCTCCCCTCCTCCCCTTCAAGAGATGCGCTCTAATTTGGCATTACAGAAAATTGTAATTGTCTCATTTTTTCATGAATTAGGACAATGTATTTGTACATTTGGTGGGATGCTGTTTAATTTTGGTGCACCAAAAGAAAGACGGCTGCCAGATTGTGGAAAAGGAATTGCCAGCAATAAGGTTGCGAGACTCTTCACCGAAGCGGTGATCTGTCTTTAAGGAAAATGCCGTGCGAAGGGTTTGCACTGGACAGGCAGTATGTGACATACCTCGGCAAACCTCACTCATGAGGGCCCTCACTCACCCTCATCCTCACAGGTGAGGTGAGGGTGAGTGAGTTTCTGAACCAGGAAAATTCATGAGTGTGAGGGTGAGTGAGGGCCGTGAGGGCGGTGATGGCCGTGAGGACGGTGAGGGCCGTGAGGGCCGTGAGGGCGGTGATGGCCGTGAGGGCGGTGAGGGCGGTGAGTGGCGTGAGGGCTATGAGTGCGTGAGGGCCGTGAGGGCGGTGAGGGCCGTGAGGGCGGTGAGGGCAATGAGGGCCATGAGGGCGGGGAGTGCGTGAGGCCCCCTTCAGATCGAGCATCTTTCTCAGCAATTTTGGTGTTAATGGCGGGTTGTTCTCTAGCTTTCTCTAGATCGACACGAATTGCTGAGATCGGGTCCGGCTCGAAATAAGCAAGCAACTCGGAGCAATTCGAATACGTTTGAAGCGGCTCCATCCAATCAGGGACGCAATATTTTCATGTGATACCTCGTGCCGGTGATGATGACACCGAAAGACTTGGTTCTGGTTTGAAATCGATCGTTTTTTGGAAATAAACTGTTTCAGAAAGGTGCATTAGCATTCTTAACGAGGTTTAAATGCATAAAAACATGTTTATAACGCGTAATTGTGTCTAAATAGCGCAAGAAAAATAAAATTTTTATGATGACGATGGCAAATTGCAGCAATTGGTTGCTGCGTGCGACCGCGGGCGGCCCGTGTTGCTGGTGTTGCGACGTAAAGTTTCTGGGCAAAATCGCCCCATCTGAAGCTGGCCTGAGTGGCGTGAGGGTCATGAGTGCGTGAGGGGCATGAGGGGTGTGAGGGCCGCAAGGGCGGTGAGGGGCGTGAGGGCAGTGAGTGGCGTGAGGGCCGCGAGGGCGGTGAGTGGGGTGAGGGCTATGAGTGCGTGAGGGCCGTGAGGGCGGTGAGGGCTGTGAGGGCCGTGAGTGGCGTGAGGGCGGTGAGTGGCGTGAAGGCCATGAGTGAGTGAGTGGCGTGAGGGCCATGAGTGAGTGAGGGGCGTGAGGGCCGTGAGGGCGTGAGGGCCGTGAGGTTCAGTGAGGGTGAGTGAAGGGCTGAAGGTGAGTGTGACTGTGAGGGTGAGGGTGAGTGAGGGGCTGAAGGTGAGTGTAGCTGTGAGGGTGAAGGTGAGTGAGGGGCTTAGGTGAGTGTGGCTGTGAGGGTGAGGGTGAGTGAGGGCGACCTAAAATGCCGACCTCTGGTATGTGATCATATTTCAGATCCACGACTACCACTTTGCCGAGGCCAACATCTCTCAGGCGAAACTATTGGTACGGGAACCCACCAATATGGCAGAAACTTGATAATTGATCATACACACACTAGATGGCACTTTGTTTTGCACATGATCTAATGTCTTATACAAGGCATCAACTATTTCGTGCTACATTGCCAAGGCTGGCATAGCTTCTGCAGTGCTCCAGCACAATCAAAGCCAAGACGAAGCCCATACCCTTGCACCAGGGTGGGGCTGCAGCATTGTGGAAGCTACGCTGGCCTCGACAATGTAGCACTAAATAGTTAGCACCGAGTATACATAATGACGACTGTTTCAGCTCTGCTGAGAGAGAGACTGTAGGAATTGAGTATATGTCACGCTGTGCTCCTGTGTCCCTACACCATTTCGCCTTAAAATGATCCGCAGCAGACGCTTTCAGCTGTCCCAGTCGTTAATCCAGCCCTGTGAAAACGTCACGTGACTGCGCATCGCTGCACCCCTCGTGAAAGTCATGTGACGCCCACGAGGCGTTGGATTGGCCTCAATGGCAGGTAGTGCCCTCTGCGGTTCATCATAATGTGAAACGGAGTATAGCACAGCGAAGTCGGAGGACCAACTCGGAAGTAGTATACTGTCGGAGACTCCAAGAGTTGCTGCGGGTCGCTAGGGTTGTTTTACTCCTTGCAATAACACAATCAAAGTTCCTTCAAATCATGGCATTCTCGGCGTTCCAATTACGTTTTGTGGAATCTGTCACTAACTGATAAAGACATGCCACAGACAGATTATTACTTTTCAAGTATTGGAGGCCTGTCGCAATCCCACGCGACTGAGGGAGGTCCCGAGTGGGGAAGAAAAAAGCAGAATTTTGAGTTGTAAACATTTCTTTTTGATTGTGGACTCCTTAAAGGACATATGCAAAGGGAAAAAATAATTTTTTCAAACAGCCTGGATGGGAAAAGGATGTCATAAAACAAATCTACAACAAGAAAAATTTTTTAGAGCTATATTTATGGTGCGAAACGAATGTGTAGTTGGCGCCCATGGGAGCCGCCACTAGTCATGTGGTTGACCCATGCGCTGCTGTGCTGTGCCGCCGCAAGTTATGCTGGAGCCGTTCAGCGCCGTCGCTGAAGTTCCCAGAAGCCCCACGCCACCGCTGCACGTGCCACCAGCTGAACGAGTTTCTCCACGCCGCCGCCGGAACGCAACATTCTAGCATGCTTGCACACTTTTGGGAGCTTCCTATGGGCTCTAAAAGTTACTTATTAATCTTCGTATTTTTTGTTGCACTTCAAACGAATATTAATAAGTACTTAACTTTTAAAGTCCATAGAAAGCTCCCAAAAAAGTGCAAGCACCACGTGACTACAGTGGCCAGCCACGTAACTATAGCAACTACCTTTCCGTGGGCTCCCGCGGGCGCCGACCACAAATTCGTTTTGCGCCGTAGATATAGCTCTAAAAAAATCTTTTTTTTTTTTTTTTTTCATTGTAAATTTGTTTTACGACATCCTTTTCCATGCAGGCTGTTTAAAAAAAATTTTTTTTTTTTTTTCTTTGCATATGTTTTTTTAAGAGCTGCCCAAACAGGACACAATTTCTGCAGTTCACAGCATTTGCTGTACCGAAAGTGGAAATTTTCTCCATTTCAGGTCTGATTTGGCACATTTTTTTTTTCCGGACGGAAAGCTTTTTTTGCTTCCGTCCTTGGATAGAGGCTTAGGGCGTGCTCATCACGTGGGTCTGAACAGCCCGTCACATGCTCTGCTGGCTGCCATCAAGGCCTCCACTGTTGTTGTCAATCCCTGATCTCCCAAAAACAAGGAGAGGGAGAGACGACAGCTAGGACGCGAGAAGGAAGGCCGCACTGTTTGCGAGGCTGATGTCCTCATTAAAAAGGTATGCGCGCGCCGCCACTTTCATTCTTGGGAAGTACTTGTTTCTCTTCCCGTGCGCGGCATCTGCTGTGTCCCCTTTCGACAGCCCTGTACTGGCCATGCATCTATAAAAATCTAGCTGTGCATCGACACTTTGTCGGAGGTCCTTTCGCGTGGCTTCGGTGCGCTCACCTCGTGGAAGGTGCCGTGGAGCGTCTAAGGTCCCAGAGCCGCACGAGCGGCTCGGCGCCGCCGGAGGCCAGCAGCGACCCGTCGCGGTTGAAGGAGAGGTCGTACACCGCGTCCGTATGCCCACGCAGCTCCTTGAGCAGCGACGAGCTGCCCAGGTCCCACACTTTGATCCTGCGGTCTTCGCCTGCAAGACCGGCCGTATGCCGAACCGTGGCAGGAAGTTTTGAGGACGCACTTTTCAACCCCCTTAAGCGACACTCGTCCCTCTCCTGACCCGTCACACATTTGTGTTTCAGGGGCGAAGCTCTTTAGCCTTGTCCGTCCGGTGAAGCTCCTTAGCCTTGTCCGTACGGCGTCCGTGCTCACATCGATCTTACTGGTGCTCGTGCTCGTGTAAAGCAAAAAAAAAAAAAAAAAGATGAAAAAAAAAACAAGAAATGTTTGCGCAGTCGACAGGATTCGAACCTGTGCGGGGAGACCACAATGGATTTCTAGTCCATCACCTTAACCACTCGGCCACGACTGCGGGACGAGTAGGGGGCTCTGAGATGTGGTAGGAACTCAAGAGCTGGGGATGTCAGGGATGAAACGTTGCATGTAGCCACTCAACGTGTATACAGGAGAGGGTGCTGCGGTCAAATGCGTATATAATCGCGTTAAACTTTGCATGCATTGGCTCAACGTTTATAGACGAGAGGGCGCTACGGTCAAACGCTCCACTGCGTATATAACCACGATCCATACCACACATTCTCTTTATGACATGGATGAAAACGAACGAAAAGCTCGGCATGCTGCGGCTGAGCGTCTATGCAGAGAGCAAGCTGCTCCAGAGACCAGGGCGCGAGAAGCTGCTGCAAAGCGTCAAAAACGCCAAGCGGACCCGGAGTTGACAGCTCGGGAAGCGGCGGCAAAGCAAAATCAGCACCATCAGCACTACCTATGAACAAAATCAGTATCATCAGCACCACCAGAGCTGCACCCCAATCAACATCATTCACCACGTGGAAATGCGGTCATTTTTATTTTTACTCTCGGACCTAACAAGTGCCAATTCCCCGGTTTTTCAAGGTCGTCTGCAAATTTTTCGCTCGGGCGCTCGCTCGGCATTTTACACTGCGCCCTCTGGTTGAAGTGTTGCTAGTGTTTGTCCACTCTGTTTGTTCAGTTTCGTCTGTTTTTTGTGGGAGGGCCCTCACCGGCGGAGGCCAGGAGCTGTCCGTCCGGCGAGAAGGCGAGAGCAAAGATGGTTCCTCGGTGCGAGGGCAGCGTCCGCACCACCCGCCCCTCCTGGACCGACCAGAGGCGTAGGCACCGGTCGCTAGAGCCTGTCGCCAGGTAGTTGCAGTTGGGATGGAACTTGACGCACTGCGCAGCAATGCAGAGGCCAATCAATGCGCAAGTGGCTATTAATGGTAGGAAAAGTGAACACAGAAGTGGTACATGCCCATGTTACTCAAGGGGAAAACAAAGTTGTCGGTTTCTTGCTGCATCCCGCAAACGAGCTGAGGCGATGCATACTCTACTGTACACGATGTACTGCCTTAAAAAATTAATTAATTAATTAATGTGAAGCTGCACACAGAGTACACAAAATGTACTACCTTGATCAAATTAATTATGTGCAGCTGCATATAGACCACACACAATGTACTACCTTGAGGGAATTAATCTGCAGCTTCACAAAAACCACACAGAAGGTACTACACCAAGGAAATTAACTAATGATTTAAGCTGTACATGAACTACACAGAATGTACTAGCTTGAGGGAATTAATTAATGTGCAGCTTCACACAGACCCCACACAATCTAGTACTTTGAGAAAATTAATTCAGCTGCACACAGACTACAAACAATGCACTACCTTGAGGGAATTCATTCATTCATGTGGAGCTACATACAGATTACACACAATGTATCCCACCTTAAATAAATAATGAGTGAGATCATTAATGTGCATCTGCACACAAACACCTTGAGGGTATACCAAAATAAATAAATAAATAAATCCTCCTCCTCCTCCCCCACCATTCAAAATGTGGGTGCAATGTGGGTGCATTGTCACATGGCGTTACAATTCTCCTGCTAAATTTAGCGGGGAAACACCTTACGCGATGTCACAGTATCACGCGACACCGTGATTCTCACTTAATTTAGCGGACTACAACCCTATGCCATATACATCCCCGGATCCACTGCAAAACTTCACCAATCACAGCCATCAAAAAAAAACAAAAAAACTCACGTCAACATCCATGTTGTGCCCGGCCAGTATCCGCAGCGGAAACGTTCGCTCCGGGGTCCAGATCCTGGCAGTGTTGTCTTTGGAGGCTGTCGCAAAGTAGATTCCAAGCGGCCTGCACAAATCCATTCCGGCGTTACCCATTGGCAGAAGTGGCTCTCCTCAAATGTTTCATTCGCTGTCCTTGGAGTGGAAGCAAGCTGAAGCAGTGCTTCTCAAACTTCCCAACGCCAAGATTTTGTCTTTCGGCCGGCTTCGTGTAACTATCATTCTGTTCGATTGGTGCGGTTCATTCATCGGCATATTTTCGATTAGGACATCATGCTGTATACACGAGTGGGTTCTGAAACACTGAACTCTGGATCGGCGAGGGAGGGAGTATTGGATGATTACAACAACCAAAGACAAGGGAAAATGAAGAAAACTAAATGTGTGCATAGAAACTTTTAAGTTCCGAAAAATGGAGAATAATCAACCCTACTCACTCGGTGCACATACTTTGGTTTCTTTAGCTTTACGGGATAACCAGCATCATTAAACGAAAAAGCTTCATTGCTCGGCTCGATTGACGGTTGAAAGCTTTGGAAAGCCAAGGAAAGCCCTTGGGGACCCCAAAGGGTCTGGAAAACCCCGATTTGAGAACCGCTGGTATACATCGAGGAACTTACGTCGCCGTACGTCAAAGCAAGCTGAAACCGCCGATCCGGCTGAAAGCCACATGTCACGCTTAATGCTTTTAACATCTTGCAGACGAGCCCAGACAAAGTGCCTGAGCTCGTTGCAGTGCAAAGCGGAGATAGCAACATGCATCTCGGCACTTTCTCCAAGAAAGGCAGCATTAAAGATTCACTCGCAACTAGAAACCGGAAACGGCACACTGCGACTCGTGAACTCTACAATAGCTGGGAAGGTGTTCTGTCATATGATTTGAACCTTCCTCATTGCCCCAACCATCCCCGGTGGAGCAAACCACGTATCGGCTTAGGCCCCCAGGGTTCGCAGCCCACAGTTACAGAACTGCTGCACTTAGAGTAATAGCCAAACTTGCTTCCGAGATTCAACACACTGGTACACTTCATTAGAATAGATCATGTTGACATTGTTGCAGTAGCTACATTGCACCGTCGGTTGTCAAATTATAGGTTCTTCGGAACCAGGGGCTTTTTCAAATGCCAGAGTCCCTAGGTCGACCCTACCCCCCATGTAAAACGTGTTCCCAATTCAGGCACTCCGGGCCGTGGTCTACCGTGTCGGCATTGGTCAAACTGGCAGTTTGAGACGTGGCTCCTAATTTGAGTCATGCTAGTTTCTTTTGGCAGACTTCTGCGGCAATAGAAACGAACGGGGCTTCTACGGCAAGGATGGCTTACCCGACGTCCAGGGCCCACACAGGATACGAGTGTCCCCGGTAGATGGCCACATTCCTGTGCGTCTTCAGGTCCCAGGCACGAACTGGAGAGCGACGCAGGAGAGGTTGGCGGATTGACCGATCAACTCTGGCTTACTTAAACATTCAAAGACGGCCACGACAGGTTCGGGGATCTGTTGAGGCCGTACTGGTAGTGATAAATTAAGAATTCAAGCAATTATTAGCTTGTCAACTTGAATTGCCATCTTGACCGTGAGAACCCAAGATGGGGAATTGCTGTTTTTAACTAGATTAGCTGAACCAGTACTACTTGTGAAAGGTGTCTTAGCTCAATTTGGCTGGTATCTAGTACACTGAAGCAAACGAGTTACAAAGAATTCCAATTTAATAACATTGAAACAGTTTGATAGTTTGAGCTGAACGCAAGTAACGGCAAGTTTTGAGATAAAGTCTAATACAAAAATCATAGTGCTATGGTCTAAAACATTTGAATTGAGCCAAATAATTTAAAATATTTAATTGAACATTTTTCGAAAATGCAAGAGAACATTAAAAGAATGTGGCACATTCGAAAGCCACTGCCAATATCGTGAATGCTATACCTAGCCAAGGAAGATCCGAAATAAAATGTGTCGCATTCCGCATGTACACAAGTAAAGCTAACTAAAATCTATCCTATTTATGATAAATACAATAGGCATTCCGGTAGTTATTCGCAACTCCAGCGCGCCGCTCGCCCTCCCGCGGACGAACGGAGAACTAGAGGACCGGGGACGGCAGCGGCGGCGGCGGCGCGGAAACGGTGGCAGGGGCTGTCGGCCTTGATGCGCGAAGCCGTTTTAACGAACAAAAGTGAGCGCGTTAAAAAAGGAATTCTTGTGCTCCGCCTTGAAACAGCGTTGCACGAAGGACCGGGATGTCTAATTCCTTTAGGGACTTTTCGTGTATCGCATACGCTGCGGATTTCTGGTCTTGTGCATGGCCACCAGCTCAATCTGTGCTCAACGTGACGGAAGACGCTCCCGCTAATGAAGAAGAACTCTTTAGTACGGTCTACGAAAAGTCTATTGTTTGCCATAAGTAGGAGAAAACTCGTCGCGCAACGGTATGTCGAGCAACACAAATCGGGAATGGGTTCGTGTTTTAAGACCCAAGCACTTTAAAAAGGCAGAATACTCGTACTTGCTTTCAGGTAACTACAAAGCAAATAAAGAAGTGCTCGAAGCATTTTAAGTGCGTCTGTGTTAGCCAGCCATTCGTGACGAGAGCTTAGAACGCTCAGTTTTGGCCAAAGGGACCGCAATGTTGCCAATAACACGGTACAAAAAATGAACAGTATATTAAAATATTTATTGCTGATAGAGAAACAAATAAAACCCCTTACCACGCCGATTATGTTAGTAGGCAGTATTCGCATAGCGTACGACACCCCTAAACTTCAGCTGGACGTACAGCGCACTGACGTTCAACCGGCGCTACCAGCTTTCACGAGCGGCTTGATAGTCGAGTTGCCTGTGCAACTTATTAAAATAGCTTAAGTAAGTGTAAATGACTGCAAAAAAAAAAAGTAATAGTTTTTTTTTTGCCCTACTGCAGAACCTCGGTGTTTCTTTTTGTTGTTGTTGTTTTTTTGTTTTTTTTCTGTACTCTTTGATGCATACTTTAGCTGTTTAATATCTTATATCGCGCCGTCGTCAAGCCTCCCGTAAAAGTTGGGGCCGTCAGTTTGACGTCAGTGGGCTGCACGGCGACCTGAAGTTTTGAGGTGTCGAATATGTGACAAGGGGTGTAAAAACTACAACATTTTTTTCTTTTAGAGCGATGAGCACGGCAACGCTCCTGGAGCGCACTGAAAATAGTGTTTCAAAGGCGCAGCGCGAGCTTGCGGTTGTAATGGTACACCGCACGGTATACCGTGCGGTGTACCATTTTGTTACCACAGGCTATAGCCCTGCGGTAACAAACTTCCTATCAATAACCATAGAGCAGTGTGATTACGTGTTCCAATACACTAAAACCGAGACGGTGAGCAGCGAGTTGTGAGGCTGTGACACGAAAACACCAATACAGTGAACGCTGCTCTTCCGAAGCTTGACGGTCACCGTTCGCGGCTCTCCTTTTAGAGCACTAATGGCCAGGCAAAGCGCAAACATATCTTCATCACCCTCAAAAATATTCTGCCACAAACAGTAACTTGGCCGGTGCCTAAAACACGCTCGCTCACCACAAAGCTTCGCAATTTGAGGTTTCTGCAACTTTTAAATAATAACATGCTCATTTTCCTAACGTGCATTAGCATATCCGTCACCTGTAATATGATCCCTCCTTAACCGCTTCGCATTTGTGGACAAATAAAGCATTTTAAGCACGCTGAACAGCGTCAGCGCGAGCAGGCGCACGGGATATCCTGGAGAATCTATCCCCGTCTCTTCCGCCATCTTGGAACTACCGCCCCGCCACCTATAGGGCGTTGGAGTTGCGAATAAAAATAGATAAAAAAAAGCCTACAATCCACAGAGGAGATGTCATTGTAGTATCCCTATTTAATGCACATTATGACCCTTTATACTTGGGGCACAACAAAGCAGAAAAGTGTGCCCCTACTTGTACTTTCCACAGTACATTAGTCATAACAAAGCTCAGTCTGCTCTCATGCAATTCTGCATTTACAAAAAAACACACAACTGAGGAACGAGTGGGACACGATACATCACCTGTCGTGTCTTCCGAGCAGGAGAGGAGGATCTCCTTCCCAGGAAGGAAGTTGAGTCCATACACGGGTCCCCTGTGACCTCTCAGGACCTTCGTGTCACTGTGAAAAAACCATACAGTTTAAAGAGGCTACAATGTATTAGACTCATTAATTCATCAGGAAGCCACGAATTTTACTTGAATTATCAGAAATTATTATAAATATGATGCACAATAAAATTATGGCTACACATAAAAAGCTGATATTTGATTTCCTCTACACAGGCCTACTGAACTGATAAGGAGGTATGCCACAGATGAAACATTGGTGAAATTTATGAGAAGTTTATTCATTTCCAAAAATGTTGACTATCTGGGACTGTTTAGACAGCACATGATGCCTCAAAAAAAAATTAAGTTTGTTCATCCAGCAAAAAAAGTTGTCTATTGTGGACTACTAGCCCCTTTGAGTGCGCTTCTTACCGAGCACCGGTGCACTGTGGAGAAGCAACATACGCAGAAAAGGGCTCTGCAGATGTTGCTTTGCTGCAGTGCATCGGTGCTCGGTAAGAAGCGCACTCAACGGAACATTGAGAACAAAAAGCATGAATTTCACGAAAACGCCGCTCGAATTAGTGGCTTATAAATATGTTGAAAACATAGTGGGACAACCAAAATTTTAAAATTTGTTTGAATTAATTAAAAGCACGAAATATCAGAGTGACCATTGGAATTCTTCACTAATAAAATTAACAAAACCTAGAGGTGTCCAACGTCTCAAGATGGCCGTCTGGATTGACCCGATTTTGCTAATTTTTCTCAGCAAATGCACAACACTGTAGCAAATTAGACGTTTATGTTTAAACAGTGCAAGGTTTGTCTGCCTTTGAGGTATGGCGACACACGCTTACGCAGTAGATGAGAAACTTAGTCAGCGCTGCACGACCACAAGCCTGGGATCTATAATGTGCACCTCCCAGTATTGTCCCCACACCATACTTTAGCGCTTCACACTACAACCTAAATTCTTTTTTTCGGACCCTTTAAGTGGACACTGCAATTCGAACAAGTCCTTGTTATATACTGGTGTTGGGCAAACTGATTTAGGAAGCACTCTTATAATCTTTGTGCTTGTGGATCGTTGACATCCCAACATGTCATACGTCGACACAGAGTGCGATATGGTCAGTTCACCAGATAAACTGGCCAAGTACCCAGCAGATAGCAGAGTTATTGCCGTTCTCACTCCCATACCAGCAACCCACCTCGTTCGAGCAGCATCGTCGTCTTTGTCGGCGTCAGTGTCGGCGTCAGTGTCGGCGTCACAGTAGAGCCGTATCCGACGCACGTCGATTTCGGCCGGCTGCGAAGCCAGTGGCCGCGGCAGCAAACTCCAGAGCCTCACAGATGAATCTTCAAATCCACACGCCAACAGACTGTCGTCCTCCGCCTCCGCCGCCGAGCACAACCTGACGCAGTCGATGCAAAGGACAGTAAATTCTCGCTGCACAAGCCCATGCGCAATTTGACAAAAGCAAAGTACAAAGGCACAGCACCAGCCAAACAAGCAACGACTGTCATAAGACATGCGAGGCACCTGGTTTTGTACGCTGCAATTACACTGAATGGTCTTAAAAAGTTTCCATTGTCTTCTAACAGATGGCGCCACTTGGCCAAAAATGTTATCAGCCCGTGAAGCAAGTCTTGGGTCCCCATACTCTTCGACACGACTGTAAGGCATGCAAGAATATTCTACCGTAAAATCCTGTATGAATGTTCCCCCCACCGGCACCACACCTGGCAAAATGTGAAACACAATTAAGACGAGAAGCCAAGCCCGAAGATACCGCAGAATGTGTGGCCAAGTTGGCAGTGCAAGCGATTGCCACATGAATGCACAAGGTGTGAACCCTGTTATGGAGTTGCCGACGCTAGCGAGCTTCTAAGTCCAAAGCGACCGAGAACAAGCGTTTGCGCGGAGCCCGTGATCTAAACATCCGTTCCCCCGCTTCGCGCGTAACCTGAGCGCCCCGTACCAGAAACACCTTTCGTTTATTTTGTTTCATATTTAATAAACGAGACGTCAGTCTTCAGCCTGACTCCAACATGAAAGGTTGTCTGTGTGTGCCCTTCGCCAAAGAACGTAAAACGAAACAAACCCTGCCTGCTTATCTTCCTAAGGCTTCGACATCTGCGCTCGTTGCAAGTGTTATTGTGGCTCCAAGAAACTCTTCAAAAACTACCACACTGCCAGCCTGCCGCCTCGCTCCCATTGTTAGCTCCTCAAATAAACACCAAAAAATGACTGCATCTCCATGTGGTGAATGATGTTGATTGGGGCGAAGCTCTGGTGGTGCTCATGATACTGATTTTATTGTTCATAGGTAGTGCTGTGGGTGCTGATTTTTTTTTTTTATTGCTCATAGGTAGTGCTGAGTTCCGGGTTGCATTTCGACTTCATTATTACTGCTTTCTGGTCGGTGAAATGCAGAGCCAGTGGTTCTTCTAGCAAATCAGCTTGGATCCGCTAGAAGCCGTGGGAACGCATCTCCACCGCTTAAGTCAACGGTCCATGTCAGAAAGAGAATGTGTGGTATGGAACGTGGTTATATACGCATTTGAGCATTTGACCGCGGCGCCCTCTCGTCTATAAACGTTGAGCCAATGCATGCAAAGTTTAACGCGATTATATACGCATTTGACCGCAGCGCCCTCTCCTGTGCAGACGTTGAGCGGCTACATGCAACGTTTCATCCATGACAGAAACCCCCGCTCTTGACTTACTACCACACCTCAGAGCCCCCTACTCGTCCCACAGTTGCGGCCGAGTGGTTAAGGCGGTGGACTAGAAATCCATTAGGGTGTTCCCGCACAGGTTCGAACCCTGTCGACTGCGCAAACACTTTTTCTTTTTATGTGAGCACGGACGCCGACCGGACGGACAAGGCTTGACCTTAAGGAGCTTCGCCCCTAATATGTTGCAAAGAGAAAAAAAAATTGTTTTATGCGTTTTTAAATTGAACTTACTCTTTCCAGAAATAAGAGTTTGAGAGTAAACAAACTTGTTACCCTTTCTCTCATTCTGCAAGCAGAAGAGAGGAAAGAAGGCTTATTTGCATACTATACCAACTTCGGGTTAAAAGAGCAAACAGGATATGGCTGACATGTCAGCTGTCAGAGGGATCCAGTTCTGCACCCAAGTGCCCTTGAACCAGTAATCCATTTGCCCGCAGCTTCAAATAGTGCACCCCATATTGTCTCTGACGTGTTACTACTATGTTCCAAGAGACCAGGTCCAGCGCGGGCTAACAAGCAGTTCCAAAATGGCAGCAGAGCCCTTGCAAAGCAGAGAGTGAAGCGGTCAAGTGCTCACCCCGAGGTTCCATGGGCGAGCGTGTAGAGGCAGATGGAAGGGATGCACGGCGGACCCTCGCGAACCTTCTTCATGATCTGGCGCAGAGACGCCAGCGCCTCCTTGTTGTGACCCTGCTCGGCGGGGTGCGTCGTCTGCTTCGCGTCGCTTTTAGCGGACGGCGCTTGGAGCAGGGGCGCCCCCTGGGAGCCGTCTCCGTTAACCTTTTCGTGATGAACGTGCACTGCGGGACAAACTGGGGTCACCGAGTACCTCCCAAGAGCCGTAAATCTTAAACCTGAGCCTGTAAATTTAAGCCGTTACAAAAATTTTCCCTCAAACAAAGGTTTGAGTGAAAGCCAGCTTTCACTCAATGAAACTTTTCCTCGAAGAAAGCAATGGTCTCAGTGTGGCAGCTACATATTTTCAACGTCAACTTGTTTGCGCTATTTTGTCCAGACTTCAATTACAGAATGAGAATGGCAAGGAGTTTCCTTTGGGACATTTTGTCTCCAGCACGCGTTTGTTGCCTTCCAGCCTACTCTGGCTGCGCAGGCACGCTTTCCTCTCTGCCGCACGTGACGACAAAGCGTTCCTGAAGGTAAGAAACTTGCGCCGACGGCAGGACAACCGAAAGAGCTCCCTGCCGTTCCTGTCCTGTAAGTGACCATAGCTTACTGCAACCCTGCACTGCTGCATGAGCACATGACTTCGCCTTGCATCTTATTCGGGCATGCTTGTGCGAGTAGTTTTGATCGTGCTGCAGAAACTATGCCAGGCTTGACAATGTGGCACAAAAAAGTTGCTTCTGAGCATTGGTAATGCTTAGGATAAAACTTCGACATGCACAAATTAGAAAACATACATTAGGCTTGTTTCCAGCGTTGGAACTTAAAGGGGTAGGGAAACGAAATTTCAGCGCTCATTTTCTAGCTTTAATGTGTTGCCTGTTGCACCCTAACCTCAAAAACACAAGTCTTTCGTTGAAAAGCACAAGAAAACTAATTTTAAACCTAAATAAACAATCTTCAATGTGCACCTGGTGGATGCATGCGGAGCCTATTTGGGAGGTAGTCTAGCAACGTTGTGGAATCTGCTACGTAGTCGTGACGTATCAGATTCCTTCGGAGCAGCGCCGCTCTTTGGCATTTCAACGTTTTCCTTCTTAGCTTTCCTCCTGAGCTCACAAATCGCGCATTGTACCAAGCGGTCCAAGAAGACAGAACGGAAGGACTCCCCTCTTTCTCGCACCCTCGTTCGTGCAACCGGAAACAGCCATTCTCCCCCTAGAAGATTAGCCCGTCGCTCAAAACTCGAACGAAAGTTGCTTTCCCCACCTCGTTCAGCACTAAGCTGACAGTGTTGTGGAAGCTACGTGCTCCTTGGGCCAGCCACACGCTCGTCACCCCACGGGTACTTCGAATGGCTCGGTTGTAACGTGCTGACGCTATTGACACCACCGCAACGCTGACAACGCCACCAAGGGCAAAGCTCATAATCACGCCAGCCTTGCTACGTCACGAACGCGGGGTATCTTTTCTTTCTGTTTTTGTTTGCGCCGGATATCCGATGACGCATCACGCTCTCCGTTCGCTTCTCTTCGAGCGCTTGCTCGAGTGCACCGTTTGGAACGAAAAATATAGCCAGTCGTTCAAAATACAAACGTGCGATTATCATTTACGGTTATTATCCGTCATGCTTGACTCGTTTACGAACAAAATCTGAATATTTCAATTTTTGTTTCCGTACCGCTTTAAAGCTCGTAAAAAAATGTAACACTCAACTTGGTTCCTCCCACACTCGTACGCACATCAACTGGCCTAAGCCTTGCCACGTGCAACATTATTTGAATGACGAAATAAGAACTCCTTTGTTCACTTGTCATCCAAGCCAAAAAGAAGCAGTTGCAACCATTGTCAAAACCTGATAGCAGATTATGTGGCCATAAATCATTTGAACTAGAAATTTCTGGGAATGCTCATCGTTCGGTGACATGTCACAAACAACAAAATGGGCACAAAACAGCGGCCTGTTCTTTCCCAATTACATTTAACTCCCGGTAATTCTAAGCTTACGGGAACTGCGGAATACCTTGAACTAAGTGAACTTCAAATTTAAGAATAGCTCATTGAAACCCATTTCTTCTTTTTATTAGTACAGAATGAAAGTGCTTTCTCTGTCACCTCTAATAAAAAAGGCTTCGAGTGTCCATGTGACGCAAGTCCCAAGGTGCATATCATATGCTCATGTCATGACAAAAATGAAGCACCTGGCCCAAGACAACTATAGATATGTGCCTTTTGTTTCACTCTACAAAACACACTTAGAAAAGAAGAATCTGAAACCTTTCACGGTCTCTTTAGAAAGTATATTATACTGGAAAGTGTGAATAATGAGACAGCCTGCTTGTGCAGCCCGAACAACAAGATCCTATTGTCCATGGCTCTAGACAATCTAAAAAATGGCCAAATGCCGTGCTCGAAGGCAGCAGACGCTCTCACCATCGATGTCGACGTGCAAGTTGAAGATTTGGAGCAGTATGAGGTTGTCATTGTCCTGCAAGCACAAACCAAAACAGGCGGTTCACGAAAGTGTGTTTTGCAAGTCATTTCTGCGTGCCAAAAGTTCCCTAACATGCCTATAAGAAGTATATATCGCAGACAATGCAGAACAAGTTCCAACTACATTGAACAGATGATTCAATATTCTTCAATGGATTAAACAGTCGATGAGCCAATGTTTCCCTTCCTCACTTTGGCCAAGGTAAAGTGCCACACCACAAATAAAGACGTTTCGACTGAAGCATGTTTCCGTCCTAGTCAGACAGCATGAGAACTGCAGGAATGTCTTTCAGTTATACCGTCCCCAGTGCAAGCTTCCTACCTCTGACAACACTTTGGCATCTCCAGAGTCGTTCGATTCCCCGCCGGTCATAAAAGCTCGGCCGAAGTTTGCTAGAGAATCGATACCTGCCGCTAGGGGTGCCACTGCCCCGGAAGGGGCATTCTCGATTGGCCACTCCACTCTCAGAGAGTTACCCCAAATTCACGATTACAATTAATCTTTAGTACACCGAAATTTTGTTATGCCTGCATTTCGTGCGAGCACTGGTAATTCCTTATTGATCTATAATAAGATATCTCACAAACAAGCTTTCTTTGGTTGTTTTCAAAGAAAACAATGCTTTTGCAAGTGAAGAGCTTGGCAATTGAGCATATTGGCTCGCACTGCCTCTACTAGATGGCGCAAGATGCAGCGGTGAATTTTTACAGTGAGGGGGTATTGAAAGGTTATTTCGAGAAAACAAAAACTTATCTTATTCAGGAGACTGTTTTAAATACACAAGATTGAGCAACTGATTGAGTGTACAGAGCCGAAGACACTTACAATAAAGAGAAACGCTGTCAGTGCAATGACATGTTATCTCGATTTATAGGTGACTCGTTAAGAGTGGGTTCAAAATTTCAACAGACTTGCGGGTTGCCAGCCTCCTAGCAGTGCAGGCTAGCCTGGCGGCTCTTAGCCCCCTTTTCGACACTAGTGCCGCGCGTGGTAATGTACCAAGCTCTCCCATAGCGCTACAGAGAAGTTTCATGACCATTAGCGTATTGAAGGAAGCGCAGCCAAAGCCCACTGGAAAGCAACGAGCATGCTATGGAGGCCGGACATAGGGAAGGGTAGCCCTGCAATTTTTATTGTCAATGGCCATACTTATAGAGCACCATTTGTGAAAATATTATTAGTCGAAACACTCTATGAAGGTTGGGGCAGTTTGATGAGCCCCTTGAAAAGCAATAGAAAAATTGGCAGCAACCCCTTCCTTCAAAGTTCTATAGTGCATGCATTGCATTAGAGAGAATTGGCGAGGGAATAGGTGCATCACACGACGTATATTTTCCCGCTAAATGTAGCGGGGAAACGGAATGGTTGTATAGGTCACACGACGTCCATTTCACGTGCTAAATTTAGTGCGAAAACTGGATTAGTGTCTAGGTCACATGATGCGAATTTTCCCACAAAAGTTAGCAGAGAAGCTGAGGTGATGGATGGGTCACGTGCCATCAATTCCCCCAAGTTGTATAGGTCACATGATGTCAGGGGACCTATACATTTTCCCCGCTAAATTTAGCGAAAAATGCCCGGACAAAATTACGGGGTTGGGGGTCACGTTAAAAAGCATTTCATGCTTCAAAAGCCATATATTTTAAAAAACTTATGCAGCCTTTGGTGCCTATCCAAGTTCAGTCTGTGCCTCCCAGATGGCCCCCCAATGCCAGGTAAACTGGTGGATACTCTGCTTACATGGACAGCAGACTTCTTGCTGATAGAGAGAATGTGCAACCGGACCTGGATTTACCGTAAAACACCGGGCAAGCGCCCACTCAAAATTTAGAGATAATCGCGAAAAAATGAGGGATGGGTGCTTGTCCGGTCATCAATTTTACATATAAATGTACTGTGCATATTTTTTCATATCTTAAAAATTTGGATATGGGCGCTTATTGTGGAATGGGAGGATGCGCAGTATTCTACGGTATGCACAGTGTTAACAGATTATACTCTATGTCTTTGTGTGCTTTACTGTGAAGGCCTTCAAGCAGTTGCTATGCGCAATAAAAATAAACATTGATCAACTGATTAACACTCACCTTCAGGAAACTGAGCACATACTCCAGGGTGTCGCTCGATAGCTTCACAGAGTATTTGTTTTCTCTGAAAGAAAGCGAGTCGAGGCTAAGGGAACAACTCAAAAGGGAATGTCACAAACACCTCCCTGTACTAAAATTGGAAAAAAAAAAAAAATATATATATAATTCTTTATCAAATGTGCATTAAAATATTTTAGGATTTCGGAATGTCAAATTGCGGTATGAGTACTGCAAGCTTTGCACACCTTTTTTCACATCCAGAGCCGGAAAAGGCTCGCAACGTCAACACCAGTATTCAAACCAATTATAAAATTACTGATCTGGAGTATATTTTAGCAACTTAATTTCACGCAAGAGAGATATTGTGCTGTAAAATAAGCCCTCCCCCCCCAGTGAAGTAAACATTTGTCATAAAACTATAATAACGGGCACCCCAGAGCCCTCGTCCAAAAATCCCTCAGCACAAGAACGCTGTGGAACCAACAGTGCTGTAGCTTACAGCCGGTACAATAGACCCTTTTCAAAAGTTGATCAAGCAACATTGGTGGTCACCATTGCTTGCTCACGAAGTGTGTGATTGGCTCCGAGTCCTCGCCGAACGCTGACGCAGCACTCGTTTCCAATACGAGCTGAACAGAGTTCACGCTGAATGCTGACAGAGCCCTCGTGTCCAATACACGCTCAGAGTAGGTGAGCAAGCAATGGCAGATGGGCATTGGCGCGAACTCTTGAAAACTGTCTATTACGGTGCCTGCAACGAGTCTTCGATTGGCGTGTTTAGCCGACGGGAGCCGACGCGTCATGTTTGGCGCTAACTACTCGCTAACTAACAACAAGGACAGACACTAACTTGAACTCTTTGATTTGGGGATGCGACGGAACGTCCGATGCAGACGAGATGTTGGGAAGCATGTCCACGACGACGCGGAACTGGTCGGACGACTGGAACATCCCTCGATGCCGTCCGTGGAACTTCTGGGCTGTGGAGCAATTGTAAGGGCCAGCAATTGCAATTCGACACCGTCCTCTCGTCGATACTAATTCACGACAGATGGATGCGTGCCACTGAACCCTTTGAATCGGGTGGTGGCTTACGCCACCTATGGTCACCGACAGGACAAGAACAGCAGGGAGGTCTTTCAGCCTACCCTCCTCCTGTGCAAGCTTTCTACCTTCGGTAACATTCCGGCATCTCGAGAACTTCAAGCGTGCACGTGCAGTTAAAGCATGACGGACGGCAATGAGTGCATGCCGGAGGCCAGGCGTCGTAAAAAAATGCCCTGCAATCCTCGTCTTGTCAATGACTATAGCCAAATACCATATAAGCCAATACTGGCAACTCTCACGGAGCGCGGGCGAAAGTTTCCGCTAGCAGACGAATTCTCCACAACGCATTGGTTTTGCCTATCTTCGTGCAAGGTGACCAATAAAAAAAAAATGTTCACCGGTATTCACTACTTTGACTGTTAAAAAATAGGTGCAACCTCATGAGTGAAGGATATTTTCTTCGTGTGGGAAAGATGTTGGAGCTATCAGGGTGCAATTTTAGGGCTCTCCTGAAGAAAACACTGTCACTAATAACTTTCAGCCTTTCCACTCTGGTGAAGAAGGAAGACCAGTGAAGCTGTACCATATATGATGGGAACGAAGTAAAGGCCAGCCGCAAGTTGCAAGCCAGAGTGAAAAGGCTGGAAAGATTGCCGGCGTCGCTTATACATGGCGGTAGCTGTCCAGAGTTCTGTGTCGAGATTTGTTTGTCCATGGACACGATACTGGGGAACCCAGCCCTTAAAAGCTCTACTGTAACAACTTGTGTAAGCCAAGCAAAAGACTAATGTACTTTGTGCTGTTTTTTGAAGAAGGGCAATGTACCAAAATTTCAGAACATAGCTACGTTTCAACTTTACTGTTCTTATCAATCAATTTGTTTTGTTGTTGCAATTCCCATTTCTCATTAACGTCTTGCTTATAACTGTTTTGTCAAATAGGCGAGCTGGCTAATCCCGTTAAGATTGTCTCTAGATGAAGAAGCAAAAGGCAATTTCGAACCATGTACGTTGCTGCGATGTCAGTATGCTCCGGAAGAAGTGGATTGTGCACACGCAAATTTTATGCTATTCCTAAAATTAACAAAAAAGCAAAGCTACAAAAAAATCGAACTTCTCAGGTGAGCAAATGAAAAAAGAGGAGAGCGTCGTAGCACAAAAAAAGGCGATTTCGGTCACGTTAAATACGGTGTACAAATTCCAATTGTTAGCACTGGGAAGACTAGTCTTCCTCTTTCTTTTTATGTTTGAGGCGACGCTACGCAGCTGCGGTCTCTCTTCCTCCTGCTTTTATGCTGCCTTTTTCTCTTTTGTTTACTTGACATTGGAACCGTAGCATATTTTGCTTTGCCTTGTTTTGCAAGCTTTTACTCTCTTTCCTTCGCTTCGATGCCTGCTACCATTGGTTTGTCTGTTACGTTATATCCGGACATTTTGAGGGCCGCCTGCAACTTTGTTGTTGTTTTTGTTCTCTTCCACAGTCGTCTTCGATAACCTCCTATTTTCACCTTCGATTGAGTTTCAAATCCGAAACATTCATATGTGCTTTTTGATATTTAATATATATATATATTAAAAAGTGTAAGCTCATTATACATTTCTATGAGGATTTTATTTATGTACGCTGGCACATCTGCTATGGGTCATTGTTTGTTAATCAACCGGCCGCCTTTGGACATACACAAGCGCATACTTGGATGTGGCAGACATGCCATGTGCTGCCTACCACCGCAAAAACAAGTTTTTGGGATGTAGTGGAAAATCCTTTCGTTTCCCGAAGACCGAACAAACGTGAGTAATTAGGTTACTGCAGCATTCAAATGAAACTAGAAGAGCTATCCAAGTCTGGCTTCAAAATTGCCAATGATGCCTCAACAGACAATTATGACAACTCCACGGAGATTGCGGAGAGCTTCACGGACAACAGACCAGACGAAAAAATGAACACCCAACCCAGTCCTATGTAGCCGGGTGGCCAGCCAATCAAATCTATCATCATGCTTGCCAAGTCCAACTGCAATCAAAAACATGGAACACTTCGAAAAATATTTCGTTGAACAACGAGACATATACTCGCATGCGAAAATGACACCACCTTCCGACTTAGCTCGTAACATCAGCCGTGCCTTTGACACACCAGACAAGAGTTCAGCTGAAGGCGGACTTCAGGCAACTGATCGACGAAGCAAAGGCGCGGTGTGCAAAGCTTGCCTGGACACGTATGTCAACAAGTACTTGAATGTACTTTTGAACTGCTTCGTCAAGCGAGCAAACGAAAAACCTGTCAAGGTCACTGGGAAAAGAAATGCGAAAGCAAAAGGTTGCACACTGCTTGCACGTACCGGATTGCAGCGAGACTCTTATTTACTGGGCAGTGTGAGCTGGACTACGTTTTTCCTTTCCTGTTCGGTTTTTAGTTTTCACCAACAAATAAAGCAAATAAACACGTAACAAGCAGCTAGAAAAAAGTGAAGTTCTTTTCCTTTTCAATTAGTTTCGTCGTGTAGCTTCCGCTTTGTTTGTTGTGGACTCAACACCAATGGCGACCACCAGCTGCGCAACGATCGTCGCCGTTGAAGGAGTTGCTTTGCTGGGTGATTTGTATCTTTATATCAACTGATAACATCTTTGTTTTGTTGGCGACTGCTTTCCATTTATTTTTATTTTTGTCTGGGATGGAGACCCCATCTTTCCTGCAAAGTTCGGAAAGTGTTCGCACGGTAATTTTTCTCGTTAAGTTTCGTTTTTGTTATGCTGCAGCGGCTGGTGTGCCTGCTGTGGTAATCTTATAATGTGCTGTTTGCACACGTTTTAATAATCACCTATTCAGGTAAGAAATTGTAACAACTCATTTTGTAAAGGATCAACAGCAACCTCTTACAACTTAGTTTGAGTAGCTAATTGCCTTTTTTCTGCTTCCCAGACGTGCTTCAAAACGTGTGTTCCCCGAGTGGCGTTTGAGACCGCTAAATAAACTGCTCTATCTTTGTTTATGCGCACATTGTTATTTGATTGTCGTTGCAGTAGCGATCAGTGGATTCTGCTTTGCAAGCGGACTGACCGCAATGAATTGTTTCAGCTGTTGGGGTGACGAAACGGTGCTCGCAAAGCTCAAGGACGTCGCGGAGCCTATACTTTTCCATTGCGTCGTCTGCTTCCGTAGATTCCGAGTCCGCTAGAGGCGCCACAGTTGCGTTCGCTCCCGCTCCCATGGGTTTTCGGAGGAGTTTCCAGTATTGGCGAAGCTATATCGCATTTGCTATAGCCACCGTTTTTATTTCAAATGAGGTGCCGACACCTAGTGGCCAATGCATAAAGTCGAGTAATGGGGATCTCGTGCCCAAACTAGCAGCAACGCGGCTCAGACAGGTGCAGCCTTGTGGAAAAGTGCAAAATGAGTTGTGGACCGAAAAAATGGGAACACAGTTGCATGCTCTGCAATCACAGTAGCACTGCTGGGTAAAGGCTGCGGAAGTGTGGATGCTGGGCAGATAAACGCCCCTGCCACCGCAGTCAGGTGGTTCTATAGACTGTATCAGAATTAACTGCTGGGCTAGTTGGTAATGCATTATAGAAGACAAGAGCGCTTTGTCCCGTCCTGTTCTGTTCTTCTACTTGTCCGTGTCTTTTGTGCTCTTGTCCTCTACAGTGCTATACACCAACTCAACTCTCCTACGTCACGCCGCGGTGGTGGCGCGCCGGACGCACTTCCGGTCTGGGGCGGTGGGCAGAAGTCGCCGTGCCAGACATGCATTCCTGTGTTCCTTTGGAAGAAACGAGACAAAATACCTGCCTTCTCGTCAAAATGCTGCAACGGGGACTGTACCAAGAGAGTCTGTAAAGGTTTGAAGATCAGTTTTTATGTGTTTTTGCACCCTCCGTTCGTCCGAGAACGTGGATAGCAGCCGTGAAAAGGGCAAACCAGACGCTATCGAACTACGATTGCGTGTGTGGGCCACAATTGGTGGTCGCCAGATTTATTTGCTTTGTTCCAACATGAACGAGAGAAAACCCCCAAGTTGTCCGGATCACCCACGGATTCAGCGCGTCTTCAAATTCATACGGCCGCCTGATTGTTCGAACTTTCGTCTGCTCTTTCAAACTTGTCTGCTTTTTGTCGTCTGCTTGTTCAAACAAAAGCGGCCCGTAGACCAAACTTTGACCCGGTGATTGCAATAAGAAGTAATTGCAGGCCTCAAAAGACTTAAGTAGGCTCGGTGTAAACAGTAGATACAAGATGTTAATTATTGGTACCGGTGGCCATCGCCTACTTTTTACGCTTGGTCTGTTCCCGCTTCCGATTTTCAGTATCGACGTCGATCATCGCCGCTACCTTTTACACTTTTGCAGCACGAGCGACGTCGCGACCGAAAATAGCTACAAGAATCTCATCATGGTTTTGGCGTCCATTCTGCAGCGTTCATGCGAATGAATCGCCGCACGTCAAATTATTTACGGAAAGTTTAGCGGCGTAACGAGCCTCGATAATTTCGCTCAGGCGATTGAAGTGGTAAGACATTGCGATGAGGACGTAGAATTGACAACTCCAACGCGAAAAAGAGTATGCAAACTCACACAGACGCCGACAACGTGACATTCGAATGGTTTGTTGACGCGGGACGTGGTGCTTCTTGCCCGCACTCCACTGCACGTGCGTTCGAACTGTCGTCTGCTCTTTCAAACTTGGCTGCTTTTTGTCGTCAGTTCGTTCAATCGACAGCGACCCGTAAACCAAACGTTGACCCGGCAATTGCGATAAGAACTAAGTGCAGGCCTCAAAACACTTTTGAAGGTTGGTTGGGGTAAGTCGGCCAAGTGTAAACAGATACAAGAAGTTGTTGATCATTGTTACCAGTGGCCATCACCGACTTGTAATGCCCGATTCTGCTTGCGGTTTTCAGTATCGATGTCCACCATCTCAGCTACGGTCCACGCTTTTGCAGTCCGAGCGACGTCGCGACTGAAAATAGCGAGCGGAATCTCATCGTGGGAGTCGGGCTTTAGCGCCCATTCTGCGGCGTCCACGTGAAATGAATCGCCGCACGTCACATTATTCACGCAAAGTTTTACCTCGATAGTTTTGCTGAAGCCGCTCAAGTAGTCAGACATTGTTAGGAAGACGTAAAATCAACAATTCCAACGCGAAAAAGAGCACGGGGACTCCCACCGACGCCGACAACAACGCAATTCAATGGTTTGTTTATGGGCGACGGCGGGCTTCTTGCCCACCATCCACCGCGCATGCGCGGCGCCGGTGGCGTCCGCTAGGGGCGCTCCGGTTTGTTTGTAAACATGAGTTGGTGTATAGACCTTTCCAATTGTCTTCTTTGCACTGCCGTCTTTGTCTAGTGGGCGGTGGAAAGCTCTCTTCAATGAAATAGGAGACGCCGCACTTGCGCCCACGGCCCAGTGACTCTGCATTTTTCGTCCGGGTGATGAGCGCTGGAAAGGTCTATAGCCACGGAGAGGATCAGAACAGTCAGGAAGTCCTTCCGTTGTCCTGCATCCGACGCTTCGGCATCTCGAGAGCTTCAAGCAGGAAAATATAGCACAAGAGCACAAGCATGATGGAAGGCAACAAGAGGATGCTAAAGGCCGGGCATCTGAAAGGGATCCCCCGCCATCCTCATCCCATCCATGACCATACTAATAGACTAGGCAGGCATGTTAAGATGTTCTAGCTCATTCCGCCCACAACCGCATCACATATTTCCGAGTGTCGTCTCTCAGAAACATGGGCTGCCCATAATTAAAAGGTGTGTCTGAGCGCAACAGATGCGAAAGAAAGGGGCCAGCTTTCTGGCAGCTTGCTCTCTGTTCTGCCCTCCCTTTCTTACATGCAATTTATTTTAGCGAGGCCAAACCTAAAGACTTCTGCCCATTGCTGACAAGCTCCAGGTAGAGGTGAACGAAGATGGGGAACAGGACAAAGCTGAGCTCCGACTTGAACGGCTCGGAAGCTTCGGAGACAAAGTTCTTGAACCTGCGAGAGGAATGCACTGTAGCAACCATATTTTCGGCGGAACAAGTATATATGGCTAGACCTAGAGACAATAGATTAGCTACGCTTAGAGCAGTGGTTCTCAAACGGGGGTCGGCGAAGGCCTTCTAGGGGTCCGCGAAGCCCTGCTTGATCAGTCAAGCCCGGCGATAAAAGGTGTCTTTTTTTCAGGTCGAGATGAAATGTTTCAGTTTTCGGGTGGGTTTTCTCATGTGTATGTCAATAAGAGAATCTACTTTACACTAGCCCTTAGTTATATTCATTTATAAAATCATTATTATATTTAACCTATACCTTTTCTCTCCTCTCACCCCAAACAAGGTCCCCTCCACCATCTCCGCCGATCCATAAGGGGTCCGCGAAACATCAATGGTTGAGAACCACTGGCTTAGAATAACGGTCTTCCATTCCCTAATCTTGTGGGCGTTGCCATTTTTGTACTCGGCCCAGAGCAGGTGCAATTGGCAATTGTTATGATTTAACGAGGCTTCCTACAGTTTAGATACGGTGTCAAGAAGCATTGGCGATATTGTTTTGCTCTGTTGCAAACTGCTTAAAAACTTCTGGCAGGCAGAAAATTGTTCTCTGCAATTTAAGATAAAGCCAAAGACAACTGGCAACCATGATCCTAAGCACCAAGCAGGTTGAAGAGTCGTTACTGTGAAGCGTAGCTTATATAGTGGCTAGCGCCACCTATTTTCTGGTACAACAAACAGCAAACTTACTTTGTGAACTGTTGATCGATGGAAGAGGCGTCTTTGCTGATTGCGCTGAAGCTGAAGAGGTTCTTGGTGCCCGTCTCGGCGGCCACGACGCCGCTCAGGACTAGGTCGCTGACGCTCTGCTGAAGCTTCAGGTCGGTTTTCTTGAAGGAGTCACAGTCCTGTGAAAGAAAGACAGGGAAAGTTTGCTTTACTTGTCCCAGGTTGCCGGCTAAGTCGAATCTTTAAGGGTGCCAACAAAAAGCAGTTTGTTTGTTGCCAGTTGCTGAAGGGCTAATTGGTTCAGGCTGCGATTGGAGCTTGGACCTTTTGAGCGTTTGCACTGACAAAAATAAAGGACATCACAATACTTTGATACAGACTTAACTAAAGCATGTTTGGGCAGGATGAGAATGGGGTTGGCTTCAGTCTGCATGCATGAAACAGTTCCAGGCACAATTGGACAAAACAATTTTTCTTGTCTGGGGAGAGGACACGGTGAATAAAGAAACATAAACCGAGACTGTCGTTTAGCTGAACTACCAGCCATAAGCTTAAACTTGGGTTTGGGCTAGTTGGTTGTACAAAATGCCATTGACGTGCGGAAACCCATACATAATGCAGACGGGGAGGTGCTTAAATGACAGACTCAGAGAACATAAATATGCATGCGGGCAATCGCAAGCACCTGGCAACTTAGCAGCGCATTGCGCAAGACGCAGCTGCGAACCGCTATTTGGAAATACATCAGTCATGGACAGATCGAAAAATAGGAACAAGCGCGAAATCATAGAAGCCTTCCACAAGCAAGGCAGGTGTGTCAGTGATCCATCCATTGCACTGAACGAAAAGGAAATTGAACTGCTGAGACACTACACAGCATAACGAAGGGGACACCAGCTTCAAGGTCCCCTCTCACACTACAAAAACCGAACATTTATCAGAAAAGGAAAAAAACGCCATAAAAATCGAAAGTCCACACATCTTTATTAAGACATTTATCACTATTTCATAGCTTTCGTTCTTTTCCAAACTCACGCATGGGGAAACTTATGCGTTGAAAAGGAGAAAAAAGAAAAGAATAAAAAGTTGTTAGTCTGCGTCCATTCGTGTTCGTTGTGTTTCTCCTCATCTCAATGTAACTCATCCTTTTCCTTTCAATTTTTGGTCCCGCGTTTGTTCTGTAGAATTCGCAGCGCAGCACGTCTATCAATACCAGCCATACATGCATGTTATCCAAAATAAACCTGCCACAAAGCCCGCAAAATTACCATACAGGAATTATTTACACCTGGAAAATTCCTGCAGCTAAGCTGATGACAAGATGGCCAGTTGAACCGTTATGCTATGACAAACCGAGAAAAAAGTGCAAACCTTGCGAAGTCGCAAAGAATTAAAAATTTAACATCGAAGGTTGGAAAGTTCTTAGGCCCGCTTCAGATGGGGCAACTTTTCCAGCAATTTTGAGGTTGCTGGCGAGTTGTTCCCTAGCTTTCCCTCGATCGACGCGAATTGCTGAGATCGGGTCCGGCTCGAACAAGCGAGCAACTCGGAGCAATTCGAAGATGGTTGAAGCGGCTGCAGCCAATCGAAGACGCGATATTTTCACATGACACCCCTGTGGTGGTGATGATGACAGCTAAAGACTTAGTTCTGGTTTGAAATGGATCGTTTTCGGAAATAAACAATTTCAGAAAAATTATTTAGTATTCTCAACGCCGTTCAAAGATATAAGAACGCGTTTTTAGCGCGTAGCTGGGCGTCTAAATAGTGAAAGAAAAATCAAATTTAATGATGATGATGGCAAGTCGGAGCAATTCGGTTGCTGCGTGTGAACGCGGGCGGCCCGTGTTGCTGGTGTTGAGACGTCAAGTTGCTGGGTGAAATTGCTCTGTCTGAAGCGGGCCTAAGACTTTAACTCGCACAGTGCTTCTTCGTCAGAAATCCAAGCTTGAGGATGCAGGGGAACGCATTTATTTATTTATTGGATTACATAAGAAGGGGATGGCTAAAGCCGTGGTGTGGGATTAGGGTTTGAGGAGGGCGATAGAAGGTATCTGAGTATTGTGCACACTTGACAATCTCGCTAGGGTGCAGAAGGCATCTTGGTGGTCGTTCTGCTTCTCAATCTTCCTGCCGGTATGAGAATCTGCCGGTCAAGTAGTGGGAGTCACCTCACACTTCTCTCGCAAGGGCACTCTTACTACCCTATTGGGCTAGCATATATTGGCTAGGGGGGGGGGGGATGCTCGGAGGTGTGCAAGTAATGTGTCATGATCGGCATGTGGTATGTCCTTAATATCTGTCCTGCCGGTGGAGAAGCGTGGGCAGTCCCAGATAAGGTGCAGGAGATTAGCTCTGCACTGTGATCCGCAGTGAACTGGTGTGTCCGCGGCTGGGGTTACCATTTCCTGATGATATGCAGTGTGAAGGCTGCATCTGCGAATACTTTGTTTAAGAATACTTCTCGAGTGCGCGAGAGTTTTAATTGCGGATCGGCTCGGGGCGGAGGTGTTATTGTTGTAAGAAGCTGTTTACGTTCCCTGCAGTGTTTGGTTCTGATAAAGGAGAGGTACAGTCTCCGGCAATATGAAAGACCCACTGGGAGCGCGTGGCCGAGGCGGTGACTGGCGGGGGCGCTGCAAGCGCTCCGGGCAATTCAATTCTGCTTCGAGGAAAGGACGCTCACTCGGACTCAGCTAAAGCGAAACACGCTTATCAGATTGTGCTGAGCCCCGAGTGAGCGTCCTCCCCTCGAAGCAGAATGGAATTGCCCGGATCGCTCGCAGCGCCCCGCTAGCCACCGCCTCGGCCAGGCGCTCCCAGTGGGTCTTTCATATTGCCGGAGACTGTACTATCGATGTGCCGTTCTCCATGAGTCTGTGATTTATGCGTAGGGATTAAGTGGTGGGTTGAGAGGCGGGTAAGGGGCGACTGAGTCAATACTCCCTCGGGCTGCCGGGGCTGTGTTATGTGGCACTGCGTTCCCTCCTGCCAATCCGATGTGTGCTGGTGTCGTCCACTGAAGACGTAGGTCGAGGCCCACTTCTTGCAAGTCGTGCAGTCGTTTCCTTATGGCCTGAGCCGTGGCGTCGTCCGTGCTAATGTTCTCGATTTCTTCAAGCGCTTATTTGGCGTCGAACGTATTTAAGGTCATTTGGAAGGTTACAAGGGCTTGTTGAGATGTCTATCTGTGGTCCGGTCAAGTTAGACGGACAGTACCGACAGTCGACTTGAAATAAATGCGTAAATGCGAGATCACGCCAGTAAAGGCGCTTTTATGAAATACACAACAACAGATGTAGAACTCTCACAAAAAGAAACAACGTAGTTTTGAAGGAGTCCGCCAACACTACACCGAACTTTGTCAACAGTACCAAACGCAACTGTGCGGGAGGATGTCACTCCTTACCATGTATTGACGACCTTTCAGGTAGCGACCAACTGCAGCAGCTACCATCTCACTTCTGTTTTTCTTCATCGTTTGAAGGTATCGCCAATATCGCGACAACTATCACATGTTTCACGTCATTTCGCCACCATGCCAGGAAAAGAGAGTGAACACCAAGGAGGTTGAACAGGTTGAACACAAACGCGAACGGCGCGAACTACCGTCTACGCGAACGCCAGAACGCCTTCCTTTCTTCCCCCCTGGAGGTCGGGGGGTGGTCGGGGGTTACGAGCGTTATGAGTGTCAACTCTGGACGGTAAAACAGTCGTCGTTACGTCATAAAATGGACAGTCATGTGATCTTTAATTACAAAAGAAATTACTTTAGAAACATTATATATATATTTTCTCGGACCCTTGTTCGCCTTGTTTGTGTACCCCAACGTTGGTGTACCCCGACACCGTCACTCTTCCCCTAGAAGATTAGCCCGTCGCTCAAAACTAGAACAAAAGTTGCTTCTCCCACCCCGTTCACCTCAGTGCCAGTCAGTGCTGTGCAAGCTACGTGCTCGTTGGGCCAGACACGCTTTTTCCACGTGATCACGCTCCATTGAGCATGAAGAACGAGGTCAGTTGATGAAAAGGAGGCGGCTGATTGGCCTGGCAAGCGCATAGGTTCCACCGCACTGTCAGCTTAGGGGTGAAGGGAATAAGTGAGGTTCGGCGTCGTGTGACGTGCGTTTGGGTGATTTTGGCCGGGTGACGCGCTTTGGGTACCGCGGGTGTATCGCAGTGAAGGCAGAGAACTTTCGAAGGGAAGGATCGCCCGCTGTTTTCAAATTTTCGTACCGGGCTTTTGACTTTTTACCTTCTTTCTTTTGGCCCACTAAATGATATGCTATTAGTAAAATCCCAATCTAAAACAAGCTTCCTGGCACTGACCAAGAAACTCATTTGTTGTTTGGTAACATCCAGGACAGAAGCGAACGTTTTCTTTCAATCTCTCCTTCGCAAAACTTGACGTAATTGGGGGATCGCAGTATCCCCCAGTGACGATTTTTGAATGCAGCTCATAGATTATATCAGAGCATTGCATGAGTACTCAATTTGGGTTCTTGGTAATCAATATCTCCACGAACATTCGGGTAGTGGTCCGTGTCCACTCTCTGCAATGACGACAATAGCCGAACCCTAACAATGTCTGGAACTCGGTGCGTGTACTGTGCTTTGCCAATCCCAGCACGCGGCTAGGGTTAACATTGGCGGCATATAATTATCTCAAGATCACGTGGCCACTTGTTCCGGCTACGAGTTGAGAGGGTGAAAGCTGCTCGTTTTTCTTTATTTTTTCTGCAACTTCTATTGCAAATGGTGAAAAACAAATGCATGTTTCACATGTCTTTAACGTCAGGGATTGGTTCCAAGGGTATTTGCATAAAGTACAAAAATCATTGCATTGCCCCAACATGAAATCAATCAGATGATTAAGGATGTCATTGCTTTATTGGAGTTCAAAAATTCGAGGACGCTTACCCGGTACAAAAATGCAGTAGCCTTGCTGCAAAAATGAACACAGACACGTCAAGACAAGAAGATAATGATCCAGAAACGCACAAAATCTGTCGGACCAGTGGCATGTCAGCATTCACTCACTACATATGACTTTGTGAGAAAGTAATGCATAATTACACACGACATTGCATGGCTGAGCATCAAACCGGCACACCCATTAACAGTAAACTTTTACAAGTCATCAAACACCATAGCAACTCCTCCAGCCACTAAAACTTTTCACTTTTCCTCTGCTGCATAAACGGTTGAGCACAACATGACTTAAATATGCACTGAGCTACTACAAATTTTCCAAAACTATGGCTGAACTCTTTCAGCCAGTCAGATTCTTCCATAGCCTTCTCTGCAGAATAAACTCCCGTGCAAACTTTTTTGCATCGTCGCCTTCGCCGAGATGCATGAGAATGTACTCCTCAATCTCTTTCTCAGAGTCAACGTCTCTGAGGAGTTCCAAAAATGTTGGAGCATGGACGTAAGATGGCAGAGTTTTTAAAGCTTCAAAGGTCCAGCGTGTGAATTCCCTGTCAGCTGCGCAACGCCGCTCCCAAGGAAGTGACGGCCCTGGCAGGATTTCCCCCCGTGAAAGGTCTCTGGACGTTGAAGCATTCACAGACGCACCTCTGGAGGTGGCAGGAAACTCTGGTTCATTCCAGGATGTGCGAGTACTCGAGGGATTTCGATGGCCCCAAGCTGTTGTCCCCCTTGAATTGTGTGGGCGCATAGAGCTGGCAGTGTCGACGCAGGACGACAATGCAAGTGGACGCGCTTCTGGTTGTTGTTGAACCATGGCGTAGCCTCCACAAGCTCCTTCGAGAGGCTCCCTATTACTACCAAGCACAGCCGCTTTTTGAGAATCATCGTGAATGTTTGCTGACAAGTTGCACACACTTAGTGATGCTGGTTGAATGGGCTGAAAAGCTGACACCATCAAAGTTGGGTTGGACATTGACGACACCCGTCGATCTTCAAGGTCAGGCCTCATGTCCGGTGATTTAGTATTTTCATGTTCAAATGAGGTATGCGGTGGCTGGTCCTTCGAGCCCACTTCATGAACGTCTTCTCTTGCTGAAGAAGGTTGTTGCGTAGGGCTGCACGACGTTCCGCTTGCGGACCATAAATCTCGTTGGAGCAAGGGCACCGGTAGCATGGGTGGCAGGAAGGGACCATCACCAAGGTGTGATCCGTCGCTCTGGAAAGGGACCCGGCCCCAAGCCTTCATGACTTGGCCAAGCGTCTGAAACTCGGCGTCACAGGTCCGCTTGATTGGCAACGAGACCATGAGGTTCCCCGCCACGAACCAGGCAGCCATCCTACTTCCTGAGAAGGGACCGTGGACCCTTCCCTGGCTGTCCTGGTACATCCATTGGTCAGTCTGCTCGGCAACGTCACTCTGAGAAGGTGCGGCCGCTACCGTGGTCGTCTGGTGTTCGTCTTTCGGTGGAACATCGACACTTTTGTTTGTTCCCGACAGCGGAGATGTTGCTGGGCCCTGATGAACAGTCACTTTTTCTATTTCTTCGGTGATCTCTCGAATTCGAACCTCGTGGTCCCCGGATTCGTTTTTTTGCTCGGCTACATCCTCCGTTGCGGGCGTCGCCAGAATGCTTTGCCGCTGCCGTTCCATTGGTTCCATCCTAGCACGGGGTGCACGACGCAGGAAGCTTGTCAGAGCACGCGACTGAGCTGAGAAGGCTGGGTATCTCGACGGCCTGCCGTATTCCCCGTAATAGTCTGGGCCGTATGGGTCGCAGAAAACGTATACGGGCCAGAAAGGTGGCACATTTCGAGAATAGTAGATTGGAGGTGGTATCGGTGGTATTAGCGGTACTCTGAAATCCCTGAAGTACCGACGCTGGTTCATAATTTACCGCAACATTTGACAACCAGCGAACGCAGACCACATGAGCGAGCGAGTCGTGCACAGTGTTTGCAACCACTTTGCAACTTGCCAAGCGAGTGTTCTTAATACACAAGAAGAGCACGAAACAAAAACTCGATGCGAAATGTTACGAAGTAAATATATATGTATGTTAAGGTTCGCAAAATTTTGTCCGGACAAAACAAATAAGGTTTATATTAAATACGAAACTCATGGAACTTTGGCCTTGCGTCAGTGGCTCTTGTTTACTCTTCGTGGAGCAAGCTCAGCTGATCAGCAGGTGGAGGGGAAACGCTAGATTGGCCAGGTGCTGCCTTCGAGTCACGCGCACTAAAAAGTTTGCTGACCAACAGCGAGTTTCCCTTCGCGAAAAAAACAAAATGGTGCAAGCCTGGTACATGGACAGCGACACAACGACCGACCAACGCGAAGAGCATCAGCTGGACCCTCCCTTGCCGGTCTCGATAGACGAAGTTCGCGACAAGTCGGGAGTGCTCTACTGGAAGGCGAGTTCTTTCAGTTGTCTTACCACCGGCGCGTGAACTTCGAGCCTGCACGCGTGGCAGATGCACGGCGGAAGGCAACAAGCGCGTGAAACCGAGAAACTTCGCCCGGCGGCACGCTCGCGTTGCGCGCGACGCAACAGCTACTGAGCTGATGCCACGCGCAGGGCGACAGCCGCCGGGCGAAATTCGTCGATTTTTCGCAGCCTACTCGCCCCACGGAGTCCAATTAAAAGCGGTATTTAAAAGCATCTTCATAGTATATTTGCCGGTTTTTTTTTTTTTGTTTTACCAGCTCCAACACCGGGATCATTGCACAAGAACAGCTTTCAGTAACTCGTACCAAGCTGTAATGTATGTTTCGCTTTGTTGCAGCTGAACGCCGACACTTACGAGCAGGATGGGGAACTTGAAAAGATACGCAAGGACAGGGGCTACTCGTACACGGACGTGATCGAGATCTCGAGGGACAAGTTGCCAAACTATGAGGACAAGGTATACCAATTGAGCCATCTTTCTAATACAGAAAGGCGCAAACGCAAAACAACCTTTGACAAGCCAGTGGTAGGCTAGGTGGTGCTACTTAAAGTCACTGGATATCGAGAAAGTTCTCGTCATTGCCTTCCCTGCCTGCTAGCAGGTCACAAATGAACACCAGACCACCAAAATCCCGCAAGGCGATTAACTGGTCAGTCTCTGTTGCCATGGCAATCACCCCTTAGGTCCTTTCAAAGCATCGAAAGGGTGCAAGATCACTATGGAGCACCGTCGTACTGAAAGCGTTCCTTGCCAATGTGTCTTTGGCACTTGTATGCAATCAACTTACCCATGATGGTTATCTCCACTGACCTCTTCCAATGATATTGCTCCCTTTACGCCTTTCAAAACAGGAAAATGTTTTGTTAATGCCTCCAATCACTGAGCTGCATGTGGCGGTGGTTTGAAGGTGTATCCTTGTTTCACCAGTGTGGGGTAGCAAAACATCAGTATAGACAAGAAACATCTTTACAAAGCTGCCCATCACCAGCGAATTTAGATTGGTTCACCAAGAGTGGAAAGGTCAAGGACAAACCACTCATACCATGAACCAATAAGGCGATCATACAGGGCTCTCCAGGGATCCAGTGACCTCAGTGCAAGCTACTGCCCCATACAAAGGGTATATTGGTACCATCTATCCAATCATTCCGTAACCAGACATTTGTAACAAGGCACAGGAACACCAAACAAGGGCGACATAATTGCGTTGAACACTTGCGGAGACCTTTCTGTGGCTACGCAGTCCAAGGTACGGAGCGCATGCTCGAGCATCGACGAGAGCTGTGCACACGCAGTCATCTCATCTGAAATGCCGCAGAAATTTGTCCCCGAGCTTAGAAGCCGTTTTCATATTGTTTGTGCTCGTCTTTTGCTCGTCCACACCCAAGTTTTGGGTGTCGAAATGCTTCGAATCCCACTGCTTGTAGCAAGCCATACATTGTTTGGGCATTGAATTTGTTCCTTTCAGCTCTCCCCTTTGTATGGGGTGGTTGATGAATGGCTGATATTGGCTGTACCCTTTTTATCGGGCGGTAGGTTGCGCCACCTAGCCTAGAGACATTTACATCTCCGATCACAGAACTTTCGACAATGCTGCTTGCGATCGCAGATTAAGACATTCTTCCAAGAACACCTACACTCGGATGAAGAGATCCGGTTCATCTTGGCTGGGAGCGGCTACTTTGACGTGCGCGATTGCGAAGACAAGTGGATCCGGATTCAGGTGACCAGGGGAGACTTGCTCGTCTTGCCAGCCGGAATCTACCACCGGTTCACGCTGGACAAGCAGGTACTCATTTTCTTCATCTAAAGAGGCGGGTCTCGTTGACATGTCGAAGCTGCCACACAAATTACTACAGTTAACAACAATAATAAGGACTCATTATTACAATTGCTTCTTCAGTTACTACGATACCGAGGCACGTATAAGGCGATACGTAAAACGGGAGCCTGCAACCTCACCGATCCGTTTAGTCTTGAAGGCACTATGAAACAAATTGTAATCGTTGGCCAAATGCTGTGGTGCCACTTGTGTTTTGCAGTGGTTCCTCGCAAATGGCACATTGAAAGAAAAGCAACAAAAAAATTTCTAACCCCGGAAAAAATTATTAAAGTTATTTAAAATGGGGGTTCTGGAAACCCTCTCGTCCCCGATCACTAATTGACCTTTTCTGCAAGTGCGCTGCCATCTTGAATTGACGTCACTTCCGGTATGGGCGAAAACATTGTTTTGCCTTTGCCACGCCAATAAAAGGCATTTAGGAGATAAGCGTAACCGTCACACTTTCTCGTTTTGCCTTCCCTTTATTTTTTGCTATTTGAAGGTTGAAACGTTAGATTATTTTTTCGTCGCCCATACCGGATACGCCTATTAAGTGGCTGGGGACGAGAGTACACAGAAAAGGTCTATAGACCACTTCCATAAAGCCCTGCATGCAACACGGCGCGCATTGCAGTCTGGGAACTAGTTGGCCAGGGAGGAGAGTGGCATGGTTTCGGTTTCGATCGACACGTCGACAAGAGATTATACACAGAGCGTGGACTATTAATGGCTGTTATCTCATGTTTTCTGGTCCCGAGAGCGTCATTTGTGGTCTCTTAACTAACCTAAATGGCCAGACCTCGAAGCTTTAGCACAAGCCCGAGACGTATAGCGTGTCTTAACACATGCTTGTTGTATTTTTGTACTAGAGCCTTTCTGTTAGCGTTTTGAGGTATGGTGGACGAGCCAATGCTGGGAATGTCGACGAATCAACAAGCTGTATAGCAACCAACAAGTATGCATACATCGAGCTTGCGCCTTTGCATTAGTGTTGTTGATCAGGAAGTTTGTTTGTTTCGTGCGTCCATAGACTAAATATTACTTTCAACATTGTAAAACCCGAGACGTAGGACAAAAGGAGAAGAAGTTTGAGACCTGTGTCTGTGTTGTCCCCTTTTTCTTCTCCTTTTGTCCTACGTCTCGGGTTTTACAATGTTGAAAGTTCACCAGCTCGCTTGCATCTTCTCTGTAATTTAAATATTACTTTTTGCAATTAGTTTTCTTAATACGCCTGAGTACGCGAGGTGAAACTCGGAGGCGCCATTGAAAAGCCCAATTTTAACACCCTTCTTATCTCTTATCTGTACTGACCCGCAGCACTGCACGAAGCGAAGTCCCCACCCACTTGCATTTTACTAATATTCAACATCGCGTATGCGCATAACGTTATCCTGCAATCAGGCACATTTGCACATACAAACCGTTTTAAGAAAGCAAAAGTGTCAGCGTTGCCTCCATTGACCTGTTAGACAAAGAGATAGCGTTTTTGCGAGCGACGGTGAGGCCTGGGATTGGCCGAGGTGAAGCGGTGCGAGTGTATATATACAGTTGAAGTAGCGCTCCGTGTTGTCTGTCTTCCTTTTGTCCTCGTCTTAAGCGCCATCATGACGTCAAATTCCCAGTACCAACTAGTCCAACAATCTGCATTGATTATTTGGGGGAAAGGAGGCTTCTAGCCAGAAACCGTTACGTTTCAACGTGTCCCGTACACACTGCACGAGACACACTTGAAAATAAAACCGCATCGTTTCATGGTCCCCTCAATGAATGTTGCAGAACTACATCAAGGCAATGCGGCTTTTTGTTGGCGAGCCGGTGTGGACGCCCATCAACCGCCCGGCCGACGAACATCCTGCAAGGTTCCAGTATATCGAGAGCCTTCGCCAGGGCATCACGGCTTGAGGATTTTGAACGGGTGCCACTCGCAGCCATTCACGCGCAACCAGGCACACGGTCAAACCTCCGCCGCTACGTCGACCCATTCGTACGTATGTAAGCGCTCTGCCCAGAGCCCACGGAGCCGTAGACTTCCATTTCTCGTGCAAGAAATTTTTGGCAGGACCGAAGGACTTACGGGGCATTAGTGGAGAAACGGTGTGCTTAACCGTGAGAATGGCTGCACGTGTCTGAACTCGAGGCTACTTTGTGATTAAGAGGTGGTGGTAGCGGTACTCCTTTTTCCGACCTTTCTCCACACTGTTGTGTTTTGGCAGCCAGGTCTGTTGTTCCATTTCTGGCATGGTTGTGAACAGACGGTCGTGCCCATTCTTGCAGCATCGTGCTTTCACACGGAGCTGTCAGAACATGAATGCACGGTCGTTTATTTGTCGCTGCGTAAAAAGCCCACAGTGCCTGGTGACGAAATTTAAGGCGGTGGAGGCAGGTCAGAAAAAAATTTGGATGGAGGTACCGTTATGTAATCAAGAGAATTATGCAATGTTTGTTTTGCTTGTGCCGGTTTTTCTGCCAATTTACCGCAACAGTCTTCAATGCCCTTGAGGGCTCATTGTCGGCCAGGAATTGTTTATTTTTTTTTCTCTAGATATCGACTTGTTGAAAGACCTGTATTTTATCTCTATTATAGATGATCTATGTACGACTTTAAATTTTATATTGTTGTTTGAAAGGGTTTCCACCCTTTTTTATATACAATTCATGCTACTTAAAAGTTTGTTATTTTTGTGAAAAAGGAATTTCAATAAAAAATATTACTATCACCTCGTAGTTGTGGGTGAATCAAAACACACACCTTTATTCCATCATAAAATTTCTTTTTAAGTATTGAATCACTCGCAGGGAAAGACCCAGCAAGCTTGTTTTCCAGCAGAAAGAAAATATAACTTCGAAAATAAATAATTTGCATCTCTCGCCACGACTAGAAACAAAACAAGGTATTTATGTAAGGCAAAATGCACGTGGCTTGTCCGGGTCGTGGCAGATCTCGTCGGAGAGGACCCAACTCATAAATGCAATTGGACCGCACATCGGCCCGGTAAAACGTAAGGGGGAAGCAAAGCGTAGAGATTTCCAACAAAACATATTCACGTTGCATTCAGTTCTCCGGATCTGATTGAGAAATTACTTTCACACAAAAGCCTCGCCAAGTTTTGCAGCTGGAGAGGGGAAGAGACAAAGATGACCAGCCCTGCTGAGAATGCTTTGTGCTAGGGCCACTAAATAAGACGTGCATCAGAGTACCGACAATCCATTCCAAGATTGTCTCGCGGCCATCACCATCTTGTTGCCTTGTGTAGAGCGGGCGCAATTGCTGATAGTTACAATTAGAGAATGCGCCTTTCCGAGCTTTAAATAAATACAGTGCCCAGAAGCTCGAGCGATGACTTTTTTTGTTCTGTCGCGGATTGTTTTAATGTTCCTGGAGGACAGATAAGCGTTTCCTGCAATTTTCGGCAAAGCTCTAGATAACTGGCAACCATTATTTGAACAACATGATGGCCGAAGTGTCGTCTCCAAGGCGTAGCTTGTTTAGTGGTATTAGTATGCACGTTGATCCTTTATAAAAAAACAAAATGAATCGAAACTCCTTAGAGGTGCACTGCACAATCAAATTACTGCAATACTGATTTCACCGGGCTTTTCGCTGCTGCCTGACATCGCATTGTCCTCGTCCCTTGTCAGGCGGTTTAGTTGTTCTCGGGATAGTTTAATAACAATGCAGCTGAAGCATAGGCGTGTTCTTGGAAATCTTGGAAACATTTGTTCGGTTGCATCATCTCTTCCAGAGATTCAAGGAATAGTAGTCGCCATAGGGTAAACTGATTTTTCTCCAGGGGTTCATAAAGTGATTACTCTTACCCTTCTCCACCCTTGTGGGGATGAAGCAAAGCGGTAGGTGAAATCGGCATATCTCCCAAGACAACTTTCAAGCATTCGAGCCACTAAAGGACGTTCACAACCTCGTGCCAACACACATGTACACACCCAACATAAAACACAAAAGCGCCATTTCGGACGACGGTGCAATGTTTGTAAATCTAAACTTCAAAAAGGTGCGAAAAAAAGAGAAGCATCTGTCCCCAGCCGAGCCCATTTTTTACCACCGGACGAAGGACAAAAACCTCTGTGCATCTGAGTTACCGTGGTTCGACCCGTACTCGAACACCGGTGGTGGCAACAATGTGTGGACTGTACAAAGCCGTGCGGTGAACAAACGTACCGAAATATATATTAAAAGTGGCAAGATCAGGCAGTACAACTAACCTTGCGTTGTTTCTTCAGCTCCTCATACCTGTTCCTGCAGAAACAGATCTATTTTATAAACAAATTAAAAACGTGACACCGAATGTCCTCAGTGTGAGCCGTCGACAAACAATGCCATTGCGTGCTTCGGAAATAAAAACGTACCGACGACAATGCGGCAACATTGTCTGATCGCTTGGTCTGGCGTTTCTGGGCTCCATTACCTCGTTACGACGATCGGACAAAACTCTACCGTTCCTCGTCTCACGATGGGGTTACATCTATTGGTTTACCACTTCCAGAGCAGAGAGGTACCTGAAAAACGAGGTTGATTGCTCAAAGAGTTTCGTTGCATACATCTAGTGTTTGTAGTCCTTGCGATAATTGTACATTTTTCCGTATATAAACTACATCTGCACTGACTGGGCAGTTTGATATATACTAGACATGGAGTGCCACGCGTAATGGTTGTTTCGTCGCACAGTTTCAAAAGTATTGTATTCTAATCAGCTTCAAGCATAATTTTGACGAAGACTGTAGTCTAGCGTTTCGTTCGATGAAGGTCGGAGAACTTGGCCCCGCTTTAACCGCGGAGAAATTTGAGCATCGGCTTGCCGCGACCGAACAAAGTAATTGTTTCGCCCAGAAAAACCAGACCAACCGGCCGGAATAGTCAAACACAACTGTTCAAAAGTCTGCACTCCCATGACGAGTCACTCCATGAATTCGAGGTGCACGTCGGAGCATCGCGTTCGTCGCGGCCCGTGAAGCTTGTCGTATAACTGTACCCTCCGTAGCCCGTAATGGTCCCTCAGACGTTGGTGTTTTTGGTTGCGTCGGCCCAGTAGTTCTGTATGGTCACTGCTTCGAGGCTGTTGAGGAATGAATCGTTGTCCAGGGAAGTCATCTCTTCGGAGTTTTCCTGCAAGCGGTGTTTCAAGAATGAGTCGGCGCTACGACAGCCACCAAAAACCACAGTGCCAGGAAAGTGCCTTCGACCGGCGCGTTTGGCGTCCCGTACACCGCCCGCGCGTCGAAGGCGGTCTAGAAGCGGCAGCAAATAACGCCACGGAAGCCAACGCGTCGTGCCGTCGGACATCGCAATCCCGGCGGTTGGTCGTTCCGGCGAAAAAGAGGATGGAACGCGAGCGTTGCCAGCGTTGCGGCATCCCGACTCATTTCCCAGACGTCCCCACAGACCGTCAAGCCGGGAGCGAGCCGCGGCAGAAGAGACGCCTGCCGCATCTACCTCCGCCGCCGTCCCACCGCTGGGATTGAGGCAGGCAACGGCGCCAGGCTTCCGTGACGTCGTCAGGCAGACGTCGAAGGACCGCAAACGAGGATACAGTAGACGCGTGGGTCAGAGAGGCGGTTTGGGCACCGGGACGGAAACAAACGGCAGGCACCTTGGGCAGCTCGATGTGGGCGTTCATGTAGCCGCTGCGAACCGAGTCGTCGATGTAGGCCACGTTCTCGCTGGACGACTTGTCCCGCCCCCCGAGGAGCCTCAGGGACGGGTGCCGCAGGAATGCATATGTCGCCGCACCTGCAGCGGAAGAAGCGTCTCGACACACGCGAGTGTCTCCGACGTCCCGCCTTAGTTGCTCGCGGGACGAGTGTGGCAGGGGCGTCCTTTAGTCGTCCCACCTCCAGCAGGCACGACCTTCCCGTCTTCGATAATGTTTCGGCATCTAAACGTCAAGCACGGCAACCCTGGGAGCACATGCAAGTGTATCGCCCAACTCTGCAGTTATACCCTTGCCCAACTTCATAGCTACGACCATTAGGGCTCGTTATTAAAGACAGCTTTGTGCGTCGTACCCTGAAATTCGAAAGGTAAAGTGTGCCGATTGAATGTCGATATAGTCTGTATTTAACCTGCCTCAAAACGACTATGGGCTCGTTTGTTTATTAAAAGGATAGGGCAATAGCAATTGCACAAAGACATATCGGTACGACGCGTGTTCACACCAAAGCCGACGGGCTGCAACCTACCATACTCCATTCTACAGAAAAAATGCATTCATTAAAAGGAATAAAAAGACCAAAGTTGCAATCGAACGTGTGCCTTGCACAGGGGTTGCATTGACGTCGGAATGCTGATCTCTGATTGGCTTTAATGGAGGGAAAGTGGGTAGACCTCAATACTAGCTGCCTTGAGGTCTACTCGCTATCCTTCCAATCGAAACCAATCGGAGCTCGACGTTGCCGCAAACCCTGTGCAAGAAGCAGACAAACCTGTGCTCCGCATAACGTTCAATATGCGCCACAGGCTTTTGCACAACTTGCTGCCGAGCTGCAAAAAGTCCAAACACTTAAAAAAAAAAAAAGTCAAAGTGGGACGATGACAACATACCTGCCAAAAGCGCCAGCAGCGAGACAGCTCCAATCACAATCCCGGTGACAGCGCCACCCGACAACACGTAACCGGGCGACTCGATGCCGGGCATCTCGGTCCTCGTCACCTTCGGCGTCGCAGTCTCGTTGGGCGTCGCCGTCACCCCTTCCCCCACTGTCGCGCCCACCGTCGCGTCTCCGTGTCGCGAGTTGCGCTGTTCCAACACGTCGTCTGGCACTCTCAGCGGACTGGAGCTGTTTGGTGCCGCACCGTGCGTCGTCGCTGCCGGCGACACCGCATAGTGGTCCGCGGGCGTTGTGGGGTCGAACGAAACTGTCGGATCCGTGGTTCCACGAATCTGAGTCGGTTCCGTGCTCGGAAATGGGCCGGGCGTCTGCAGACGGACGTCATTCCGGTTGGTGTCGGAAGGCGCTTTCTGGGCAGGCGTTGCATCCGCGAGGTGGCGCGTCGCTCCGTCGGTGGCGGGGGGGATCGCGTTTGGGGGCGGGTACGGAGCGGGATCTCCGCCCCTCCACCTTGCGCGTGCGAAGGCTCCGACGGAGTTTGGTGGAACGTTCTGCTGCGGGGCCGGTGGGTAGGCGGGCCGACTTGCCGGAAATACAAACGTCGAGGGGCCCTGCAGAAGATCAGAGATAACCAGTGAAAAATTCGGCTAACAAAAAATGGTCTTACTCTCGGAGGAGCACCAAATTGCGACTTTTAGGGAGGGATCGACTAAATGAACCCAGATTCAGACGACTATTTCCTTTGCATATGTGTAGCTTAGAGAGGATTGACTTAGAGCTTAGCAACCCAAACGCTGCATTTGGATTTATATTGTGCATTCTTTTCACACCCTATCTAAGCGAGCATCTCTGAGGCACATGAGTCTTACACTAAAGTGTGCCAGCCAATTGTGCGACGAGTCACATTTGGCTCACAAGCTATTCTTTATACAAGGTGTCCCAGATAACTTGTACCAAACTTTACCAAAAAACGGAGCACTTTGCGAGAGTGAAACCAACAGTATGTTGTTAGAAAGCGTTTTAGAAAAATTCACAATATTTTTAAGTGCTGTTCTTTTGTGCAAAAAAAGTACACTGGGACAGGTGGAAGATGGACCCAGCACCGTCTTCCACCAATCCCCATGTACTTTTCTTTTTGGGGGCGGGGGGGGGCTGTTGTTTTTGTTTAATCTGGTGAATCGTGCAGCGGCTTGCGCTGGACCCGAGCAACTGCTACTCGCTGCAAAGGATGTCCACGCTGCACCCTCCCGCCTCATCGCGCATCGCTGCGCCGCCCCCTTTCCCCGCCTCGGCCAACCTTTTAACAATTTCTCCGACAATCCACCTTTCTTCAGAGCTAACTGGTGCCTTTATAAAGCAATTAAATGCAAAGGTGCAAGCGAGCTGGACAAAAGTGACGAAAATAATCCCTGGAGAAGGGTGCCACCCGGCAGAACATGAGGTCTGGGAGGTTCTGGTACGGAAATCGGGGAACATGTGTTCGAGAGAGCGCGGGCACTCCCTCAATTGTGGAAGCAAGATCTGGCTGGTTCTGTTGAGCTGCAGTGACCTAGATTAGGCTCCCCCAAATTCTCTTTTGTCCGCATTGTGGTTATTGCCCACCGAGTTCGCTCCAGGACCTACCTTCCTTCCCTCTACTTCCTAATCCATGCATTTTTTCGCGCATTTTCGTACCGGTGCCTCCCAAACCGGCTAGTGTCTTCCATTCCCCCCGACTCTTCCGGACGCCTCAAAATTCCCCGACGATTACAAGTTTTCCGGGTTGGAAGGGTTGCCGCAGCGGTAAGGAGAAGGGGGGTACTCACGACGCTCGTGGGAGGAGGGTACCGGGGCGGGTGGGGCTGCGAAAGCCAGCTGCCTCCTCCGGGGAGCATGGGCACCCATCCCGTGCCCTGGGGCTCGCTCAGGGGCACGGGCTGGGCCCGCACAAACACGGGGGGTGGCCTCTCGCGCTCCTCCTCCTCCTCCTCATAGGCGTGGTGCGGCGTGGGAAGGCCCACGGTGCTCGGGGCCCCACCGCGCGTGGGCTCCCAGACCCGCACGATGGGGCCCGTGACCACCACCACCGGCGCCCCCTCCCCGCCGGGCTGGTCCGGCTGCTGTGCGACCGTGCCGGGGCGGCCCACGGATACCAGGAGGATGGCCCAGGCTGTGAGCACTGCGCACGGACGTCGACGCCGGTCTCGTGACGCTTACGTGTACCATAATGTCCCAAGAGATGGCCCACCCTACATTGAAAGCAAGTCGGGTGAATCTAAGAAGTGGACCGACTTTCGGCGCGCGCGATGAAAACTAAAAAGTTGAGGAACCTGCGAAAGTTGTGATTGCAGGGAGGGTCTGTGTACTAAAGACGACTGTCCTTCCCAGTCAGCAATGTTTGTGCATCTCCCGCCGTGGCTGATTGACGCCATTTCCGCCGAGGTCACCATTGACCGGGGCCCAGCAATTACTAGATGTGGGCTATCCTTTGGCGTTTTTGAAAGAATTGCGAATCCTATCAAAAATAGGGGGCGGGTTCTCTTTTGGGGGTGGGCCATCTCTCGGGATATCACGGTATACTCATTTTAACCTCGAGAATTGTAGTAAAAAGGGGTCCAGTCCCTTGCGGAGCATTGCTAATTTCCCCCTTTATGCAGAGAATTAAGATACACGTGGGTGCATTTTAGGTTAGATACATGTTACCTTTTCAAGATGTACACGCTTCAAATGTCAAAAGCATAGCTTCTTCCTCCGACAACCAAATCTTGTAAGAACTACTTAGCGTGGCGTATGAACAATGTGCAAAACTTGCTTTTTTTCTTAAGGTGACAAGTATAGGCAGGCTGCAGGCTTTCTGGTTTTAACCAAAAAAATTTAAATCTGGGGGTTTCATGGTGCCAAACCCACTGATCTCCACTATAGGGGGCTGGATGGCGCTTAGCTGCTCTACAAGCCTGGCACAAGTGAAGCCACTGGAAGTTTGGTGCTTGTCCCGGAAGTTGGGCATGCGCTGGGCTTCTTAATGCATTCAGTCAATATTTTGGGCCATGCTTTTTTGTGTCTTTGATTGTTTGATTGGGTTATACTACTCCCGTTCTGGATTAAATCTCGAGAATGAGGCGTTTGAACTTGGGACATATTCACACTCAATCAACTAGAATCTCAAAATGTTTACATTGAATGGCTTCCCATGATACTTCGCAGATGGCTATTAAGATGACCGGAACGTCGGGGCTCAAGGTGTGATGCTTAAAAGGGCCCACTGTACTAGAAATGAAACTTATTAACACAGAGGTTCGGGCGAGTTGGTTTCTCATGATGTACAGGGGGAACAGCGCACCCGGGAAACAGTCTCTTCGACTCTTTAGGTTACCCCACCATTTACGCTGGTCCCATGAGCCTAGGGGAAAAAAAACGCTTTTACCATTCAACTCGGCCCATTTAAAACTTGTTAAAAGGAGCATTGTGCGGTTATGCCTCAAAAACTCACTCACGAAATCCTGCTCGTATTCCATTCCAACGAGCTTTGACGAACAAGTCTCAAGATTAAAGCACGCAGGATACCCAATCCCGTTAACATCAGTGGCCAAAAAGCTCATCAATGAAAACAGGCAAGACATATGCACTCAACAAAAGCAAAGAGGGAAAACAAAGAAACCCATCACTGTGCCATATATTCATAATTTTTCTCACGGACTGAAGAAAATAGCTAACAGAGTAAACTTGGAAGTCGTCATCTCAGCTCGTAACAAACTTTGCAGCTTATGCAAGAAAGTAAATACCCCACCAATTACAACTGTCGGCTGGAAAAAGAAGCATAAGAACAGCTTTGTCCCTTGTACAGAGAAGGTGGTGTACTCCTTTCCCCTTCCTTGTGGAAACATAGGTCAAACCAGAAGGTGTCATTCACCAACAAAAACTCCAGACATTTAGGCATTCACTGTCAAGACTGTAGCTGCTCAGTGCTGCTGAGTAACTGCGTCGTGCTTGGCAAGCACCACAACCAGCTCACAAGAGAAATTATGGAGGCAGAGAACATTGCAAAACATAACGGCAGATGTGTTAGTACTCCGTCTTTAACCTTGTCACAAGAAGAATTAGACTACCTAGCTTTACATTAATTTCAATTTAGTTGGCTTTTTTAAATTTAGCTTCATATTGAAAGAAAAAAGACCAGTTATTCTCCCTGGCCCTAGCTTATAATACAAATAGAAGAAGAGCAGAAAGTCTAAATATACTCGAGAGTTGTCAGTCAGGGCTGCGTAAGTGTCTCTTTCTTTTGTGTGTATGTTGATTCGAGTTACTGTTTCCCAGGGGCACTGTTCCCCCTGTACATCATGAGCGACCAACTCACCCGAACCCCTGTGTTAACAAGCACCAACAAACGTCTGCTGATTTCTCTTATAAATAAACACTGGAAAATCTACACACCCTACATACGCCGTGTTATAAATCGCTGTAAAATGAGCCGGAAAGATTGGCACTTACACATAACGAGCTCAAACTTTCAGCAAAGGTGTATCTTAGTAGTGGATTCTATCTTTTGAAATTTCGAGGCTATGCGGAGACCAAGTCGTCTGCTTCTTGCGCTGGAGTTGCGGTGACGTCAGAATGTCATCAAGCTCTGACTGGCTCTGATTGAAGGATAGTGGGCAGACCTCAAGGCAGATGGCTTTGAGGTCTACCCACTATTCTTCAATCAGAGCCAATCAGAACTTGGCGTGGTGCCATCCCTCAATAACGGCTCCAGACACATCTCATCTCCATTGGCACTCGTCGTTCAATTTATCCAAGATGCAGTTTCCACTTTTCATAAGGAAGCTACGCACTGGAACTTCAGAGGAAACATTGCACCTCTTGATATACACTCTGTATGAAAATTTTGGAGCTCTACAGGTGGGTGCTAATTTTATTTTACTGATTTTATAGCCACCCACCATACAGGTAGTTTTTTAGTCGGTACAGAATTAAAAAAGAGAACTTGGACTAGACATTTTTTTAGTCCTGAGGCTAAAAAAAATGCTGCCACTTGAAAAGAGGTAAATTATTTAATTAATTAATTAAAAAAAATTCCAGTAACCTTCAAAATTTTCATATTGTGGGCATAATGTATTTGGAGAATCAATACTCGACCTCAATATGGTTTAACTGAGTCACGAAGTTCTTACAAAAAATTTTGTAATGGGCGCCAGAGGTTGAGATAGCACCATTGTATGCGGCTTCATAACTGAAACTAAGCGAGCAAAGAGTATTAGTAATGTCTATCCCTCTATTGGCTCCACAAGCAAAGCTGGCTGCACCCACTACAAATTTTTTAGTCAAAATTTCATGACACGACTAAACCGTATTGAGGTTCATTTAGAATATGGCCCCAAAACGAAAAAGTCTGTTAATAATTTTCAGATAGATAGCCCACTAATTAATCCATTTTGCCACTTTTGTATGGATTCATAGGCATCATTTTAATAGGCATCTTTCATTAATTAAAGTGCACAGGGAAGCAGACCGAGTCCGGTGAGCTAGCATGGCGGTGGCGACACTCTAGCATTCTGCGCAGTGCACCGCATCAATGGTGGTGACCTATAGTATCGTACATTAGAATAATTTTGACAAACCTTGTAAAAAAATAGTGTCCTGGTAATATTGTCTCTAAAATGTGATTGGGTAGCTTGTTCCATTCATTCTTAATGCATATTAAAAGAACAAGAACATTTTTAGGACACATTTTTTGTGTACTACCTTTCTAATACCAGTATATTTGTAACAAATTACAACAACCTTTTTTTTAAATACACTATTGTTTATATTTGAGATGATTCTACTATATGAAGATTATATTTAAGTCAAAAACCGTACCTTCCTATACCTTTTCTTTTCTTTTTTTTTTCCTGACCATATAATTTATTTTTGTAGAGGTTCCAAGTTGCACAATCACAATCCACAAACGAAATATAAATTATGGTCATTAAAAAAAGAAATGTATGCGACAAGAGCAGGGGGGAAAGGAGAACAAAAATATCCCGGAAAAGGATACTAGCAACTGAGAAGCAATGGAGACTTGGCGTGGCACAAAATGGCTCACTTTCAAATAACCTAAGAAAGACCTCAGAGTTCACAAAACTGAACAGAAAACATTAACTATAGGTTCTATATTCCATTGCAGGTTAAGAAAAGCGGGACAAGCTCCCCATATAAAAGCCCTCCACTTTTTCCAGTTTAGCAGAGCAAACGCCGGAGAGGAGGTGAGCGGAAAGAAGGAAACCACCAATCGTGGCAAGGAGAGAGTTTTGCAAGATGGGCTTGTCCTGCTTTTCTTAAGCCTGCAACAAAATACAGCAAGAATGTATATATATAAAGAACAAAGCAAAGCGAGAAGTCTTTCCCAGCACATGTTTCTGGGGCCATATGGGGGGTGCCGTCTTCTGTTCTGTGCCCAAGATTACGAACTTCCGCAAGAGGCTTCCCCACCCCGACAGCTTGTCAGCGCACCACCTTCTGTCATTTCCTGTGAGGTGAATTATGCTTTAGCTCCCTTCTAAACTACAATCCTCCCGAACGCGGCTCACGGAATGGTGCGACAACTTGGACGTCCCAAATGGACGGTTCAAAAGAGCGTTTAGACGGCCTCGGAAAAGCAGTTGGGGGATAGCGAGCCGACCTGCCATTTCACGCCTCAATTCATATTGACCGAGAAGACAAAATGAAAGGAACCACGTTGCAGTTTACACAAAGTTACACTACAATTGGAGGCTCCAACAGCTACAACAGGGGGAGGGTAACCATCCCCCTGGAAGTGATATGGCAACAAAGAAACTATTTTGTTGTTGCCCTCATTTCTGGTCATGTTGCAACCCATCTCTGGTCTATGCTCTGCCCCTTCTTCCCGCATTGGCAGAACAGGATAAAGTGAGTCTGGTCATAGACAGCTTAAGAAATGTAAGGCACTTATTATTAATTATGTTCAGGCTCCTCTTAGTGACTCGTTTTTCAAGCTCTTTATCAGTGAATGCCACCATCTTATAAGTTGAGGAACGACAATGTGATCACCGGAACTTGGCACGCCCCCCATTTCTAAAACCGCCAGTGATCACAGTCGACTGTTGCCGATCGGCGCACCATTTGTAGGACCCATTGACGTCGTCAGCTAAGCCGGCCACATGATGTGTCCCCTGCATGGTTGCTCAGGCTGCCACCACATGTGCCCTGCCCAGCTGAAAGAAAGCAAAACAACACCCAGTAGATTAATAAAAAAAAAAAAAAAATTCAGGTAAGAACTTTGATACATACTGTAATCTGGAATGTACCAAAACAGGCATACTTATTTTATGCAACTTTAGAAGAAAAAAATTTCGCGGAGGTCAGTCAAGCTATAGTCGCTGTTTCAAGTGAAAATATTGAAGGGAGACACAAAAGACTTGCATGTTTGTGTCACGTAAAAAAATCACAGAGAAAATGCAGGAGGAAGTTGTTTTGTCTTGTCTTCGTCCTATATGTCACTCTTCTTTTTATCCCAGAAACACACAAATGCCTCCATCTCGTGTTTTTCTTGCCTACGCTTTTTCCGGTACTTCTTTCTGTAGAGAGGTAAGATCAATACTGACATTTTGACCAGCCATACATTGCTGCCGACGCTTGCATACCTTGGCTAGTGTTAAAAAAAATAAGCAAGAACAAAAGAAAAGGCTTATTCATTGTGATTTATAATGATGTTCACTGCCTGATGCAATGGTAAGAGCATGGGTGAGTTGATCAAAGTTTATAACCTGCTATGATGTTTTTCCTGAGACTGAGGAAGAGTATGATGATATTTCTTTCCTCAAACGAGTGTCATTTCTTTTATAACGAGCATTAACAAATCCACATTAATGGCTGTACTGTACTGATCACTGTTTGTTTGGCTGGTACTGCGCACTGACAGCAGTTTGCTGTCTCTGTGCAGACACAAACCGTCTACAAAAGTCTGTCAGATAGTTAAATGACGTAAGCAAATAGTTTCTGTAAGCCACACATGATGCGACAACCAGCATGCACTACATGGCAGACCAGGAGCATATAACGTCACAATCAATGCAAACTTCAGGGTGAACAAAACCATACCCAGGCAATGCAACTTCCAGAAAAGGGCCACAACGGTAAAAAAAAGAAAAGGTGCCTAGAAACCGTAACGGGAAAATGAAACGGCCACTAAACCGTAACAAACTATTCCCTCATACAGAATAGATCCCTGCAAAAGCAACCTAGAAAAAGTTAAACAAATGCAAAACAAAGTGCATACAAAACTACCTCTAGTCTCCCAAAGTGGCTTTAGAGACAAAAGTGCTATTTTGCATGTCCCCCCCCCCCTCCTCCTTTCCTTTTAAGAGAGTCAGAAAGAGGAAACCGTTTTCTAAACGGATATGTTTCCGTCCTCCACTGCCCTGTTGAGACCGAAATACCACGGCACGGTAACTTCCTTTGACTTCGGTTTCGCCCTAGCTGGTCTGATTGTGATGTAAATACGTCGGGTCACAGAGCGTGCTCTCCTTTGAGACGCTTCTGTGGGTTTCGCCTTTTCCCACACGGCTTTTGCCTCACATTTTCCTCATGCAGGCCGCAACTTGTCGACATTTATCTAACTGACGGGTGGCCTGCGGGAGGATCCATTGTGTCATTGTGTCTCTGAACCAATTAGTGCCAGCGTTGCCGCTGTACCTATTGTAGTGCCACCTTTTGGCTTGTGGAAGAGCTGCAAACGTCTTTTGCTCAAGCTTCTGTGAGACTCACCATGCAACAGTGGTATATTGTGTCATAAGAGTGCTTTTTAAAATCCTTTGTCAAAAGCTGCATTGGATTCAGCACACCCAGTCTATAGCTGGTTTTTAGGTCGACAACATAGCAATTGTATTGAATAACAGCTGGTTGTGGGGATTAACTGGAACAGTGCAGGCTGCCTCTCAAAGCTGTTTTATAACTTTCAACATTGCTGTAAGCGAACACAGCTGGCCGTCTATACTGCAAGAGATGGGTCGGTTGAAGCTGCATATCTCCATGCCTGACCGTTGTCGGGCATCGAGAACGGTTCCGATTTTATATTGCAGTAACTACCGGAAACTAAACGTAAAAGGGCCAGATATGGTGACACCGAATGACATCAAGCCGAGTGTCCAGTCACGGGAGCTGGAGACCAAGCAAAGCCATTCGTCATTTATGCTATAAATATTCAACTGAAAGTCACTACTATATTTTAGAAATTTTTACGATATGGCTGGTGCTAAAGGAAAACAGGGGGGCTATGTTCGACAAATGTTTCGTTTCTCCGAAAAAGAAACGGAAGTGACAATATCGCATCTGATTGGCTAGAGGCTCAAATGACGAAAGAGGTAACTTTCGTCATTTGAGCCTCGAACCAATCAGACGCGATATTGTCACTTCCGTTTCTTTTTAGGAGAAACGAAACATTGGCCGAACATAGCTCCCCAGGTGTCTGTTTACACCGATAAGAGAGTCGGTTTGCTCTCTAGCTGAAGGGAGTAAGTTATGAGAACCGCACGATTTGGGTAACGAACACTCATTCTATCGTAACATCGGCCGTCAAAACGAATTCCACGGTTTACATCATATATCTGTCAAACAAACTGCCACAGGAAACGAAAAAGCAGTTCCTTAGAAAAGAAACGCTGACAGCGTCTAAATCCATCCGGTGAATGCATAAAAAAAAAAAATAGTCAAGAAAACTTTTGTTAGTGTTTCGCGCATTTACCAAAAAGAAAAAAGAAGAAACGATTGCAGCAATGGCATAATTTCTGTCGTGCTGCAATTTTCGGCACACCGGATACTCCAAGGTCGCCGAAAGTACCCCAGTGCGCGCGCTTCGCGCCCATGACGCAAGCCAGGTGCTGTACTCGTTGAGCGTTTTAGTTTGGCTTCGACAGAGCAAATGCGAAATCGGACCGAAGAAAAAATAAATAACGAACACCCGCGCTAACCGTTACCTTGTCCGACTTCGCGACAACCAGCTCGACTCGGAAAAGAAATAGGAACAAGAAAGCCTTATCTCCGATCAGAGTCGCGCGGAGGAAATAGGGGAAACACAGCTCATCTCACCCAGCCTTTTTTTGTGTTACGCTCGTATTCCGAGGTTGCGATCGGTGGCTTCGGAGACGGGCTGGGCAGATCTCGCCGAAACCGTCGTCACCGGTTGTCGCTCAAACTGGACGGTATCCTCGGAGACCGCAGCATTTCCGATCGTTCTCCTGGACTGACGCATACAACGCCGCACACTGTCGCCGACGGTTTTTGTTTTTGGTGTGGACGTTTCGATCTGGCACGAGCCGTATCCGTTCGCTGGCACTTCGCTTCATATAACTTGGATTGCTACGGAACGGAGAGACTGAACATTGCAGCTCGTGAGTTCGTGACGCTTGCCGTCGATTTCCACTGGTTTCAAAGACGTCGCAAAAAAAAATCCCGCACGCATATCCTCTCCGTCCCGCTCCGATCACACGCTCGCAGCAAACTGGAGCAAGCAAGAAAGAGAGCGTACCTGGCGGCGCGTTCGAAACTCGCTCTACCGTCTAACGCTCAACGTTGGATCTGTGGTACGTGACGTCACAGCCGTAGGAATACGTGGGGGTCAGCGTGACGTAGCCGGGAAGCGTGCGTTGACGATCGCCCGAAAAATCGAACGCTTTGTGGAAAGGGCGTGCACGCGTGAGCTGGGTATACAAAGATGGCAGATATTTTGGTTTCGGTTCTTTTTTTCTTTGTTGTTGCGGTGCATTCGGGTTTCGCTTCTCCGCCGTTCTTTCTTTCCGTAATGATCTCGCTTTCTTGCGGTATCGCGGGGGAAAAAAAAAAAAAAAAAAAAAAAAGAAAGAAAAGGATATGGAAAGAAACAAAAAAAAAAAAAAAAAGAGGGACCGGGGAACGAGGTAATATCCTCGTCGACGTTACTGTGTATATTTCTGCATGTTTGGTGTAGCGTAACCGTCGCTAGCTGAGCGTGACGACTTAATGAAAGGGTTTTTAGCTTTCCCAACAGCTCATTCCAGCAGCTGTCACAGTACTGCTGCTCCGCAAATATTTGCCAAGTGAATATTACTTAGCTCATTGTTTACGCATTCCGTGAAAGGTTACTAATATTCCCCGAAGAAGAGATCTACGTATGCACTCCGTCTTGCCGCAACGTGGCTATCAGTTCATCGAACGACGTTTCATCGACAGATCGTTTCATCGACAGATTATTTTATCAACGAATCGTTTCAGCGACAACTCAGATTAGCTTTTCTCTTTAATAAGCTACATGAGGCTGTCGCCCCTAAACGGCGTGTGCGGGTCGGCCAGGTGGGTTAACATTTTTGTGATGAGACGCCGCAGGCTGTCCAGGCGCAGCAGCGTGAACGCAGGCTAAAGGGGGGTTAACGCGGACCCCAGTGATACGCGTGACGAAATGTCCCTACAGCTTGCAATTCGCAAAACAAGTGTCGATGAAACGTTCGCGTCGACGAAACGTGTGTACATGAAACGTTACTAGACGCCTCTTTTTTATTTAGTGCGTGTAAAATCAGCAGAGGCTGAGGACCGCCAATTCCACTAGTAGCTATAAAGCCCTCGACCCTTTCCACTTTAGCAAAGCGAATGCTGGAATTAGGAGGCCGGTGGGAAGGAGAAGACCACCAACCATGGCGAGCAGACAGTTTTTCAGGATGAACTTGATTCCAAAAGTTCTACTACATATTTGAATGTAAATTCATACTTCAACACGCACACGCAAAAAAAAAAAAAAAAAAAAAAAAAAAAAACACTTTAGTATATACTTTTTGACATTTGCATTACCCGCGAAAAACCATACGCAGACGATCTTTCAGAAGGACACACCGCAGAAAGGATTGATCTGATTATGGACGTCTCCTTCACACCCATGAGACATTGGGATGTCAGCGGGAAAATACGTTTATGTCGCACGGTACGCATAATCGGATGTCTCGAATCGTTTTCTGGTGTGGTCTCGGTTATATCTGGGGCAAGGTAACAAAGCCTGGGGATATTAAAGTCGACCTCGATGTTATCTGTTGGTGCTTCTTGGAATTCTTCAAACAATGCGCCATCTAACGGCAAACAGGATGCGTCTTTGAAGCCATCGTCCTTGTTTCAAAGCAAGCGGTTACGAAACTATGGCCTCGAAGACCCCATTGTTTACTTAACTGCCGCCAAAGGGTGCCGAAGAATGGACGACCAGATGTCACCGCCAGTGACGATGAAGCGTTTTGCACCTAATTAGGGAGTATTTATTCATTCTACTCCCTCACCCCCCACCCTCTCAACCTCCTCCTATTAAACGCCTTGGTCTAATTGCGCATCTAATTGTGCCTCTAAGATTTTTCTGATATATTCCCGTTTTCTTTTTATCGGCTTTGTGCCCTGTTTTCGCTAGTTGAGTTTGCTGTACGATTACCTGTTGATAAGATCTAGTAGTTCTTGGGTCAACGCAATCCAAAACAGAGCAACGTCGTAAAAACAAACAACAAAAAAAACATGTTTTTTCGTTTACAAATTTCAGTCAGAAGGTTACAAAAATCGTCGTACAACATCGTTTAGCCAAACATCCTTCTTATGTAGCCGTAATAGAGAATTCCATCGTTGAGGCTTTATATGGAAGGACTGGCGGTTTGCCTGTGTACCCATGACCTGACATTGAGCTGGATTTCGTCACGCTCATTCCGATGTGGTTAGAGATCCGTGTGGGTAGGCCGGGGAAACAAAAAAACAACATTGATGCAATTAGTTTTCCTGCACGCCGCCGCTCACAACAGGAACATAGGCGACAAGCGCAACAGCCAAGGTTGAGCGCTACTTATAACGCCCTTTTTTTCTTTTTTTTTTTTTTCTCCCCTTGGCTCGACTAAGGAAATATCCAGGTTAACTTGGCGTACAGGCGTCGTTCCAATGAAGGTCACAGCGACTCCGTACGCGAAATAGCCGCCAGCAAGGACAGTCGAGGGGCGCGGGGATTAAAAATGCTCGTCGATCCTCATTCAAAAGAAAACACAAGCAGACAAACATAAAGATAAGAAATTCCGAATGTCATCCTCGCAGTTACAAGCTATTCGTGCTAGACAATTGACACCCGCTCCCCAAGCACCGAAGCAGACGATAGAAAAAGCGCGGGAAAGTGGCTCGCACACAGCGTTGCGAGCTTTGTCTTTCGCACTGGCCTAATTACGGCGTGGGGTTACGGGTTCCACGGTCACGAAGCGGCAGTCCTGCTGCCTCACCGCACAATGGAAGTGTCTTTGTGCGTGAATATACGCTCGAGCTGATCGTCCCGCAAAGCTTTGCGTGGCGTGGCATCGTTCCATTGTTGTTCTTTCTTTGACGAGTTTTTTTTTTTTTTCTTTTTTGTCTCTTGCTTGAGAACTATTTCGTGTGAACTTTGCGTGTGGCGTAATCGTGATGGTTACCCTGGCTATTTCGTTGAATGCGAGGTGAAATATCCAGTCTGCACGCAAACCACAGACCAGCGGGCGACCGCGAATCTTCAACCGCACAGGATAGCAAATCTCTCCACAACCTCGATTTATTTTCTCGATTCCCTCTCTATCTCTCTCGCTAACAAACGGGGGGTCGCACTTTTTGGAGGCGGAATGGGGGACAGAGGGCGCTTATGGTCAAGAGGTCCAACGAGTCAAAAGGTCCAACGAGTCAAGAGGTCCAATAGCCACGTGACAGCCGAGTCAAGAGGTCCAACGAGTCAAAAGGTCCAATTCGAGTCAAGAGGTCCAACGCGTCAAGAGGTCCAACGAGTCAAAAGGTCCAATTTGTGTCTAAAGGTCCAACGCGTCAAGAGGTACAACGAGTCAAGAGGTCCAACGCGTCAAGAGGTTCATCGAGCCTTATTTTTATCTTCTCTGTTTATAATGATATTGCTATTAATTGGGGGGGGGGGGGGGGGGGCTGCTTGTGACGGTTTCTGACCGTTCGACCTATTTGAATTATTTTGGACAATACAAGTACTACATAGCCATTGGAGACGAGTAGACAGATACTATTTGCCACAAGGTATATGTATTCGAGTGTTAAATAATGGATAGTGCCTGGTGACATATTTCGGACTTGTAGAACTTAATATCTGTGTTCCAGTCTCCCTGTTCTAGGACTCAGTTATGCCATCTCTACGGAAGTCTCTCTTAAATTCCCGAGATATAAACTACAAATGTACCTCAGCCCCATCTCGCGTTTAGCCTTCCCTTTCATGTATCTCAGTATTTGTAATCGCAAACACTTCCTTGGGTAACTTTGTCCAGTCCCGGGCTCTCGTATGTTCTATTAAAAATATGATGCACTACTATTTTATGCTTTAGTTTTTATTCACTGAGTTTACCGAATCACTAAAGAGGTAAATAACACAACATAGAAAGAAGCTCAAATATCATTGGAGGGCGTCTTTAAACGAGCCCAGATTATGCCACTTGGCGTCCAATAGAGTGTTGCAAATGAATGCGAGCATTGGTCTGCTTGAAACGTTGTGACCGGTGCAAGCTATAGCGGGTTAATTTGGGCCGTTGGCTTACTCAAAAGCACGGAGCAGCCACAAATATTTATGCTAGCTATATGTAACTCCTTTACTGCTCTTTATTTTTGAGAATGCGGTGAAATAAATCATGAAACTGAACGTTTCATGATTAAGCATTCTTGACACGAATTACCGAACACTTGTCTGTCAATATCATTTATTTCTAGTTAAAATTACGCGATGTGTTAGTCGGCTGGAATTGTAAGATGGTGGGTTAGTTGCTCACTGATTTTTAGAAAATTGGATTATAAAGACTGAAGTCGATTGAACAATTGTTCGTGTCGGAAAGCACGTCGACCTTTGAAGCCAATAGATCTAGTGTGTCCAGTGCTATAGCTAAAATAGGCCACGGCGAACGGAAAAAATGAGTAACTTTACACGCCATCTGCGCCAGGCCAAACTGTCTCTCCAAGCTCCTCGAAGACCAAGGACTTCAAAATATCAATGAAGCTATTTTGACGGGACGTAAACAAATTATATTAATTACTACAACTTTTAAAAATGATGGCACAGAAATTAAGAGAAAAAAAAAAAAAAACTATGTTCATTTATCCTGACGTCAAACGCCGTAATAGTGCTTTAATGTGATGGTAGACGTCGAAATAGCAAATAACTATGGACATATATTTCGTATATGACGGAAGACGTGTTCAAAATGGTTTTACAATTATTTCGAACCCGGATGTCGAAGTATACTTCGTTTCAGCTTTGGTCCGAGCGCGGCCGATGTTATGAGCCGAAGGGCCAATCGAACGGCGAAAGAGGCACAACGTCATGGCGTGCACTCTGCAGTTGATAACACCAGTCGGTATTCGCCGTTTCTCTGTGCGTGCTAGTCCGCCGGCTAGTCCTATCAAGCATAGAGAGCTCGTCATGTAGCTACGCTTTTTGCGCTGTTTGATTGGCCCTTCGGCTCATAACATCGGCCGCGCTCGGACCGAAGCTGAAACAAAGTATATCTTCACTTCTTAAAAAAAAAAA